TTGAGAACACCCTTCGATCTGGGCGTTCTTCGCATGACCAACAAGACGATGTTGGTTATGCTGGTAACGATGACCATCCTGAGTCGAACTATCCATTCGCCTCTAGTGACGATGAAAGTGAGGAAGATTTGAGATCAGTCAGTGAGGAGGAAGATACGGACGATATCGACGATATCGATGACAGAGAGGTGGCGTTCCGTCAGGCACCAACGCCTTACTACACAGAGGTTCCTGATCAATTTTTATATGGTCAGAACGATGCCCCTGACTATCGGCCCATGCCTGTGTATAATCCGACTGCTAATTTGGAAGTGGGTATGGCGTTCACTTCGAAAGCCGATGTGCAAGATGCTTTTAGCGAAGAAGCCATGCGGCGTAACTTCGAATGGAAGGTAAAATATTCTGACACCAAACAACTGCATGTCATTTGTAAGAATGCTGGAGAGGGTTGTATGTGGCAACTTCGGGCTGCATATATGAAGAGAAAGGGCGTCTGGGTCATGCGAACAGTAGAGAACAACCACAAATGCTCCTCAACCATACTTTCACAGGATCACCGGCAACTGAAAGCAAAAAGGGTGGCGAGAACCATTAAGCACCTAATCGAGGCACAACCAGATATCAAGATAAAAGCTATTATGGCCGAGGTGAAGGATCGACATTCCTACACCATAAGGTATAAGAAGGCGTGGCATGGGAAGCAGAAGGCCATGGCTGAGGTCTACGGTGATTGGGATGACTCGTATGCTTTACTCCCTCGACTAATGTCCGCAATGGAGGAGTCCAACCCTGGGACGGTTTTCGTGCCGTGGTACAACAACGTGCAAACTGAAGATCAAGTTCGAGTACAGAACGAGTTGATGTTTCATCGTCTGTTCTGGACATTCAAGCCATGCATTGACGGGTTTCCCTTCTGCATGCCAGTGATTCAGGTATATTACGGACTCAAAATATTGTACTAGTTCATTACCTTACTAAGTTAAATTTTCACTAACTAATTATTCATTTTTAACAGGTTTATGGAACTTTCCTTACTGGGAAGTATAAAGGAACTCTTCTCATTGCAACTGGGGTTGATGGAAATTTAAGTATTTTCCCTTTAGCATTTGCATTAGTTGAAGGGGAGAAAAACTTAAGTTGGGCATGGTTCTTTGACCAGCTACACGCCCACGTCACACAAAGAATGGGTATTACAATTATATCGGATCGACATGCCGGGATTAAACACGCCGTCGGTGGTTTTCCCGACGAATGGGGATGGACATGGCGCTGGTGTATTCGTCACTTCCTTGCCAATTTCCAACACAAATTTGGCAAGAAGAAAGACATAAGAGATCAATTGTGGAGTGCAGGTAGTAATGTAGTTCAGTCGATTCTTCATGGTTTATTGTTGAAATGAAATTTCTTATGGCTTAATTATTTATTCTCCGGTCTTGTAGCGGTTGCACATCAACCAAAGAAGTACGAGCAGAAGATGAAGACGATCCGTCAGATACACCGGGCGGGAGCAATATGGGCAGAAGATCAAGATCTGCACATGTGGACATTTCACATGGACAACGGGGCTGAGTCGGGGCATAGCTTGATGACCCTCCGGTGCCCTCAGTACTAGTTGCCCACTCACAATGTGGCCATGGTTCAGGAAGTTGAGTTTGTTGAGACGGACGAAGCTCTTCAATGTTTTCTCTCACCCTTCTTCTGCTCCTCCGTGGGGGCTCTTGTGGGGGCACGATCCTCTCATCAGCACGGAATGAAGGTCGGGGCGGTGCAGGCATTGGAGGGTATAATACGACATCCCTCCTTTGCTCTCGGGTACAACATAGCAGGTTGTTGAAAAGCCTGCGCAAAAAAGTTGTCTTCCGCTCATCCATGGTGGGTGCACTCTCGACAGTGTGCTTGCATGTTCCAAACCGTCAACCTAATAAATTGTTGTACAAAATTAACTAACATTAAGAAAAAGAGGCATCCTAAATCTAATAATGTTAATTAACATTCTAGCTAATATAGGCATGTAATCATACTACACAAAACTTAGTCAAAGAGGACAAAATGGAATTCACTTACCACTGCGCCCCAAACAGCACCTTGCTTTGACACCCATCTTAGCGTGAAATTTCGATACCACCGCATGTAGCCATCGTGGTACCCCATTGGCCTCGTCTCCGGCAACCCTTGGACCACCCACTGATTTCTATTCTCCCATATGTTGATGTAGAATTCATGCTTCTTGACCCAATCCTTTTTGGTGTGGCGTAGGTCAATGGCGTGGAGCTCCCTGAACCCTTGAGGTGGGGATGCTGGAATTGGTTGCTCCAATCGATATTGCCTCAAAGATCGATCGGGCAGGTGCCATTCCACCATGTGGAAGCAGATTAAGGGCACCTTGCACAACCATGTCTCTTCATCCTCGGGATGTCTAAGACGATGGAACTCAACCACTTCATTTGGATATGGATCCCATACCGCCTACAATCATTATAGTTCATGGAATTAGTACAAATTATATCCACTCCACCTAAAAAATTGAAAATGATGAAATTTTATATTTTTACCTTGTTCCACCAAGGCTTATCGAATTCAGCACGATAAAACAGCAAAGAGTGTTCGGGCTGGTGGTCGTTTGTATTATCTCCGATCCACCTAATTAAGCAAAAGTACGTATATAAGCAATTTTTATGGCATAGATGTTTACTTGTTAAGTATGATTGTATGGAAGCATCTAAATTGAACTAAAATTCCTTACTTGGCAATAATCTAAATTAGCTAAATACGATTTGGTTAGAATAAATCTAAATTTGCTAACTTGGAAGATATCTAAATTCACTAAAATACTATAATTGCAGACCTAAAATGTCACTAAATTTGCTTACTTGAAAGATATCTAAGTTCACTAAAATACTATAACTGTAGACTTAAAATGTCACTAAATTCGCTTACTTGGAATAGATCTAAATGCACTAAAATTCACTAAATTCGCTTACTTGGAATAGATCTAAATTCACTAAAATACTACCATTGCATATCTAAAATAAATTAAACTTAAATTAAACTTACTTGAAACCATATGGGGGATTTGCTACAAATCGTAGCTCATCATCTGGCAACCAGAATTCCCGAGGGTCTCGAGGTGCTAAAAACGGAAGATGCTCCCATGCCCAGAGTTGGAGTATGAACATCGCACCACCAGCTTGTTTCGCTCCCAACCTCGAGCAAGTACACAACTCTCGGTAGATCCCAGTCAAGACGGTCGACCCCCAACTTTTTTTCTCGATCTCGTCCCAGTCACCGAGGAGCATATTTAACCACATGCCTTGTATCCACCGGTTTGACTTTTCGGGGAACAGAAACCCACCAACCAAACCAATTAGGTAGACACGTGCATACCGCTCCACCTGATCTTCAGGAGTGTCCGGGCCTATATTAACCTCCATTTGGATGTGGTCAACAAGCCACGGGACCGATACTTGCCCCACATTCAGTGGTGGATGCCCGACCCCGTCGACGGGCGTGGTGGTCGGCATGTTGAACCCCAAACGCTCTTGAATCAACGGCCCCCAACCATCTTCCGGTTTTTTCGAGTTGTCGATGATGGCATCTCCGGTGATCGGGAGCCCGGTGAGGATGGCAACATCTTTGAGGGTGATCGTCATTTCACCCTCGGGAAAGTGGAAGGTATGCAGCTCGGGGCGCCATCGCTCTGCCATTGCCGTCAGCAGATCGTTGTCAATATCAAGCCTCATAAAGTGCCTCAGCATGTGCAATCCCGTCCTCTCTATATAGGGCTGCAGTCGATCATGCCAACGGGGCAATCAACATGTCCCTCGATGACTGATGGGAATAAGTGATTCCTACAAAACAGTAAACACAATATTGTCAGTCAATAGAAAGCAAAATAAAAACTTTAAAACTATTGAAATAATTTTAGTGTGTCTACCGGATTATTGTTCCAAATTGAACGGGAGCGATGTTGATCTTGCCCGGTTAAATACCGTCGATCCCTTGGGCCAGGATCGATATACAATCGAGGGTCGTATATCTCAGCACCCATCTATAAAAAAATATGAAATCAAATCAATTTAAATTTTAGCACCCATGTAAAAAAATCACAAAAGAATAAAATAAATTTACGTACTCTCAAAGCCTCTTCGTTCATTTTTTGCCGAAAAGCTATCGAGAGTATCGACAAAACAAAAACTCTAGTAATTCTTTCTGATGCGGAAGATCGGACTTAGCCGCAACCACAGAGCATACTTAGAACGAAACTAGAGTAAAGTAAAGGAGGGAGAAAGAAGTATAAAATTTTGGTGTGGTTTGGAATGGGGGGAGGGGGGGGGGGGGGGGGGGGGGGGGTGGTATTTATAGAGGAAAGGGGCGCTGGAAATGGATCCAGGAACCAATCACCGCGTTGAATGAAGGCAGTGAAGTCACCGCGTTGAATGAAGGCGGTGAAGTCTCGGATCGCTGACGTGGCGCGGCGTGAGGCGTCGGATCGTGGAGAAAAACCACAATCCGTGCCTCACTGCATCGAACGGCAGCGGTGAAGGCGCTGGTGGGGCGGATCAGTGACGTGGAAAGCGGGGCTATCACCGCTTTAGTCATTAGCGGTGAAGTGCCCGCGCGCGTCCACGTCAGCGATCCGCGCCACTTCACCGCTTTTTATTTCAACGGTGATGATCTCTTCATCGCGTCAATAATCAATGGTCATTTAATCCCCGTCATTAACCAAAGCGAGGATTGGTTCACTGTTGTTCTCCACAGCGATGATAGCATCACCGTTTTTGTCCAAAACGGTGATAGCATCACTGTTTTGGTTGAAAGCGATGATGCTATCACCGTTTTTTACCAAAACGGTGATTGCCATCACTGTCTTGGTTTACAACAGTGATGTTGAAACTGCTGTATTTTGGGAAATAAATTTATAAGTACTGTATTTTGGGAATTTTTTTTAATAATTAGAGTATTTTGGGATTTTTTCCTGTTTTTCCATTCATCCCTAAACCATGTCTTCAGATTGCAAACACCGCCTCTGGGAGACCAATGGCTCTGGAGAAACAATCCAAATCCGGACAGCAGCCGGCGACGGCGAAGAAGAAGTAGACCGGATCTCGCACTTACCCGACGAGGTCGTCCATGAGATCCTCGCTCGCCTACGCTCGCCAAAGGAAGCTGCAAAAGCCAGCATCCTGTCCCAAAGATGGTTTAAGCTCTGGCGATCATACCCAATCCTTGAATTCCGCGATACCCAGATTGAATCGACGCAATCGGTGAAGGGATTCGTTGTCGCCGCCAAGGAAAAGTTCAGTCGTAGAAGCGGCGATACCCTGATCTCCATGGAAGCCGTCCGAATCAAGTTCAATGGCGAAAAGAAGTGGCCGGTAGAAATCTGCTCTGCTTTCCTCGATGACATGTTGGAGTTGGCTGCAAACAGATCTCCCCCGCCCCAAGAGATTAATATTAGAGCCGTCTTTGACATAAACAGTGACAGAGTTCTCAATTTCGATGGTTCGGGGACATACAGCATCCCACGGGGCCTATTGCTACCAAAACACTGTCACCAATTTCGCCTCAAAGCTCTTAATTTGGACAACTGCAATTTTGATCAGTTCAAGGACATCAATATCGACGTGAACAGTGTCCATAGTAACCCTTTTGTGAGCATTGGCAACCCCCTCAGTGTGCTTTCTCAGTACAAAGTCAGGTTCCCCGACGGCGGCGACCGAATTCTGAATAGCATCATAGCCGGTGGTGCCTCTTGCTTGTGGTGTTTGTACCTGTTCCATATTGTGGGGATTCGGAGGCTTCAGGTTCGGAATCTTCCCAATCTGAAGTTCTTGTTGATTGCCCAATTCCCAGTGGAGGATTTAGAGATTACAGGAGTCCCCTTTATGGAAGACTTGTACATCAGTGATGCACCCTTGGGAGGTGACTTTGTGGTGTCTTCGATGCAAAATCTCAAAGGGCTATCAATTCATCGTAAGAAATCCAGATTGTCAAGCCGTGCCCGCAAAATCAAGCTGTTAGTTTTATCAGTTTCATCCTTTTCTTCACGGAATTTCATTTTATGTTAAATGTATTTCATTTCAGGGGCATGCAAATTGACAGAGCAGAAGTTCGACGAACTGATTTCGAATTCCCTATCTTTGGAGTCACTTTCTCTGGGAGGTCTTGATAAAGTACAAAACCTGAGGATTTTAAACCATGACAAGCTTTGGAAAGTAGATCTGACTTCTTGGGATGAATTGCAAGTGATTGAAATGAATGCTCCGAAGCTCTGTCATTTCCGATACTTCGGAAGGGTTGATTTGTTTATTAAAATCTTAGTCGGGGCTAGTAATTATCGCAAAGAAGGTGGCCAACCTCTTCATGCACAATATCGGAGCCTTAAAATGGGCGAAAATTGCCGTATTTTGAGAAAATTTCTTACGCAACTGACGCAATGTTGGTTTCATCTGACTGTGGACTTCGGCTTTCTATCAAGTTATAAGGTATGTTTACATCCTTTTCTTTATCCGTTGGAATATATTTAATTATTTATCTTGACATCACTTAGAAATACCTAAATGCCTAGTTGTACCAAACTAACATGCCCAATTAAAAAAAATTGTATAGTTATCAATCAATTCCTAGTTTTATGTGTGTTGCTTATTTAATATATTGTATTATTTGCAGTGTCAATGGAAAGATGTTCGGGAGAAGTTGCCTATTCCAAAAATTGAACACGTGAAGATCTCGAATAGTTTATGGAAATCGCTTGACAATGATGTTTTCTTCAATGGCTTATTTCAGAATTTTCATCCTAACTATTTAAGTTTCAATCTATCATCAACAACAAATGCAGACTTAACATTAACTCTCCAGGTATGTATGATATTCTATTGTCTGCCCAACAAAAAAAAATCCCTTAATCTCCCCTCTTTCTGCCTGAAGTCTCAACCCTTTCCTTGCCAGGGTCCTTACTTTTTTTATTTATAAAAAAAACATACCTATAAGTCCAAATTCTAACTAGAAAATATAACTATCTTTCCTATATTTTCTTTAGTTACAATTACGAGTATGATTTCATTCGATCTTTGAGCATGAGACATCTTTAATCTTTCTCTAGTAGTTTTGTGAACACATGATTTATTGACAGAATAACTGAGTTGGTTTTTCTTTGTTTGTTGACAGTATATATGCGAACGGTTTATGGAGAGAGATTCTGATGAAAATCATTGTGGAATTGTATGTAAATGTTGGCCCCATCAACTCAAAGATATGAAGATAATAAAAAGAGTTATGGATGGTGAAATAAGGGTAGAAGATGGAGATCAAGTGATGGATATTTCAACAGACATATGTTCGTCTTTTGTTGAAGCGAAACAAGTTCTATTCTTGTTCACTTGGGATTAAGTTATAGTGATTGTGCTCTAATTTTGTTAGCACTCTTTGATTATTATTTTTTTGTACTTATTGATTTTTTTTACTGACAATGATGTTATTTTGCTTCCCCAGAAAATTAGCTTCCACAAAAAATCCACATTAATTTAAGTTTTAGGATTATAGACTAATCTCTAATTTTCCTCTCCTCACATCAGTTGAATCAAAACCACGAATGAGTGTTTAAGACACCATATTCGTTAACTATCCTATATTACTAAGTTCTCATATCAATGCCTGCCCAATGATCACCCATGAAGGATAACTTTTGAAACCAATCACCAATCCTGAAGCTATAAAGGAAGGCAGGTGTAGCACAATGATAGACTCATCCACCCATTTGTGAAATATGTTTGTTTGATAATTAACGGGTAAATTGCAAGGTTAGTCACTGGAAGTGCTAAAATGTTCATGTTTGGTCACTAAGGGGTCGTTTGGAGGTTTGTATAGTTTTCTTGAGATTGTAACAATACCTATATTGTTTAAAATACATTGTTCTTTTGGTTTTTATTCATACACAATGCATGGATTGTTGGTTTGATTTGATTAAAACTATCACCCATTTCTTATGATTCAACAATCTCAACATTTTGTTGAGATAGTTGAGATTATTGGTTTGAGATTGTTTAACCCTTTTTTATTCCATTTATGTCCCTAGATATTTTAATTTATTCCCACAACACCCTTCTACCTTTATTCTTTCATCTGCTAGAAATTAACCCCGCGAAAGCCACTGTATCTTCCCCCCAATTTTCTGAAGCTCTCTCCTCACATCTCCCCCTCGCAACCTTCCCTCCTCATATTGGCCCTCTCTTTGTTTGAAACCCGTTGCCGTTCCAACCTCCACAATTACAAAAATGAAAGGAATTTGGGTACCATGGGTGGCGAATTGAAGATTTTGTCGTATAGAATAGCAACAGATTCATCGGTTTTTAAGAAGTTCAGGAAAGGTAATCCCCCTATGCCGTTCCACTCTACCAGAGCTTTGATTAATTGATTGTTTTGAGAATCTGGGCATCTACAAAAGGTAGAGAAAACAAAATTTTCTATGTTTGTTCAGCTGTAAGTCTCGGTGGTGGTTTGGCCATGGAAAGGTGTCCTGTGCATAGGAGGAAGTTGGCAGTTCTAGCAATATCTGCATATTTTGAGTTATTATTGAACCTTATCAAGTTGATAATCCAATATTACAAGGAACTAGAATATGAAGATGTCCAAGTTTTGGAGCATGTTACTCCATGGGAGACACCCATTGCTCGACAGCAGGTTAGAAACTCATTCATGGCGTGCATCACATCCCATGGTGACATATCCAACACTATGCTTATAAGAATGAGTTGTAAATCTTTTGAAAAGTTATGTAATCTTCTTAGAGATCGAGGGGGGCTTAGATGTAGTTGGAACATGGAGATAGATGAGATGGTTGCCATCTTTTTGTACACGATTGCTCATAATGAAAAGAACCGACAAAATCAGATAACATTTCGACGTTCAGGAGAAACCATTAGTAGAGTGATCAAAGTTGTACTCAACTCGGTCTTGAAACTGCATCCTATTCTACTTCGTAAACCAAAGCCAGTTCTTGAGGATTCAGAAGATCCAAAGTGGAAGCACTTCAAGGTAATCTTGTGCAACCTGTGTTGTTTTGCTTTTAGTTTCATATTATTAATCTTATACTTGTTGTTTTATACTGAAGAATTGTCTTGGTGCCGTTGATGGAACCATAGTTGAAGTACGAACAACCAAAGATAGACAAGCAAGATATCGTACACGCAAGGGAACAATTGGTATGAATGTGTTGGGGGTTTGTAATCAAAACCTAGAGTTCATATACGTGTTGACTGGATGGGAAGAATCAGCTCATGATGGAAGGGTTTTAAGAGATGCTCTTGCTAGGCCAAACGGGTTGAAAGTGCCTAGAGGTAACCGTCAAAGTGAATTAATGAAAAACCTCCTCCAACAGTTGATGATTCTAATTTTAATTTCTTTTATTCTATGTTAGGATACTACTATTTGTGTGATGCTGGTTACAGTAATTGTCAAGGATTCTTAGCACCTTATCGAGGGCAACGATATCACTTGAAAGAGTGGGGTAGGAATAGACCAAAGACTCCTGAAGAGATCTTCAACATGAGACATGCCACAGCAAGAAATATTATAGAGCGAGTTTTTGGTATACTGAAGATGCGGTGGGCAATTTTAAGAGACACCACATGGTTCTCCACTCGTATGGTTGCCAAAATCGTGAATGCTTGTTGTCTACTACATAATTTCATACGAGGAGAGGTGGGTGCTGATGTCTTTGAGAGGGTGTATGAAGATGAAGATCCATCTACTGAACCGATAATAGATGATGATGAGTTGATAACACTGATCCAACCGACACTAGAGTGGACACAATTTAGACAACAATTGGCACAGGAAATGTGGGCGTCTAGAACCTATTATGCTAACTAGAGACTTTTAGTTCCCTGGTTATTTTGGTTGAACATGGTCTGGTAATAGTTGGCTCGTTTGTGCTTGTGTGTTTTGCATTGAATGATGTCCTGTGGTTGCCATGTAATGAGTTGTAGAGGGCAGTTTACTTTTCCCTGAACTTTCATTTTGTCACTGAACTTTCATTTTGTCAATAGGACTACTGTCAGTAGTGGGTGTATATTTTTAATGTATATATATGTGAATATAAAATTTATTATGTTTTTATTTGTTATGTATTTATGCTATATATGATAAGTGAAGTAGTTGAAGGGCAGTAGGACATAAATCAGTAGAGGGCAGTAGCAGATTGCAGTAAATGGTGGTGGTTGATGGCTTTATTAGGGCTGGTGTGTGTGGTTTAGTTCATTTACTACATGCATTGCCTTTACATGTTTATATATATATATATATATATGATAATGGAAGGTACAACGGAACGGTAGAACTTAAAAGAAGCAGTTCAAGCCAAGAAAAAATCTGGTACGAAGTTCAACAACAATATAAGCTCCTGGTTGTTTTATTATTTGCATATCATCAAAAACAAGTTTCACTTGCTTGTTCATTTTTGTTTCTGGTTGTTTTGTTTGTAGTTGAATCATGATTGACGATGAGATGAATGAGGGATTCATGGAAACTCAGTCTGCTTCACAAGCAGCATCTGATTCAGATAAGAAAGCACGAGAGTACAACAAATGGACAGAGAATGAAGATGCAGCCTTCATTGAGAGCATGCTACATCTCCTTGAGACCAAGGAAGTCGAGTGTGGAAACTTCAAGAACGGGGGCTTCAAAAAACTCGAGGCTTTGATGGTGAAGAAGATTCCGGGATTTTCAAAAAATGTGGGATCAAGGCATCGGTGGTTCAAGAACAAGCATGCTGCCATATGTGAGATAAAAAATGGAGGCTGTAGTGGATTCGGGTGGGATGAGAACAAGAAGACTGTGGTAGCTGATGATGATGTTTACTCAGCATGGATAAAGGTATCTCCACTATCAAGTAATGTTTGATGAATTTTTCCAATGCTGCTTTCATTTCTATTTATGTATGAATATGATTTTGGGCTATAGAAACTGTGTCTGTTGCTTCTGGACTTGCTTTCATTTCTCTTACCAGTTTTCATGGTTGTGCTTCATAGGCCAATTCTTCCTTCTCCGGCCTGAAGAAGCCATTCTTATACTTTGACCAACTATCAATGATATTTGGTAAGGATAGAGCCATGGGTGGTGAAGCTACTGACATTAATATGGAGTCCCCTACTACCCATGGGGTGGAGTCTGCTGCTGCCACAAATTTCAATTTTGCAGATGGCATTGGAGTGGAGTCCGTCTATGATGATGAAACAAGCCAACGCGTTCTGGAGCATATTATAAATGAAGGTGTCAGTCATAGGACCTTCCTCAAAGTCCCAGAGTCTGCTCCTTCAAAACCGACCAAGTCATCAGGAAGCAACAAACGTTCAAGGAATAGTAAGGATGAAACATCTACTTCTGTTGTGGCTTGTGAGATAGCAAAACTGAATCCCCTAATGGAGAAAGCAACCATGAACATTGAGAAGATGGCTAATAGTTTCTGTCTTGAAGATGAACTCACTGTTAGGAGGGGTCGATTGTATGAAGAGTTGTCAAAGGTTGAAGGTTTGACAAGTGAGCAATGCATTTCAGCAGCAATGGTTCTTATCAAGGATGATCGAATTGCACAGCTGTACTACCAGTTGCCAACTGAGGAGGAGAAGTTCCATTTTCTCCTTCGTATAATTGACTAAAAGCAAGCCATCTTCTTCTACCAACGGCAAGATTATGTTTGTAGAACTATTTAGTGTCATGTTATGTTTGATTAAGTCATATTAAGTCAGATTATAATAGTAGGAGTAGGTGAACTATTATGTGTGCTTTATGTCAGATGAGACATCTGCCAAGTGTCTTTGTTTTGTATTAGCTAAAGTAAACTGGTTGCATTCCCTGTGAGCAATGCTATTTTGATATTAGATGGTTGTAATAGGGTACTGGCCGGTTGCTCACATGATTAAATATGTTGTAATTTTCTATAGATTCAATTGTTTTGTTGTCATTTGAGCTGCTGGTTTTTTTACATAAGTTGCAGAATAATGGGTCATGAACTGTGTCTGCCACTGGTCTGCCACTTATGAAGAACATCTGATAGGCAAGGAAAGAAAATTAGAGAACCAGTAAAAGAGGGAAACAAATAATGGCTTTTGTCTTTAGCTTATGAAAATGGAAGGGCAAAAATGATATTACATCTTTTAAGTGATATGTTTTTATTCTCAAAACAAAAGGACAATCTCATACACCAAACAATGAATTTTACAATACCTCAAATTTCACAATACATGTATAATATTATACATGGATTGTCAACAATACAACTATATAACAATCGTAACCTCCAAACGACCCCTAAAAGAATTTTATTCCATTTGTAGTCACTGGAAGTGCTTAACATTTCACGATTGGTCACTCTCCATTAGTTTCCGTCCGTCTCCGTTAACACCGTTAATGTTTAGCTTACATGGCTAACACCAATGCTGATTCACCCAATTTAAACCTGCCATGTCATATAATTCGGCCCGCCACGTAAGAAAATCCCCACACAATCCAACCAAATCACATAACCCGACCCTGCCTCTCCTCTTCTTTTTCTTCCAATTGAAATCTCCATCTCGGTTTCATATTCTCCTTTTGTTGCCGCCTCATCCATCATCACCGTGGGAGTTTCTATTGGATGAGGAATCAGACTTGGTCTTAGATGGATTCAAGAAATCTCTCTCAACCACAATATGAACAACCAGACCCATCTTAATTGAGCGAAGAACACAAATTTTCCCCCTTTTGGCCAAAACCCAGAGCAGACCACGATTGGGAGCAGATAACGGACTCAGTTAGCGGAGATGGACAAAAACTAACAAAGAGTGACCAATCGTCAAACGTTAAGCACTTCCAGTGACCATGAATGGAATAAAATTCTTTTAGTGATCAAACGTGAATATTTTAGCACTTCCAGTGACCAACCTTGCAATTTACCCGATAATTAACTATATAAAATCCTCTTTCGCCTGAGCCCTGAAGTCGACATCTTGTTCCGAGCAGAGATGGATCAAGCTCGGGTGATTTTATCAGATCATGAATTTCAAAAACAGAGTACAGTAAGAAATTCATCGTCACCGTCTCTAAAAGACACCCTTACCCTCCGCTCAACAATCAACATTCAAACAAATGATTAGGTACCAAATCCAATTCCCCTAAAGACACCCTTACCATCGTGGCCTCGCCAAAGAAGCCATGAGGATTAGTTTTGCCAGTGGTGACGACTGACGAGGCAAAATTGGTAGTATATGGGTACTGACTAGGGGTGTTCAAATGGTTATTATGGTAATTACCAAACCAAATAAGCATAAATTCTATTAATCATGGAATACAATATCATAACCAAACCGTCCAAACTAATACAACAACCAAATTAACCAAACTAAAACTTAATCAGTCTGGTTAATTGGTTAATCAGATTAACCAATTTAACATCACATTATCATTAAGTGAGAAAAAATCTTGAGTCTATGCATCAATTCGTAATTTATATTATCAATAAAATATAACAATCAACATAAAGTTATAGTTACTCCTTCATATAAATACATACAATAATACAATTATCTTATCGTACGAAGTACACCTAACAAAATATATAGTCTCTTAGCAATTATTATAGGTTGAAAAAGACCTTTCAAGTTTTCATCCAACATATGAACATAATATATGTGTTTTATCTTAATTAGGCATATATATGTTGTGGTCTACACTCTATAAATACAAATGTACAATATAGATATAGAAACAATAATGAGTTTTTTTTTTGTGATCTTAAAAGAGATAAAAGTCTGACTCTTGAGTGGTTATGCAAAGTATTAAGTATGTGTATATAATATATATTACATATATATGGCTAATTACTTAACTGGTTAATTTGGTTTGATTGGTTATGAGTGTCTGAAACCAAAACAAACCACCTAAACCAAACAAGCTGAAAATTTTAACCAAACCAAACCAAACTAATTATCCAAATTAACCAAACCAAATTAATCAAATACTACCAGTTAAAACGGTTATCACGGTAACCAAACCGTTTGAACACTCTACGACTAATATAAATTTTGGGCTACACCAAGCACAAATCAACCTGAGTTGAGTTTAATTATTAATTGTGCAACCTAGAGAGAACTGGGCCAATATCGCTCTTATCAGGGAACTCAGAGAGAGAAAATAGAGAGAGAAAACGCTCCCACCTCTCTCCTTTTTTTTCCCGTTGTTCTTTGGATGACCGTTGGGGGTGTGCCTCCCGGAGCGGAGGCAGACCATTGTTTGAAGCCACCAGATGATTCGCCGCCGCCAGATGGGTCGCCGCCACCGGATGGATCGCCGCCGCTAACGCCGATCCAACCAAGCAAGAAGGCGAAGGCCAGCTCGAGCGGAGATTTCTCGGGAGAGGGAGGAATGGATATCGCAATCGTCACAGCGCGAGCTGGAGAACACCACCAGGGGAAGGATGTGGAAATGGAACCGATCGCTACCGGTGAGGCAGGGCAATCCCCAAACCCATGCCCGATCAGAAAGGAGGAAGGGCGAATGAAAGTCTCCTACAAAGATTCTTTTCTGGGAAATGACCCCCCTGAGGAAGTCCCCCTCGGCGACGACTTGATGTCCGACGAATCGGAAGGAGAAGATGTCGATGACGATCCCGACTGTCCAACAATCAGAATCAAGAAGAGCACAGACGCGAGGGTCAGAAACAGGTGGAAAAGGGCGATTACCTTTCGAGTGTTGGGTAAGACCTTCCCCTTTGCTTTCATTCACAGGAGAATCCAGAAAATGTGGGCGAGAACAGGAGGGATCAAAATTGGGGATATTGGGAATGGCTATTTCCAAGCGATTTTTGATTCCCAACTCGACCATGATCGGGCTTTGTTTGGAGGACCGTGGACGATTGAAGACCATTACGTTGCTGCAGAGCCATGGAGGATCGATTTCGACCCAGACTTTGATTCGATCAGTCATGCGTCTGTCTGGGTCAGGCTTCCGCGTCTCCCACTGGCCTACTTCGATGAAGAAATCTTGTATGATATTGGTGATAAACTGGGAAGGGTTGAGAAAATTGACTACAACACGGCGAATGGCTCAAGAGGGAATTATGCCAGAATATGCGTGGAGATTGACCTAAGGAAGAGACTTGTCTCTAAGTACAGGATCAAAAGAAGGGTGCGCAGAGTGGAATATGAAGGACTACATATGGTTTGTTTCGGGTGTGGGCACTATGGGCACTTTGAAGAGGCCTGCCCTCATCGTGTCTTTAATGGAATGATGACACCAGAAGAGAAAACTAAGCAGAGTATCCCCCAAATGCAGAAACAAGAGATCAGGCCAGAACTTATTGAAGACTTCGGACCATGGATGTTGGCAACAAGAAACCGGAGAAAGACAAAACAGCAAAATGGTCAGAAAGCAGGGAAGGAAAATAAAGGAAAAGAAGATACTGCAGATAAAGAGGCACAAGGATCAAGATTCAGTGTGCTTGAGAATGATGAAGACAAGGAAGTTGATACTGAAGATGAGGAGGTTGATGAACATATTGTCACACAGGAGGAAAAGGATTTCGTAGAGGGAAGGAAAGGGGCAGGTAAAGAGGAAAAACAACAGGATAGTAACACTACAGGGAATGATAGAGTGAGAATAGGGGATAGGAAGGCCGGGCCAAGCACAAAGAAGGGTCAAGAAGATAACAACAAAAACTAGGAAAAGCCTGGACAAGGGAAGAAGAATCAGGAAGGTGTAAGGGAAGAAAAACAGACAAGGGGGAAGCAGCACAACTCCTCCACTGTGAAGGAAACAAGGGGTTCAAGAGTGCCTGTGGTTCCCAAGAGTGGTAAAAACACTCAACCTTCTCATGTTAATAAGCAAAAAAGCAAAACTAAGGAAGGGGGAACTACTCCTACGCAGGACAAGCTCAAAACAGGGAATGAAAGGGGGCAGGCATCAGGTGCTCTTGCAGGACACCAGCCTAAAGGAAAACAGGTGTCCATGAATGTTGAAAGTAAAGAGAAAGCTAAGAAGAAAGTAGTCTCCCCAGAAAATGGGATTGGTCAACCGAAGAAGATCAACTTCGATCTGAGCTCGGACATGGACCAAATGCAAGAAGATGCAGTCCTGCCGGATGGAAATGACCAAAAGGTCGAACCTGATGGGAGGCAGATGGCAATGGCCATCGACCATTGAAGATCTTTGCTGACTGTTCTGTGGTAAGGTACATTAGCTTAATGGTTAAAGTATTTTCCTGGAACTGCAGGGGTGCCAGACACCCCAAATTTCACTCGGCTTTTATGGAATATAAAAGGATATTCCGTCCTGATGTGGCTTGCATTTTAGAGCCAAGAATTAGTGGCAATGATGCAATTGATGTTATCAAGACCTTGGGGTATGACTCATGGAAGGTATCTGATGCTGTGGGTTTTAGTGGTGGAATTTGGGTCCTATGGGATAGTGGGAAGCTGAATCTGGAACAGGTTGACAAGCATAAACAATTTGTCCATCTGGAATGTGTTGATGGAGGTAGGGTACATTTCCTGCTAACGACAGTGTATGCCAGTCCCAACGAGCATGAGAGGAAAGATCTCTGGGAGAAGGTAAGGAGTTTAGAGCAGGAGGTGCAATCGCCATGGTTGATCCTTGGGGATTTCAACTCGATCACTCGACCATCTGAGAAACAAGGCGGTGCTGCTTTTAATCCTGCCAAAGCCAGGGCTTTTAAAGAATGTATTGATGAGTGTGGACTTATTGACCTTGGATATCGAGGACCTAAGTTCACGTGGTTCACAAGGAACTCCACCCTGAGAGAAAGACTGGATAGAAGTTTGTGTAACTCCTTGTGGCAAGAAAGGTACCCTGCAACTTTCAACCTGCATCTCCCGAAGCTGAGGTCTGATCACAGACCTATCTTGACTTGCACGGATCTGGACTCTGGCAATAAGAACCTGGTGAGAAGATTCCAATTCTTAGCACCTTGGTTGTCTCATGAAAATTTCTTTCCTTTCATTTCCTCTAAATGGATTAAAGGCATGGAATTCCCATCTTCATTGCAGGGTCTCTCAGCCAACCTCAAAGACTGGAACAAAGATGTTTTTGGCAACATCTTCCAGCAAAAGAAGGACCTTCTGAGAGATCTCAAAAACTTGGAAATCCTCAATGAGAGGAACCCTTGCACAAGCTCTCTCCAAAGGGAGCAAGAGACGAGGGAGAAACTCGAGACGACACTGTGGAATGAAGAATTACTCTGGATTCAGAAATCGAGATCCAACTGGGTGGTGAAGGGTGATCAAAATTCCAGATACTTCCATACAAGTACACTAAGCAGAAGAAGACATAACAGAATCGTTGGACTCAAGAATGAAGGAGGACAATGGATCACTGATCCTGACAGTCTCTAGAAGATGGCAGGAGAGTTCTACAGGAACCTCTTTACCAGGGACCCCCTCTCCCTTTCTTCTCCCCTCCCTGCTTGTTTCCCTTTGATTGATGATTCTTTGTTGACTGGCTTGAAGTCCATCCCAAACCAAGGGGAAATCAGAGCCATCATTATGGAGATGAAGGGATTGAAAGCCCCTGGAAAAGATGGATTCCATGCCATTTTTTTTACCAAAAATGCTGGGATATCATTGGTTTTGACCTTACCTGTTTCATCCACTCCTGCTTTAGATCCCCAGATAGGATTAGTACCATCAATGAAACCTTGTTGGCTTTAATCCCTAAGATTGAAGCTCCCCAGTCGATGAGTCAGTTTAGGCCTATTAGTCTATGCAATGTTGTGTATAAAGTGATTGCCAAGAGTCTTGCAAATAAAATTAAACCTTTGCTGCCTTCCCTCATTCGCCCTAACCAGTCCAGTTTTGTACCTAAGAGACATATAACTGACAACATTATCATTTTGCAGGAGACAGTTCACTCTATGGCTAGAAAGACAGGAAAGAAGGGTTCCATGCTCCTCAAGATTGATCTGGCTAAGGCTTACGATAGGATCAACTGGGATTTCTTGGAAGAAACACTGGTGGAAGCTCACCTCCCGAGGGAATGCATCAGAATCATCATGGCATGTGTGACCACGACAAGTTTCCAGGTCCTCTGGAATGGTGGGGAGACTGATTCTTTCACCCCAACAAGAGGATTACGCCAGGGATGTCCCCTCTCTCCCTACCTTTTTACTTTGTGCATGGAAAGACTGTGTCACACCATTGTAGAAGAGGTTAGGACCAAATAATGGAAACCAATGAAACTTTCACCTAATGGACCTGAGCTGTCTCACTTGTTCTTCGCGGACGACCTTGTGCTTTTTGCTGAGGCCAGCCCGAAGCAGGCTGATGTAGTCATGTCATGCTTGAATAGGTTTTGTAATGCTTCTGGTGAAATGATTAGCAAGGAAAAATCCAGGGTCTTTTTTTCCAAAAACGTCCAGAAAAAAACCAGGGCTGAGATTTGTGCTAAACTTGGGATTCAGGCTACCAATGACCTTGGTAGATACTTAGGGGTCCCTGTTCTGCATGGTAGACTAAACAACAGCACATACAAGTTTATCCTTGAGAAGATTGATAATAAACTATCTATGTGGAAGGCTAGAACCTTGTCGCTTGCAGGGAGGGTTACACTTGCCACTTCTGTGTTAAACGCTCTCCCTAGTTATGCTATGCAGTCTTCTGTCTTGCCTGCCACTGTGTGTGATGCTATTGATAGGAAAATCAGAAGCTTCATTTGGGGATCTCAGGCTGGAGGCAGGAAAGCCCACTTGATCTCTTGGGATACAATCTGTAAACCCAAAAGTCAGGGGGGTTTAGGTCTGAGGTCTACGAGATGTATGAACAGAGCTTTCATGGTCAAACTTGCGTGGCAAATGTTAAACCATGATGACATGCTTTGGGTTAAGGTTTTGCAGGGTAAATATTTTAAACATAAGGATGGGGCAATCGTGGGAATGAAGACAAGCAACCATTCAAGCCTTTGGAGAGGGATTATCAAGGCAATGCCTTTGATGAAGAGCGGTTGCTGCTGGAGCATAAGAAATGGGCAAACGACCAGCTTCTGGTCTCACCCGTGGCTTGAATGTGGTGTCACCCTGGAAAGCTACCTGACAGCTGACCTCTCAGAGAGAGAGAGAGAGGTTCATCAGTGGCGGAATGGACCACTGAAGAAGGTAAGTGGGACTGGGAACGAATGAGAAGAGTCCTGCCTGACAACGCCTTGAACTTGATTGCAGGAACAGATCCACCCAACCCTGAACTTGGAGAGGACAAGACAATTTGGGGCCTGGAGAGAGATGGGAGATTTCGGCTGAAATCAGCATACTACCCGGCGGCAGCAGATGATGAAGAGGAGGAGACTAATGAGACCAGCTGGAAGAGGATCTGGAAATGGAAAGGACCCAACAGGGTCAGACACTTCTTCTGGATCGTCTTCCACGAGAGGCTTATGACAAATCAGGAACGCAAAAGAAGGAAGATCACTGGGAATGACGATTGCAACCACTGCAGGGACAAGATTGAGTCGATTGAACACATCCTTAGAAGTTGCAGGAAAGCTACTGATATCTGGGACAAGCTTGGACACAAAATGAAAGAGAAGAACATGCAGCTGCCACTGGAGGAATGGCTTTTGAAGAACCTGATGGACGAAGAGAAAGGAGTCGATTTCGGACTTGTTTGCTGGCATTTATGGAAACAGAGAAACGAGGAAGTTATGGAGGGGAAAAAGTTCTCTTCACAGGGCCTGTTGTGCAGAATGAATGCTTGGTTCAATATCATCAGAAATGCACACCAGTTCGTGGAGAGTACCTCCCCCCAAGCAAAGAGAGATACACACAAAATGAATATTGCCTGGAAACCACCACCAGATGGGTGGATTCAGCTCCAGAGTGATGGGTCGGTTCACAACGAAACAGGGAAGGCAGCGGCAGGAGGTCTTCTACGAGATCACTTGGGTAGATGCAGCTATGCTTTCACATGTAACCTGGGAAGCTGTTCGATCACGAGTGCAGAGTTAAAATGAGCCAGTGAAGGGCTTAAGATTGCGTGGGACAGAGGGTATAGAAAAGTCGAGCTTAATCTTGACTCGGAGACTGCAATTTCAATCATCAGAAACAATGAAGATGATGAGCACAGACACGGCCAGGTTGCTGCCTTGTTTCGCAGGCTTTTGAACCGGGATTGGGAGGTTAAAATTTCGCATGTATATAGAGAATCAAACTTTGCTGCAGATTTCCTTGCTAGTGTAGGTCACGACTCCCCTTTTGGCACACATCTCTTCGATGTGTGCAACCCGGGACTTACGAAATGGCTGTACTATGATACCATGGGCATTGCCCAAGAACGTTCCATTAATTCAATGCACTAGGCGCAATGCGTCATCTTTTCTACCAAAAAAAAGAGAGAACTGGGCCTGCCAAATTGAAATATTGGGCTGCACCAACCACCAAACCCAAAGCCCAACAGAGGTTGAATAAAACGCGCTCTGTTCTTCATCTTCTGCTCTTCCCAAATCCCACCCGCCCCTAAAGACCTAAACCATGTCTTCAGATTGCAATCGCCGTCGCCTGGAGACAATCCCGGCCGCAGCCGTCGGCGGAGAAAAAGAAGTAGACCGGATATCGGGATTACCGGACGAGATCATCCATAGGATTCTCTCACTCGTAGACCCCCAAAAGGAAGCTGCAAAAGCCAGCGTCCTGTCCCATAGATGGTCCAAGCTCTGGCGGTCTTACCCAATCCTCGAGTTCCACAATACCCAATTCGCTTCGACCGAATCGGCGGAGAGATTCGCCGCCGCCGCGTCGGAAAAGTTCAGTCCTAGTATCGCCGTGGAAGCCGTTAGAATCAAGTTCAATCATCAAAAAGAGTGGGACGTAAACTTCTGCTCTGCTTTCCTCGATAACATGTTGGATTTGGCTGCAAAGAGATCTCCCTTGCCCCAAGAGATCGACATTGAAGCGGAATTTGATCGCAAGACTCACAGCCATGTCAATTTCGATGGTTCGGGGACGTACAGCATCCCACGGGGCTTACTGCTACCCAGATCCAATTCCAACCCTAACCATCGATTTCGCCTCAAAATTCTCAAGTTGGTCAACTGCAATTTCGATCGGTTCAAGGATATCGAGATCAACAGCAACCATTTCTCGGGCCTGGGCAGCTCCCTCAGGCAGCTCTTCCTCACCCAAGTCAGCTTCCCCGCCGGCTGTCAGATTCTCAATAGCATCATTGCCGGTGCCTCACTCTTGCAGGAATTGTTTCTGTGCGTGGTTCCGGGGATTTGGAGGCTTCAGTTTCGGAACCTTGGCAACCTGAAAGTGCTTGACATTCACGAATGCCCAGTGGAGTATTTAGAGATCACAGGAGTCCACTCTCTGGAAACCTTGTGCATCACTGAAGCCCCATTGGGAGGTGATTTCGTGGTATCTCCAATGCCGAATCTCAAATCACTGAACATTCACGGTAAGAAATTCAGATTGTCAAGCTCTCAGTTCCATCCCCCTGCAAAATCTCACTCTATGTTTTTATCCAGATGCATGCCAATTGACGCAGGAAAAGTTCGATGAATTGATTTCCAAGTCTCCATCTTTGGAGTCACTTTCTGTGGGAGGTCTTGCTAAAGTACAAGAACTGAAGATTTTCAATGCTGACAAGCTTTGGCGTCTTGGTCTGTCTTGTTGGGCTCAATTGCGGGCGATTGAAATGAAGGCTCCAAAACTGTGTGATTTCCGATACTCAGGAAGGATTGATTTCTTCATTAAATTTTTAGGCGAGGTTGGTAGCTATCGCAAGGAAGCTCGTCAATCTCTGGAAGCACGATACTGGAGCTTTGGAACTGATGAAAAAGAATTCCACGCTTTGAGAAAATTTCTTGCGCAACTAACACAGTTTTGGTTTCGCCTAACTCTTGATTTCTACTTTCGAGAAAGCTATGAGGTATGTGGAAATAATCTTTTACTTAATTATACTTCGATGATCTTTTTGATTTGTTTGAATGTATGTTTAACTCGGTATCACCTGCAACTCATATTGCCATGTCGTACCAAACCAACATCACCTATTGAAAAAAATTGTATTGTTGACTATTGATTTCGTACTCATATGTGTGTTTATTTATTGAATCGTATTATATGCAGCATCGCTGGGAAGAATTTCAGGAAAAGTCGCCTATTCCAAGAGTTGAACATATACAAATCGAGTGGGATTTCTCAATATTGATCAACAAAGATGCTTTTTTTGACGACCTGTTTCAGAATTTTCATCCTAACTATTTAAGTTTCACTCGAGAAGAATATTCGTATTCAACGTCAACTGAGGATTACTTAGTGGCGGTCGAGGTATGTATGATCTTCGATGGCTTTTTATCAAAACATTGCAATCAAGTTTGAGTCGTCTATGTTCTTATCACGAGTATTGTTTCATTTAATATTTAGACTACTCGGATTTGGAATCAAGTGGATGTTTATGCATGCAGCATTACTCATTCCTCTAGATAGTTTCATTCTTTCCTTTTTTAATAAATAAGTTTTTTTTTTTTTTTTTGTGTGTGTGTGCTTGAGTTGGTTCTTTTATGTTGACAGTATGTATGTAAGAAGTTCATGGAGAGAAATTCGAATAATCATTGTGGAACAACATGTAAGTGTTGGCATCACCAATTCAAAGACATGAAGATTATAAAGAGAGTTAGAGATGGCAGAATCAAAGTAGAAGATGGTGACAAAGTTATGGACATTTCACCGGATACATGTTCGTCTTTTGCTGAAGCAAAACAAATTTTGCTTCTATTGATTTGGGATTAAATTTGAAGTAATTATGCTATAGTTTTGTTGCGAACAATTTTATTTATACTTATTATCAGTCTTTTGTACCTACTATCTATCTCATTATAATAGAATAATAGATACTAATTATAGTCTTTCTTTTTCAATTGAATTTTGAGCTATACTACTACTATATCAAATATTCCTTTTTGGTTCACTAACCAGTGTTAGAGCTAATGGGAATGGCACCTATCACACAGTTAACAAAACCAATAATGGGGAAATGCGAGGAGCAACAGCAGCTTACCATTGGTGGCGGTGAAGAACACCAAATTGAGATCATTCATTTGACAAGATATTGTTCAATTCACTTTAATTTCAATTTCGGTAAACTTGACGAGGTAATTAAATGATTAGTTGACCGTCCAACTTGACGGTTAACTCATGAGTTCGACCAAATTAGTCTATATAGTGAATAGTTTATATTAGAATAGAAGGTACTGGCCAAATTAGTATATTAGTATATAGTTCGGACCAGTTTAAAGTATTGACTATTTTCATTATGACATCAATATCATGTGTCATACATGACATAAACATATTAGGTTATGTCATTTATAAATTATTTTAGAGAGTTCAACTATTTAGAATAATTGAGTTGAGTTCGAGGCAAAATCCTGATCTTATTGATGAGTCAAACCGAGTAGATCTAGTGAGCTCATTAATAAGTCGGGCTTGAGTCAAAATCGAGACAAACATGATTCAATGTTTTATTAAACAAGCCTAACTAGAAATAGACAAAATTCAATTTGGCTCGACTCCTTTGCAGTCCTAGGTGAACCTGCACAATATCAAGTCAAACTCTGATATGTTAATTAAATTATCAATTTACTCAATCCACGAAGCCGATGTTCTTTATGTTTCCCACCTCCCCCCATCTAAGGCCTAAACCATGGGGAAACGCAGCCGCCGGGAGACCAATGGCTCTGGAGAAGCTAATCAAATCCGGATAGTATCCGTAGACGCGAAGAGAAACTCCAATCTCCAAAAGCCAAAGATGAGCAAGACCAAATCGGATCAAAATGACTAGAGAGAAGAGAGATTAGTTTTCAAAATAAAGAAGAGAGGTAATTCCTAAACACATAGGAATACTAGTAACTGCATTTTGGATACTAGTTTTGCATTTTGGGCTGAGCCTATCACTAAGCCTAAAGCCCAACGGAGGTTGAATTTGATCTTCTTCTAGTGAAGTGCAGAACTGGCAGTAGAGGTTGAATAAAAAAACCCTCTGTTCTTCATCTTCTGCTCTTCCCAAATCCCACCCGTCCCTAAAGGGAAAAAATCCCAGAATACTCAAGTTATTAAAAAAAAATTTCCCTAAATACAGTAATTATAAACTTATTTCCCAAAGTACAGCAGTTTCCATATCACTGTCTTTGATGAAGACAGTGATTATAATCACCGCTTTCGTAGACAACGGGGAAGTTATCACCGCTTTCGAAAACAACGGGGAAGGTATAACCGCCGCCGTCCAAAACGGTGATTGCCTCACCGCTGTTGTCCAAAACGGTGATTGCTCCACTACTGTTGTGCAAAACGGTGATTACATCATCGCCGTCGACCAAAACGGTGATATTTGACCACGTTTTAGAGCCCTGGTAGGTGGAAAATTAGGTCACAGCGACCTAGCTATCACCGTTTTGGACAAAAGCGGTGATGTGTTCACCGCAATTGTCCACTGCAGTGATTAGCTGACATTTTTCCTTATAAAAACCAACCCCCACGTCCCTCCTGCTGCCTTCCAGCAAAGTAGTACAAAAATTAGTGTTTTCTGGTCGTTTTCTCAGCTGGTTTGGAGTTGGTTTACTGCTCAAGAAACTCATCGGGATTCGGTATGTTATAATTATGTATTGTTTACATGTTGATGTATTAGTAATTATATGTCTGTATTTAGTGAATTGCGGTTATTGGCAAATATGTTATGAGATATTTAGATTAATTATGATATGATAGATGTTAGTTAGTTAGTTATGAATTTAGATGAATTTGTTTAGTTTTCTCATGATAGATCAATTAGTTGCGTTTGTTTATGGGTTTGGATGATATTGTTTTTGTATCCCTAATGTACTAATTATATATTATACTTAATTATTATAAATTGCAGACATGGGTAAATTTAAGAAGTTTCGGCTTATTATTCGATGGAACGGACGGGTGACAAACTCGAACATTGGGATCGACTATGAAAATGGCGAAGCCACTATGCTAAAAATTGAGTCGAGATTCTCGTGGCAAGAACTCCATGACTTTTGTGCAAAAAGGACTTGTATGGGCGAGCAAAGGAGAGTTGTGGAGTGCAGGTAGTAATGTAATTCAGTGTTTGTTCATGGTTTATTGTTTAAATGAAATTTCTTATGCCTTAATTATTTATTCTTCGGTCTTGAAGCGGTTGCACATCAACCAAAAAAGTACGAGCAGAAGATGAAGACGATCCGTTAGATACAGCGGGCGGGGGCAATATGGGCAGAAGGTCAAGATCTGCACATGTGGACATTCCACATGGACAACGGGGTTAGATTCGGCATTGCAACTACCAACCATGGCGAGAGCATAAATGGAGTCTACAAGGGAATTAGGGCAATGACTGTATCTGTCCTAGTGGAGATGACATACTGGAAGGTAAACGAGTGGTTTGTGAAGAGACGGGATGGAGCGTGCTGGTCATTCAATAGCACATCATGTATTTCATGACATGCAGAAGATCGAAGAGAAATCAAGTAAGCACAGAGTTGTTCTGTTCAACCGCACTGGAGGTATTTTTGTTGTGCAAACAGGTATTTGGGGTGGAGGAAGACGTGGGCATAATCATCAATCCGTTACTCTACACGTAGAAACTCACACCGGAGAGTGTACATGCCAAAAGTATCAAAACATAAGAGTACCATGTTCACATGCAATGGCAGTAGCTAAGTCGATAACCCTCAGCGCTTACAGTTGGGTTAGTCCTTACTACACAGAACAGGCGATCAGGAACTCCTACTCGTCAAGTTTCAGCCCCCTGCCGGATGAAGCTTATTGGCCTGTAGACAATGGGAAGTTGATTATCCCACCGTTGCACTTAAAGCGCACCAAAGGTCGTCCTAGGACCGAAAGGATTCACAATGAAATGGATCAATCACAACGTGCCCGACGAGGTCCAAAGCGTTGCTCAAAGTGCAGACAACCGGGTCATGACAAGAGGTGTTGCCCAGGCCCACCTCTAGAGCAAGATTCGGGGGCAAATACGAACCAACCTTGAGGCTGTTGTATTTAATTGTCATTTTCGTTGTTGTGATGTTTAAGTTGAACTTCTTATTTTAATCTTGTTGAGTGATTGTAATGATGATGGATGTTGTTTATCTTGGTACAACATGGGTGGTAAAATACAAAATAAGACCAAACTAAATTAAGACGACATAGATAGTTCATGGAAAACAACACAAGACCAAACTAAATTAAGACGACATAGATAGTTCATGGAAAACAACACAAGACATAACTAAACATGGATAGTTCACTGGTTGTCTTCATTTCCTTCCACTTCCCCTTCTCTTCCTCTTCCTCTTCCTCCACGACGTCCTCAGCCCCTTCTCCCGCCTTCCATACCTACTCCTTCTTCGCGAGCCCGCTGGACAACTGCTCGCGGATTCCTCTTAACCCGACCCCCCACCGGAGTGTACACAGGTGGTGGTGGTGGAATTTGCTGAGATGAACCAGAAGCGTGGTAGAAAGTCGATTGTTTTATGTTGTTGTTGCCGGGTCTGATACATCGGAGTTTGTTGCTGATGGTAGAAGTGAGGGGTGCCTTGGGTGAACATGTCCTGTTCCTGAGTCGGGGCATAGCTTGACGACCCTCCGGCGCCCTCAGTACTAGTTGCCCACTCACAATGTGGCCATGGTTCAGGAAGTTGAGTTTGTTGAGTCGGATGAAGCTCTTCAATGTTGGCTCTCACCCTTCTTCTGCTCCTCCGCGGGGGCTCTTGTGGGGGCACGATCCTCTCATCATCACGGAATGAAGGTCGGGCCGGAGCAGGCATTGGAGGGTATAATACGACATCCCTCCTTTGCTCTCGGGTACAAGAGAGCAGGTTGTTGAAAAGCCTCACCAAAAAAGATGTCTTCCGCTCATCCATGGTGGGTGCACTCTCGACAGTGTGCTTGGCATGTTCCAAACCGTCAACCTAATAAATTTTTGTACAAAATTAACTAAATTAAATCTAATAATGTTAATTAACATTCTAGCTAATATAGGCATGTAATCATACTACAAAAAATTAAGACAAAGAGGGCAAAATGGATTTCACTTACCACTGCGCCCCAAACAGCACCTAGCTTTGACACCCATCTTAGCGTGAATTTCCGATACCACCGCATGTACCCATCGTGGTACCCCATTGGCCTCGTCTCCGACACCCCTTGGACCACCCACTGATCTCTATTCTCCCATATGTTGATGTAGAATTCATGCTTGCGGACCCAATCCTTTTTGATGTAGCGTAGGCCGATGGCGTGGAGCTCCCTGAACCCTTGAGGTGGGGATGCTGTAATTGGTTGCTCCAATCGATATTGCCTCAAAGATCGATCGGGCAGGTACCATTCCACCATGTGCCAGCAGATTAAGGGCACCTTTCACAACCATGACTCTTCATCCTCGGGATGTCTAAGACGATGCAACTCAACCACTTCATTTGGATATGGATCCCATACCGCCTACAATCATTATAGTTCATGGAATTATTACAAATTATATCCACTCCACCTAAAAAATTGAAAATGATGAATTTTATATTTTTACCTGGTTCCACCAAGGCATATCAAATTCAGCACGATAAAACAGTAAAGAGTGCTCGGGCTGGTGGTCGTTTGTATTTGCTCTGATCCACCTAATTAAGCAAAAGTACTTATATAAGCAATTTTTAAAGCATAGATGTTTACTTGTTAAGTATGATTTTATGGAAGCATCTAAATTGAACTAAAATTCCTTACTTGGCAATAATCTAAATTCGATCAATACAATTTGGTTAGAATAAATCTAAATTCGCTTACTTGGAATAGATCTAAATTCACTAAAATACTATAATTGCATACTTAAAATGAATCTAAATTCGCTTACTTGGAATCGATCTAAATTCACTAAAATACTATAATTGCATACTTAAAATGAATCTAAATTCTCTTACTTGGAATCGATCTAAATTCACTAAAATGCTATAATTTCATACTTAAAATGAATCTAAATTCGCTTACTTGGAATAGATTTAAATTCACTAAAATACTACCATTGCATATCTAAAATAAATTAAACTAAAATTTAACTTACTTGAAACCATATGGGGGATTTGCTACAAATCGTAGCTCATCATCTGACAACCAGAATTCCCGTGGGTCTCGAGGTGCGAAAAATGGAAGATGCTCCCATGCCCAGAGCTGGAGTATGAACATCGCACCACCAGCTTGTTTTGCTCCCAACCTCGAGCAAGTACACAACTCTCGGTAGATCCCAGCCAAGACGGCCGACCCCTAACTTTTTTTCCCGATCTCGTCCCAGTCACCGAGGAGAATAGGTAACCACATGCCTTGTATCCACCGGTTTGCCTTTTCGGGGAACAGAAACCCACCAACCAAGCCAATTAGGTAGACACGTGCATACCGCTCCACCTGATCTTCAGGAGTTTCCGGGCCTATATTAACCTCCAACTAGATGTGTTCAACAAGTCACGGGATCGATACTTGCCCCGCATTCAGTGGTGGATGCCCAAACCCTTCGACGGGCGTGGTGGTCGGCATGTTGAACCCCAAACGCGCTTGAATCAACGGCCCCCAACCATCTTCCGGTTTTCTCGAGTTGTCGATGATGGCATCTCCAGTGATCGGGAGCCCGGTGAGGATGGCAACATCTTTGAGGGTGATCATCATTTCACCCTCGGGAAAGTGGAAGGTATGCAGCTCGGGGGGGCCATCGCTCCGCCATTGCCGTCAGCAGATCGTTGTCAATATCAAGCCTCATGAAGTGCCTCAGCATGTACAATCCCGTCCTCTCTAGATAGGGCGCCAGTCGAGCATGCCAACGGGGAAATCGACATGTCCCTCGATGACTGATGGGAATAAGTGATTCCTACAAAACAAAAAACACAATGTTGTCAGTCAATAGAAAGCAAAATAAAAACTTTTAAACTAATGAAATAATTTTAGTGTCTACCGGATTATTGTTCCAAATTGCACGGGAGCGATGTTGATCTTGCCCGGTTAAATACCTTCGATCCCTTGGGCCAGAATCGATATACAATCGAGGGTCGTATATCTCAGCACCCATCTATAAAAAAAATAAGAAATCAAATCAATTTATATTTCAGCAACCCATTTATAAAAAAAATCACAAAAGAAAAAAAAATTACGTACTCTCAGAGCCTCTTCGTCCATTTTTTGCCGAAAAGCTAAAGAGAGTATCGACAAAACAAAAACTCTAGTAATTCTTTCTAATGCGGAAGAGCGGACTTAGCCGCAACCACAGAGCATACTTAGAACGAAGCTAGAGTGAAGTAATGGAGGGAGGAAGAAGTATAAAATGGTGGTGTGGTTTGAAATGAGGGGGGGGGGGGTGGAGTGGTATTTATAGGGTTTGGGCGCTGGAAAAGTCTGGAGCATTAATCACCGCGTCAAACAAAAGCAGTGAAGTCACCGCCTTAAAGAAACGCAGTGATGGCTCGGATCGGTGACGTGGCGCCATGTGAGGCGTCGGATTGTGGAGAAAAACCACAATCCGCGCCTCACCGCATCCAACGGTAACGGTGAAGGCGCGGGTGGCGCGGATCGCTGACGTGGAAAGCGGGGCTATCACCGCTTTTGTCATTAATGGTGAAGTGCCCGCGCGCGTCCACGTCAGCGATCCGCGCGCTCTTCACCGTTTTTGACATCAACGGTCAAGATCACTTCACCGCACCCCTTATCAACGGTCAAAAGATCCCCGTTGTTGACGAAAGCGGGGATTGTTTCCCCGTTTTTCTCATCAGCGGGGATTGCATCACTGCTGTAGTCAAAAGCGGTGATGTTATCACCATTTTAGCCTAAAACGGTGAATATAATCACTGTCTTTGTCTTCGACAGTGATGTTGAAACTGCTGTACTTTGGGAAATAAGTTTATAAGTACTGTATTTAGGGGAAAAAATTTAATAATTAGAGTATTCTGGGATTTTTTCCTCCCTAAAGACCATGTCTTCAAATTTCAAACGTCGTCGGCTGGAGACAATCCCGATCGGCGGCGAAAAAGAAGTAGACCGGATCTCAAAATTACCAGACGAGATCATCCATAGGATACTCGCACGGGTAGAATCCCAAAAGGAAGCTGCAAAAGCCAGCGTCCTGTCCCAAAGATGGTCCAAGCTCTGGCAATCTTACCCTATCCTCGACTTCGACAATATCCAATTCGATTCGACCCAATCGACGGAGAAATCGCCGCCGCTGTGTCGGAAAAGTTCAGTCGTAGAAGCGACGATACCCTGGTCGCCATAGAGGGCCGTTAGAATCAAGTTCAATCATCACAAAAAGAGTGGGACGTAAAATTCTGCTCTGCTTTCCTCGATGACATGTTGGAGTTGGCTGCAAAGACATCTCCCCCGCCCCAAGAGATTCACATTGTAGCCGAAGTTGATCGCAAGACTTTCAGGTATCTCGATTTCGACGGTTCGGGGACATATAACCCAGATCCAATTCCAACCCTAACCACCGATTTCGCCTCAAAATTCTAAAGTTGGTTGATAGACTGTTAATTACACATGTTTTTACCCCTATTCTTGAGCCGTTTGAAATGTCGATTCTCGCGTTTTAGGACGATTTCACGCTAGGTTGTTCTTGTTTGTGATATTTCAGGTCCTAGTACGTGAATGAAGGTTTGGGAACGAGTTCGAGGTCGATTGGACGAAGTTTGGACGTTTGGCGAGAAGCTGAGAAGTCACACGGGCATGCCTAAAAGCCACACGGCCGTGTAGGGGCCCCTTGTGGCCGTGTGAAGGCTCGGTAAAAGCCACACGGGCAGCCTGGGGAGCCACACGGCCGTGTGGCCTCTGCCCGTGCAGCTTGCCTGGTTTCCCACTAATCGTAACGCCGCGTTTGGACACTCACACGGGCAGCTGGGAAAGTCACACGGCCGTGTGAGTCGGGAATTTTTGGTTTTAAGCCAATTTCGAGCCAAAGGAGAGAGAGAGCTGGGTTTTGGTTCCCAAACACCCAAGGGACGAACCCTAGAGAGAGAGAGAGCGACTTGGGAACATTCTTGGAGCTATTTTGGAGGATTTCTTCGCCATTGGAGCTCGGTAATCAAGCTTGGAGATGGAGATTGAAGATCTAGATCAGATTTTTGCAATCTCTCTCTTCTCTATGGAGTAACTTCCCTTCACTTAGGTTTTGAGGAACCCTAGTTCCATGTGTTAGGATCTTTATTGTATGAAGTTTTGGATGCTATATTGTTTGATTATAATCGATTGAGGCATGATTTATAGAGTCAATTGAAGCCTGATCATCTTCTCTTGATTTCTGCTTTAACCTATGATAGATAGAATCTGATTAGGTTAAGAGAGCTTCCTTGATTGATAGTGGTGAATTGGTTGTGCGAGAGTCAATCAATTCACTGCTTTGTACTGGAATTCATTCCAGTAGTGGAGATCTGTGTGAATCGCCTTAGCAGTCTATCCCGGTGAAGGCTAGTCGCCTGCCGGGTATTCTATCTAAGAGGGCTTGGTCAGCTTAAGAGATTCCAAGCTAATTTAGGATCTTCCGCAGTTTAATCAACAGTAGATCAACCAAAGGTAATTGCAATTTGGACCTAATTGAGGAGCTAGGGGGAATCATACCTAAGTGAGTTCTCAACTTGTAATTAGTAGAGTAGTCAGTAGAGTAGTTTATAAATCAATCCTTAATCTAGTTTGCTAGATAATGAACTGAAGCTGAGTAATAGTAACTCTAGAGACCCGTGGATTCGATATTTATTACTTGTGCCACTATACTGCAGTCCCTTTCATTGGTTACACTTGGCCATTGTTAGGTGTTGTGTTGTAGCGTGTCATTGGTCAACTGCAATTTCGATCAGTTCAAGGATATGGAGATCAACAGCAACCATTTCGCAGGCCTTGGCAGCTCCCTCATGCAGCTCTTTCTCACAAAAGTCAGTTTTCCCGCCGGCAAACAGATTCTCAATAGCATCATTGTCAGTGCCTCGCTCTTACAGAAGTTGTTTCTGTGCGTGGTTCCGGGGATTTGGAGGCTCCAAAAACTGTGTGATTTCCGATATTAGGAAGGATTGATTTTTTCATTAAAATTTTAGGCGAGGCCAGTAGCTACCACAAGGAAGTTCGTCAATTTCTTGATGCACAATATTGGAGCTTAGCATATGATGGAGAAAATTTCCATATGTTGAGAAAATTTCTTGCGCAACTAACACAATCATGATTTCGCCTGACTTTTGATTTCTGCTTTTCAGAACATTTTGAGGTATGTGGACATAATCTTTTACTTAAATTATACTTCAATACATCCTTTTGTTTCATTTAAGTGTATGTTTAATTCGATATAATTTGCAAACACACAATGCCTTGTCGTGCCAATCCAACATCGTCTATTGAAAAAAACATTGTATAGTTGATTATTGGTTTTGTACTTCATATGTATGCTTATTTATTGCATCGTATTATATGCAGCATGATAGGAATGAATTTCAGGAAAACTCGCCTATTCCAAGAGTCGACCGTATAAAAATCGAGTGGGATTTCTCGAAACGGGTGGACAAAGATGCTTTTTTTGACGACCTATTTCGGATTCCATCCTAACTGTTTAAGTTTCACTCGAGAAGAATATTCACGTGCAATGTCAACTGAGGATTACTTAATAGCGGTCGAGGTATGTATGATCTTCGATGGTTTATCAAAACATTGCAATCAAGTTTGAGTCGTTTATGTCCTTATCACGAGCATTGTTTCATTTAATATATAGACTACTCGGATTTGGAATCAAGTAGATAATGGTTTATGCATGAGGCATTACTCATTCCTCTAGATAGTTTCATTCTTTCCTTTCTTACTTAATAAATTTATTTTTTGTGATTGAGTTGGTTCTTTTATGTTGACAGTATGTATGCAAGAAGTTTGTGGAGTGAAATTCTAATCATCATTGTGGAACCGCATGTAAGTGCTGGCATCACCAGATCAAAGACATGAAGATTATAAAGAGAGTTAGAGATGGTAGAATCAAAGTAGAAGCTAGTGACAAAGTGATGGACATTTCACCGGTTACATGTTCGTCTTTTGCTGAAGCAAAACAGATTTTCAACTTAGTTATGCTGCTCACAGCATAAATTGTGAGTAGATACTCACACGGTGGATCTATTGTCCACGAGGGCGAGACTCAGATGGCGCCGGTTTGTGTTGAGAAAGGTGAGTCGGTTTGGGTTGGCTGGCCAAACCCACGACTGACCCACCACAAATTCAAAAACCACAAATTCAAAAACCCACCACAAATTCAAAAACCATAAATTCAAAAACCATAAATTCTTTCCCCAAATCAGTTTCTCCGCCAGAACCACTTTCCCCTCTCTCCCCCTTTTCCCCTCTCTCTCACTTTCCTCCTCTCACGAACACGACGAAGAAGCAGCGATTTCACGGCGACCACCAGCGAAGCGGCTGCGACGGACCTGCGAAGCGGCGACGAGGTGGTTGGTTTCGGCGGCGGCGACGAGGGTCCAGACTAATCGGCGACGACGAAGGGCAGGGTTTCGGCGGCGACGAAGGGTCCAGACTATCCATTGTGTTTTGCTTGGATTGTTTCTTTGATATATCTGGATATCCATTGTGTTTTGCTTGGATTGTTTCTTTGATATATCTGGATATTGGTTTTTACTCAGCATGATATGGGTTCTGACTTGCCTGGATAATTGTTTGATATATCTGGATATTGGTTTTTAATCAGCATGATATCAGTTGTGACTTGCCTGGATAATTGTTTGATATATATGGATATTGGTTTTTATCAGCATGGTATCATTTGTCACTTGCCTGGATAATTGTTTGATATATCTGGATATTGGTTTTTGATCAGAATGATATCATTTGTGACTTGCCTGGATAATTGTTTGATATATCTGGATATTGGTTTTTTATCAGCATGATATCAGTTATGACTTGCCTGGATAATTGTTTGATATATCTGGATATTGGTTTTTGGTCAGCATGATATCAGTTGTGATTTTCCTGGATAATTGTTTGATATATCTGGATATTGGTTTTTAACCATCATGATATCTGTTGTGAATTGCTTGGATAATTGTTTGATATATCTGGATATTTGTACGTGCAGGGATAAAAACGAACGTGAAGAGACAGCGACGAAATCCACCGCCGTCACCACCGCCACAGCCAGAGGAGGATGAGGAAGAAGAAGATGCTGAAGTCGCAGCGCAAGTACATGCACAAGGAGTAAAGACCTTTAGATAGGGTTCAGTTTTCAAATACTGATTTTCTATCCGATTGAAGATGTTAGGAGTAAAGACCTTTGCCGCATGTTGTAGGAACGGGCTATCCTCCATCATAATATAAGGAACCGATTGTTTCCCATTGTAGTCTGACTCAGTCTCCTTGCGTCTTTTTTCAGCCAACAAACTACATTTACAAAGCACGAGAAAGAGTTTAGTGCCCAGACTAATATCCACTCAAACCAATACTAATATCCCAACTAAACAAAGTAATATCTAACAATAGCATATAAATATCCGGACAACGCTGACAAATATCCAAAATTTAAGTAGACTAATATCAAAGAAAGGCAAAGAAATATCCTGCGTACCTGCTAAAGTGAATGAAAAACAAGTCCAAATCATTTTCAAGAAAAGTCGCACTTGTGCATTGCACGACTCGCTGGCTTGCGTAGTCAACATCCCGACTGTGATTTGATCTCTCAACCATAAGGAACACCATCGACGACGAAAACCTACAAACATCCCTGCACAAGATAACTATTAATGACAATGCATAACTGAACAAGTGTCGAAAAAACTTAAGGGAATTAGGAATTGATATTATGCCAACACATGTCAACAAATATCTGTAAAACTCAGACTAGTATCTCATAATGTCATACCAATATTCGTCCTTTTACAAAAACATATCCTGTCAGGCCATGTCAATATCGGCCCAAAAAACTATCCCGACTATGAATTGATCTCTCAACCATAAGGAACACCATCGACGATGAAAACCTACAAACATCCCTGCACAAGACAACTATTAATGACAATGCATAACTGAACGAGTGTCGAAAAAACTTAAAGGAATTAGGAATTGATATTATGCCAACACATGTCAACAAATATCTGTAAAACCCAGACTAGTATCTCATAATGTCATACCAATATTCATCCTTTTACAAAAACATATCCTGTCAGACCATGTCAATATCGGCCCAAAAAACTATTTTATGAGCCTTCGGCCCATGGGCCCTCGGCGGGCGGCCCTTACTAGGCTGCAAGCCACCATCCCAAAATCTTCCTTCCTTTTTCAAGTTCCCGCCCAAAATTCCGGGCCGCCCAAAACACTGCCCACCTCCCGCCCTAAAATTCGGGCCGCCCAAAAAACTACCCACTTCCTCCGCCCAAAAGTTCGGCTCGCCCAAAAAATGGAAACGGCCCCCCTCCTCTCTCCTCGGCGGATATATGTGTCTGTGAGTATCTACTCACAGTTTAACCTGTGAGCAGTTTAACTTTTTCGACAGATTTTGCTTCTATTGACAAGGGATTAAACCTGAAGTGGTTGTGCTACCGTTTTTGTTGCAGGCACAGAACTGTCTCATTACTGTAGATACAAATTTCATGTAGTCTCCCTTTTCATTCGATTGTCAAGCTGTACTACTAATTTGGTACAAAATGCTATATAGATCAATAATCGACGTTTAGAGCTTCTGGGAACGACACATAGCACAGTTGAACAAAATCAACAATAGAGAAATAAGAAGCCGAACACAATCTCACTATTGTTGGTGGTTAAGAATACCCAACGGCACCATCCACTGATAAGATGTTGATCCATTCAGGCTGGCTTTAATTTTGGACATTGGCTAATGGAATCTATTAGTCTAGCTCTTCCAAATAAATTTATATCCAATTCTTGATCTAAATTCTTGATTTGATTCAATTAGGTCACCCTATCCAATTATGAGAAATATCAAAGAACGGTTCGGTCCAAACTTTACATAGGATCCGGATACGGTTTATTCATTAGTTACTCTAATGGACTAGACATACACTAAAGCAAGAGCTAAGAGTCCTAACTACGAGTAGTAATCTTCTTCTAATCCTAACCGAACACTACTTTTCATGGGAAACCCAAAGAGGCAACACCATCCCCATGTCGAATTCGTAGTTCCATAACGAACCTGAAAACCTGTACAAATCCTGTGGAATATTCCCCTGACTCTCTCAGATAAAGAACTATCAGTCCGACATCGAGTCAGAAAAGGCAGACACATGACAGTCCTATAAATAAAGCCATCCCGAGCTTCGATGTCCAATCTTGTGGCCAACAACAGTAATCTTACAACGAAAAAATCGAACATGGGTCTTAAGCGCTCGTCGTCTTCTTCGTCGTCGTCACTGTTCCTCGGCTTTCTGGTTGCTCTGTTTTTGGTTCTGAGTAACTCAGCCGTGGTCTGCAATGCCGGCGAGACCAGCAGCTTCGTCAGGAGAGAGGCCAAGTCCGTCGACATGCCTCTGCATAGCGACGTTTTCCAGCCACCCTCTGGCTACAATGCTCCACAGCAGGTTTTTCTATCTTTGCTTAATCTCTCTCTCTCTCTCTCTCTTTGGGTTGACATGATTTAATTACTGGGTTGTTTATTTGTTCGAATTCTTGTGGAAAAAAAAAAGGTACACATCACGCTAGGAGATCGAGATGGGAGCGCAATGATCGTGTCGTGGGTGACCATGGATGAACCCGGTTCGAGTGAAGTTGTTTACTGGAAGGAAGACGAGAGCTCAGTCAAGAAGTATGCTCACGGGAAACACAAGAGTTACAAGTTCAATGACTACACTTCTGGCTACATTCACCATTGCACCATCCGAAAATTGGAGGTACGTTCGATAAATCTCGACCTAGTCCGTCTCGATTTACTCGTAGCTTTATGGAAATACAGAGTTAGTTTCTAATCTGATTGCGAGTCGTTTTTTTTTTTTTTCTTTCGTGTGGCGCAGCATGATACCAAATACTACTACGAAGTTGGAATTGGCCACACCGTGAGACGATTCGTGTTCACAACGCCTCCACCGGTTGGCCCGGATGTCCCTTACACATTCGGCATGATTGGTTAGTATCTTTACCATTGCAACATTCCAAGTTGGTCATGGCGCTCTCTGGGTTTTGATTACATTGTTGACAATATGGTGGGTTTTCCTCGTTTACAGGTGATCTTGGTCAGACTTTCGATTCGAACATCACACTCACCCACTACGAGAAGAACCCTAGGAAACCACAGGCTCTGCTGTTCGCGGGCGATCTCTCTTACGCCGATAACTACCCGAATCACGATCAGCACAGATGGGACACATGGGGAAGGTTCGTCGAGCGGAGCGTCGCTTACCAGCCATGGATCTGGTGCGCTGGAAACCACGAGCTCGACTTCGTCCCCGAAATTGTAACAATCTTTCCCATCCATGTGGTTGTCTACAATTCATTCCGTAAAGAATGATGATTTCATAAGCATTTTTTCTCCTTGCAGGGTGAAACTCAGCCATTCAAGCCTTATCTGCACCGATTCCATGTCCCTTTCAAAGCATCTGGAAGCACTTCTCCTCTTTGGTACTCTGTCAGGATAGCTTCAGCACATATAATCGTCTTGTCTTCATACTCTGCATACGGTAATTAATGAACGAATTCCCCATCTCTAATCTCTACATTAATTCTTCCACTAATGGGAGTACTTGTAAAATTGTAATCTGTGACAACAGGTAAATACACACCTCAGTACCAATGGCTGAAAACAGAGCTGACCAAAGTGAACAGGACGGAGACGCCATGGCTGATTGTGATGCTGCATTCGCCATGGTACAACAGCTACGACTACCACTACATGGAAGGCGAGACGATGAGGGTCATGTTCGAGTCGTGGCTCGTGGATGCGAAAGTCGACCTCGTCATCGCTGGCCATGTTCACGGCTACGAGCGATCTGTAAGCGACCCACTCTAGTTCATTATTCGTGCTCGAATTCGTATTCGTATACACACTAAGCAACTTATTGTTTTTTTTTTTTTTTGTGACAGGAACGTGTCTCCAATGTGGCTTACAACATCGTGAACAAGCAATGTAGTCCGGTGAAGAATCAGAGTGCTCCTGTTTACCTCACAATTGGGGATGGTGGAAATGTTGAAGGCTTGGCAAACAAGTAAAGTTCCTTTGATGTTCATCAATTGGTTCCTTTCATAGTCTTGGTTTTGCTTCTTCTTCTTCTTCGTCATCTTTGCTGATTTCGATTTTTCGGGTTGCAGGATGACTGAACCGCAGCCGGAGTATTCAGCATTCAGGGAGGCGAGCTTTGGGCATGCTATTCTGGATATCAAGAACAGGACGCACGCTCACTATAGCTGGCACAGGAACCAGGACGGCTATCCGATGGAAGCCGACACGATGTGGTTCTACAACCGATACTGGCACCCTGTTGATGAATCCAGAAGCAACTGATCATGATTTTAGATTAGACCAGCTTTCCTTTCGTTGATCTCATTGAGTAATAAGTGAACAGTATTTAGGGTTTCTGGTTTTCGGACAGGTTTTTTTCAGGCGCTGTTTTTCATTCTGCTCTTTGGTATTTTGCTGGGAGATGTGTACATTGCAGGGAACCAATTGTACCTTTTGGTAGGGAAAGAAAGGATTTTTATTTGTTTCTGTTTGGTTGCCGTAGGAGTTCCCTTTTTTATTTTGGGTTATTATTTGGATTTATTATGTTTTGGATTATAGATCAATCAGGTATCGCCTAAGCATTAGACACTAAACAACAAATGTTGCATAGCAAAACAAAACAAGAGAAAAACAAGGCAGCACAAATAGTTTGTATCGTTAGAGTGAATTAATTAGAAAACCTGCAAAATATAGCATCCGGAGAATAATAGTACATTATTTTGACATTCCTTAAGTTTAATGTTCTTCATTTTTTTTTTAGTACTCGGACGGAGCATTTAGTATAGACAAAAATCCCAAGTTACACAAGTTTTTTAAAAAATACTCAAAATACACACGTTATGAAAATAATTCCTAATCTACGATGTTTGGGCCTTCACCGCGGCAAAGGAGGGCGGTGATTGCATCACCGCATGAAAGAAAGGCGGTGATTGCATCACCGCTCTAGAGAAAGGCGGTGAAGGTCTGACCTGCGTCAAAACTTTAAACAAAAAGTAACTTTGTGCCGCCTTCCTCCACAGCGGTGATGCAATCACCGTCCTCCTCTTACGCAGTGATGAAATCACCGCCCTCCTCTGCCGTGGTGAATACCCAAACATGCGTAGATTGGGAATTATTTTCATAACGTGTGTATTTTGAGAATTTTTTTTAAAACATGTGTAACTTGGGATTTTTACCGCAAATCTAGCATATACATTTGAGATTATCTGATTACATACATACTTGAAAAATTCATAACAGTGATCAATTTAGACAAATAATTTCGTCGATGTAACAACAATACGTTTTTACCACCTGAGACTCTACTATGTTCTTAAGAGACAAGAACCAGAATCAATAATGATTAGTTAATTTTGGGATACGGAACTTTGATTGGTAGGTGCAAAAGAAAGATGGTTATAAAAAGTGGACGAAAATGGATGAAAGGGGAATTTTGGGATTAGATTAATAGCATTTTAAGTGATTGATAAATGATAAGGCAACTTTTTGAACTTTTCGAATCTGATTCCTCAAACCTTCCAGTATCAGTCACATTATCACCCTCCAATGTGCTAAAGTGGGTTTCCCCTTTGGTACCTGACATTTTTTCCCCTTCCATTATTGGTTGGATGGTTCAAGAACTTTTATCATAATGCTCCAATAGAGAAGAGCCTTTTCAATCTTTTCAATCTTTTTCAAAGGCTATATGTAACTTTTAGACACTTTAGTTAGTTGTGTACTATCTACAATATGGGTTCTACTTTCTAGTGGGTTTGACTGATGGAGAATAAGAGATGGGGCGAGATGGAAAAAAATGAATTTTAATTCAACTCATTACAAAAAGAGGTAAATCGTATATTTAGATATTGGGTTAATAGCATTTTATACCTCTCTACTCTAACAACTTAACAAATATATCCTTTTACTAAATTTTTGCACAAACATATCCTTCTAATATGAAAACGTAACGAATGTAACCTTCCGTCTAATTTTATGTTAAAGAACCGTTAAATGAGGTGCTAAATGACGCAAATACCCCCAAACTAATTTTATAATAATTTTTTTATCACAATCAAATGAAAACTAAAACACACCCTATCGTCTACCTCATTCACCGCCGAAGACCCCCACCGGCGCACCCTCAGTGGCAGCACCCGACTCTTCCTCACCGGCGACAAGAGTAGGTATAACTTAATAATACAACCTACTTGCTCTCTCATTCTCCGGAGAAGCCTTCTACCCACCGTCGACTCAAGCTCCGGTCCAATTTCAATAATCCGAACCACCACGACTCAATCCCCGTTGACCCCGTCGTGACCCAGATTGAGCGTCGCCTCGAAGATCGCCGGTGGGAGCATCACTATATCACCCATTCTCATTCCTGACGCCGCCAACGATACCCACCCCGCGATGGAAGCTCCTGGCCACGAGTTTCAGCCCGAGTGGGAGGATTTCATGGAAGCCGAGGACTACTTGAGGAGAAATTCATAGTCACTAGCGGTAAGGGTTTAATACGAACAATGCCAGCCAAAATTGGAATTTGAATTGAATCGATTCTCATGGTGAACAATAAAATGGGTGTTCCGTGGCAAGTTGCAGGCTTGCAGCAGCTTTTCCCCAAGATTCGAGTGCTGCCGCTGGGGCTCTTCGGTAGGGGATGAGGAAGAGATAGGGTTTATTTTAGTTTTGATTTTGTTGTAATTAAAAAAATATAAAATAATTTAAAATTAGATTGGGGCATTTGCGTCATTTAGCACCTCATTTAACGGTCCTTTAATAGAAAATTAGACGGAAGGTTACATTCGTTACGTTTTCATATTAGGAGGGTATGTTAGTGCAAAAAATTAGTAGAAGAGTACATTCGTTACGTTTTCATATTAGGAGGGTATATTTGTGCAAAAAAATTAGTAGAAGAGTACGTTTTTTAATTTGCGAAAGTAGAGGGGTATAAAATGCCTTTAACCCTTAGATATTTATAGTAAGTATTTAAAGTTGTTGGGCCAAACTTCAACAACTTGTAAGGAGTTTTTTTCAAATTGATGTGTTCAGAGAAAAAAAACCTCTAACAATTTAGTTAGCTGAAGAAAATTCTAGAGGAGTTAATAATGAAGTGAATTTATTCATCACATGAGAACGAATGTTGTTAGAAAGAATAATGTTATAGGGACACATATACCTAGGTGACAAATTGTACTTACAACTATAATTGCACAGATTGTATGTCTTTTTTTGTTATCTAGATGAACTCACCCATGCTTAATCCCACAATCTCTCTTTCTCGACCATCGAGGCTGTATAATTTTCTCCATATATTCGTGCTAACTTGAGCTTATGAAACCAAAGGCTCTATACGGCCTGGATTAGTCGATAGAACATTGTCCTATAAACTTGTTATATATGGGAAGTATGCAATATCAGCGACTCTACTTTGCAATTGTATCTCATTTCTAGAATGATTCGAAAAACCAATCAAATTCAGAATTAACCTATTTCAGGTTATAATCCAAATAAGCATTTTAAGAAGTCATTCCATCCAATTTTGTTGGTAGATCAAAATCGTCACTTTTACATTCTAAACTGATTGATCCAAATCTCCACATACATACCGTGGTCACACCTAATTACCTTGTTAATCAAGGACACTTTAGCTACTTATGACTTGTATGAAATCTTTGCAAGGGTTAGCCTGAAGGCTGAAGCCAGCAAAGCTTTATATATGCAGGAGGTATCTTGGAGACAAAAATCTAAAGAGTTATGGCTCAAACTTGGAGATTTAAATACACAGTTCTTCCACCAGGCGGCAAATTACAGGAGAAGATTGAATTCAATCAACAACATCAAAATCAATGGGGTGTTAGTAGAAGGAAAATAAGAGGTAGCTCAAGGTGTTCTCCAGCTTATCCTCCCCTGCTCCATTCTAGTTGGATTCCTCAATTACAGCTTGATCCTCCTAGGTATAACCCCCAGGTCTTGCCAGTTGAGGGGGATCCGGTGGTGGCAGAGGTGATCAGCCCGGAAGGGGGCCGGTGGTGTGATAGGAAGTTGAGTCAGTGGTTCGACCCTCCTACTTGTAAGGCCATTAAAGCCATCCCCCTTCCGCGATTGCCGGTGGAGGATAAGCTGATTTGGCATAATATTCCGGAAGGCATTTTCACTGTAAAGTTGGCCTATCATTTAGCTGTCACCCTTGATAGAAGGAAGGGCCGTTGGAGGTCAGAGGTTATCTAGATGGGTAAGGCTAGTTGGATCAGGCTATGGGAGGTTAATCTGCCCCCTAACTTGAAGGTGTTTGTTTGGCAAATTCTGAATCGCATGCTTCCTACGACAGAAGCCCTCATTGCCAAAGATGTTCCGATTTTACCTAGGTGTCCGGTTTGTTGGGCCGAGTCGGAAACCTTGGAATATTTATTCCTCTATTGCCCGGTGGCTCGGGCGCTCTGGGACTATTCGGGGCTGGCTTCCCTCGGAGAAGGGTTGCCTCAGGACACCTTTCCCCTGTTTCTTAAGTGGTTAATGTCTCTGATTAATCAGCCATCCATTCTCATGGCGGTTGTTGCTGTCCTTTGGCGAATATGGCGTTCTTGAAACTGGGTTGTCTTCGACGGAAAGCAGTTTGGGATCCCTGCTCTGATGCGTCAGTACAACCAGCAGTATGAGGAATGGGTTGGGCTGCCTGTGGATCGGAACTTCCGTTCCTCTGCCCTTCCCCCTCCTCAACCGGTTCCGCTGGAGGCTGATAGGCTGGTTTGCATGTGGGATGGGGCTACGGGGAGGGGGTCCCACTCAGCTGGGGGGATTGTTATTATGACCCCGGCTAGAGGGGTCCTTATGGCTGGTGAGGTTCAGTTCCCGGGCATCGATGATCCCATGGTAGTAGAGGTGTTGGTGCTCCGGGAAGCTATCATGTGGTGTCTGAATCAGGTAGTGATGGCAATGGGGCGGGGCGGGGCAGGTACCTCAATTCCCATGCCCCGCCCCACGCTACTACGGGGCGGGTAAAACCCGCGCGGGTACGGGGCGGGTCGACCCACTCTTACATGTTATTCGAAAAAAATACAAGTAAATTTTACTTTTTACGATAAAACGAAGGGTAAAACACTTTAAGAATGAAAAATATTGATAATAGAATGGGTAATTGAGTCTAACAAGTTGAAAGAGCGACTCTAACTAGTTGAAGAAAAGTGAAAATAGGAGAAATATGTATAGAAATTGTAAGAAATTGAGATAAAATGAGTCTAGAACGGGGCGGGGCGGGTCAGAAGTAAATACCCATGCCCCGCCCCACACTACTGCGGGTCGGGTAATACCCGCCCCATCGCGGGTCAGGTCAGGTAATACCCGCGGGGCGGGTTGAAATTGCCATCACTAGAATCAGGGTTTCATGGAGGTGTGTTTTGAGGGGGATGCTAAGGTCATTATTGACAAAATCAACCATGCGGATGCTAGTGATAGTCGGATTGGTGCTATTCTTGCGGAAATTATTCATCACTTGGCGGTTCGCTCAGGGTTTAGTGTTAGATTTGTAGGTCGACGTAGCAATAGGGTAGCCCACTTGGTGGCTCGTAAGGGCCTCTCTTTGTACCCGACTGCGAGTCGTTTCTTTGATTTTCAGGCCTAGCTGCTCTCAGGGATGTAACTATCTTTTGTTTCGATCAATGAAGATTATCTTTTGTAATAAAAAAAGACCGTTTTCGGAGCTGGAAATCTGGTCAAGTGTTCTAGATAATGATGGGGTAAAAGCACCGGGACCCGATGGCTTTTCGTGAGAATTCTACAAAAAATGCTGGACTTGGCTCAAATATGGTATTGTGAATGCATTCAATGAGTTCCATTTGTCAGGGAAACTACCTACGAGCACTACTCATTCTTTCATCTGCCTTGTGCCGAAGAAAGATATTGTTGAAGATATTAAAGATCTGAGGCCCATTAGTTTAATGGGTAGTATTAACAAACTCTTTATCAAGGTATTGGCCAGAAGACTCAGGGAGGTTCTCCCCTATCTTGTTTCTGTTAATCAGCAGGCATCGGTAAATGGAAGACAAATTGCGGATGCGAGGCTCATCGCATTCGAACTGGTCGACAGCCGGCGCAAGAGCAGAAAACCCGGGCTGATGTTCAAGTTAGACATCGAGAAGGCGTTCGATAATGTAAGTTGGAACTGTTTACTCAATGTGTTGTCTAAACTTTGCTTCCGACGCAAGTGGCAAGATTGGATTCGTGGCGTCATGTGCTCTCCCATGATTTCGTTATTAATCAATGGCGAATCAAAAGGGTACTTTCCAACTTGCAAAGGTCTTCGACAAGGCGATCTCCTATCGTCGGGTCTCTTTGTACTTGTAATGGACATCCTATCTTTCATGATAGCTAAGCTTAAAGAAGAAGGAAGAGTCAGCGGCTTCTACATGGATGAAAGAAATAGCAGAGGAGAAGTTAACCATCTACTTTTTGCAGACGATACTTTAATCTTCTGTGATGCAGATTATGATCAAATTCTGAATATCCTAGCTACTCGTGCGTGCTTCCAAGCTGTCACCGGACTGAAAATTAACCTGGAGAAGACAATTATGTTCACAGTTGGCAATGTGCCAAACCCGGATTACCTTGCTGCGATTTTTGGATGCAAATGGAGTCGGGAACCTTCCAAGTATCTTGGGTTTCCGCTGGGAGCTAAGGCTAATGCTATATCCACTTGGAGCACCATCTGTGATAACTATCAAAAGCGCCTTGACGGGTGGAAGAGACGTTATTTGTCTCTAGGAGGCAGGCTGACCTTGAATAAAGCAATACTCTCCAATCAGCTTGTTTATTACTTCTCCCTGCTTCGGGAGCCAGCTGCAATAATTAAGAATATGGAAAAAACACAGTGCAAGTTCATTTGGAGTGGGCCGGGAGACAACCATAAAGTTCCTTTAGTTAAATGGGATATATGTAAAGCTCCCAAGGAACGTGGTGACCTAGGAGTCATTGATCTATCCAGTTTTAACAAAGCAATGTTAAGCAAGTGGATTTGGAGATATACAAGTGAAAGGGGAAGTTGGTGGAGGTCTCTCATTGAAATCAAGTATTCAAACACTACATCTTCCTGACATACTGGTAGGAGTAGCAATGGGTTTTAAGGTTCAGTTTGGGTCAATATCACAAAGGAGGATAGTGATTTCTGGAAACTCGCTAACATTGACCCCGACAATGGAGCTTGGGTCTCCTTCTGGCACGACGCTTGGATCCTTGAAGTGACTCTTACTAATTCCTTCCCGCGTGTCGCCGCCGCCACACTGAATCAAGAAGCCTGGATCTCTGACTACTTTATCCGATCTGGTGAGAATGTGAGTTGCACTTTTTCTTTAAATTATAATCTGAGAGCAAGGGCTGATAGAGAGCAGGTTTCTCTTCTAAATCTTCTTAATTATGTTGTTATCTCAAGGGTGACCAGTGGACCTCCTAGGCTCGTCTGGTCACCACGATCAGATTCCTTGTTTTCTGTCCAATCAATGTACAGGTGCCTCTTCAAGGAGCGTTTTGAAGGAGTACCAAACTTCCCTGCTGCTTCCGTTTGGCGCCAATCAATTTCCATCAAGATCTGCACTTTCATTTGGCTTCTATCCCACAAGAAAATACTCATTCTCGACAACCTCAAGAAGAAGGGGTGGCTGATCGCGAACCGATGTGAGCTGTGTCGAAAAGAGGAAGAAACTGTGGACCATCTTTTTGTTGATTGTGAATTTACCCGCGATATTTGGAACAGGTTGCAAAGGATCTGCAGCAGTCTTAATCCACCATCTAGAGACACTTTGTCCATAATTTGCAGGTGGAGGAAGGATGATCCGAGTGACTTTAATGGTTGGATCAGTTATTCTGCCTACCACTCTATTTGCTGGCAGGTGTGGTTAGAAAGAAACCAACGCATCTTCCATTATATTAGTCTCGACCCGGCTGTCATCCTCAAGAAAGCATCTAGATCCATGATTGATTGGCCAATCTCGCATGAGAAGATTGGGAGGGAGCAATGTTTGCAGTGGCTTAATGCCATTTTATCCATTTTGTGACGACTTCTCTTTGAAATGAGATACGAAGGGTGTGATTTGTTTGCACATGTCGGTTTAGGTGGTACTAATGTGGATAGTGGCAAAGTTGGAGCGTTCTATTGTTTTCAAAGATGTTGACAGGTGTTGTTGTTACCTCTGGATTAAGTGTTGCTGATGTTGTTGCTTTGTTCATGCAATGCTGGTTGTCCCAGTGGAGAGTTTATAAGAAGTGCTGATGGAGTGTGCTACTAGTTTCTGTTAGTCATATGCAGAGCTGATCAACATTTCTTTCCTTCGTTTGTATGTGGCTGTAGTCGTGAGCTCTCACCTTTTGACATTTTCTTTCCTTTTCCCTTTGTGGTTCGGGGCTTCTGAACCGGCCCTTTTCATTTAAGTTTGTAATCACTATTAACTTCCTGGTTTCATTTCGATTTTAATATATTTTCCAATGCCATTATATAAAAATAAAATAAAAAGAGTTTTGTTTATTTGTTTGTTTTGTTGTAAAGAAATTCATAATGTGCGGCTCCCCATCCCCGCCAGACCATGCTCTTGAGTCAACGATAAGTTTTAGCATACAAGTGCTCTTTCCCTATCCTCCTTTTTGGTCCCTAAAGTTTATTTTCCATCCAAACGAGATACCGTTTTCTTGCCGCCACCCATTTCGATTCTTAATACCTCATTAAGAGCTCGTTGACTGTTGACAAACCGAGGCTGAGAGAGATTAACCATCTGAAAATCGGCATAAATCCGGCGAATATTCCCCCGCTCCGGCGAGCCTAGACTCTAACCTCTCCTCAATGCCTTTCTTTATTTGCGTTGAATAAGATTCTTTTTTTCTCCGGCTAGCTTATCAATGCTTCTTTTAAATTATTAGCCACAGTTCCCTTTCACACGTCGAAAAGAAAAGGACAAACCATTAAAGAATCTTGAAAATTGGGGAAAGAAATTTGGTAGGGACAGATTGGGTATAAATACGCTGTTTTCGACTGTGCCAGAAAACAGCTCATTCGGGTTTAGAGACGAAAAAAATGGGCTTTCTGGGTTCATCTCCTTCTTCTTCTTCTTCTTCATCACTACCTCTCTGTTTTCTACTTGCTCTGTTTTTGGCCCTTAGCGCGGCGGTACTCTGCAATGGCGGCCACACCAGCAGTTTCGTCAGGAAAGAGCAAAAGTCCGTCGACATGCCCTTCGACAGCGACGTTTTCCGGCCGCCCTCCGGCCACAACGCTCCCCAGCAGGTAGGATCTCATCAAATTCTTCAAATTTTGGTCTCAGATTCGCACCCTATAAAATGGGCGAGTTCTTCCAGCGAATGCTCGGTTTTGATTTGCGTTTGTGAAAATTGAAGGTGCACATAACGCAAGGGGATCATGAAGGGAAGGCAATGATAATCTCGTGGGTAACCATGGATGAACCTGGTTCGAGCGAAGTTGTTTACTGGAAGGAAAACGGAAGCTCCCAGAAGAAGACTGCGAAAGGGAAATACACGACTTACAAGTACTACAACTACACATCTGGGTACATTCACCATTGCAACATCCGCAAGTTGGAGGTAACAATTTTCTTCACCAACTAGTCTCCAATCTAGTGGAAATTGGAGTTCTCTTTAAGCTTTGTGAATTGTGGATGATTTCCTCTTGGTGCTCTGTTCTGAAGTTTTAGGGTTCTAAATCACGAAATATCAATTCGTCCCAACAACTCGAATCTAATAAGAGGAAACACACAACGAATCTGATACTACTACGCATACCTGTTCATGGGTATTAATGAGTTTCCTAAAAATTAGAAATCTTTTTGACAATCGAAATTGGGGGAGTATACAGTACACCATTGATTCATTTCCATTTTTCCATTTGGGTTTTATCGGTAATTAATTAATTAATTCCATCACCCTCCAGAATCTGAGATCACGAGAGAGACAGACACAGAAGGTGATTAACGTTGGGTCGGCAGTGTTATTAATATACGAAAATAAATTCTTTATTTCCTTTTTCTACATTTTTGGCTGGGCTGCCATTTTCTACGTTGAAGCCTTGAAGGGCTCAAGCTAATAGATAGAGAAATGAAATGATGACTTTTTGCAGAAAAGAAATGCTTTCTTTTTCTGCAGGCTCTCACGTGAAGTGTCCCATAATATCTTTTTCCCACTTTAACGTAATCTTGAACCGTTGACCGTGATGATTAGGGATGGATGGTTATTGATTATCCACGAACCTATTGTATTATATAGTTACTTGTTGTGGCAAATTGCCCAAAAGGTAATTTAGGAGTTACTAGTTAGGATGAAAAATATAAGTTAAATAAATTTTCAAAAGGATGATATATGTTAATTTTAGTGTTAGGTGCTATTAAATGAATTCGAATCGGTAATCTCCAAGTCGAACACTAACGAAATTAACAACTAGACCACTCCCGTATATGCTCGTTTTACCATTTAAAAAGAATTGTCAAATCTCACCTAATTTCAGGACAATTCGAAACTAAAGGAAAATTGATTGTAAAACAAAAAACAAAAGGAAGGCTAAAAAATATGTTGACTTTGAACTCTTATTACTTGAAGGTCAATTACGTAACCGAATACTTAACTTTGGAGGCACCGACAAAAATGATACTAATAAATTTAAGTTTTTAACAAGCTTGCTACTGATATGGTCATTCCATTTGTTCTTATTAAAAAAAATTTGTCTAAAGTAATAAGAAACATAATATGACATTATTGTTTCAAATTTCTTACGAGTTTAGTTGATTGTCTTGTCCTTATCGATTGCAGTATAACACCAAATATTACTATGAAGTTGGAATTGGCCACAACGTGAGAAGATTCTCCTTCACAACACCTCCTCCAGTCGGCCCTGATGTTCCTTACACATTTGGCATGATTGGTTAGTATAACTATGCAATAACCAGCCGCCATTGATAAATGATTTCAACTTCAAGTCATTGGGTTTATGTCATTACACTTACCAAGCACTTTACTTTCCCCCCTTTTCCCATTGGTTATGTGGGTTCTGTTTTCCACAGGTGATCTTGGCCAGACTTTTGATTCCAATGCCACACTCACTCACTATGAAAACAATCCAAGGAAACCACAGACGTTGCTGTTCATCGGGGACCTTTCTTATGCCGATAACTACCCGAATCACGACAACACGAGATGGGATTCGTGGGCAAGGTTCGTCGAGAGAAGCGTTGCTTATCAGCCTTGGATCTGGACTCCTGGAAACCACGAGCTCGACTTCGCCCCAGAAATTGTAATCCACATCTTGCTCTCTTTCTCAATCGTTTGATGCATTGTGTTAAATGTTGCTAAGAACCATTCTTTTGGTTGCCCCTCCTACAAGCAATCATGAGCTAATCCAATTCTTTGTTTTTCCAGGGTGAAAACAAGCCTTTTAAGCCGTTCACCCACAGGTACCATGTCCCATTCAAAGCATCAGGCAGTACTTCTCCACTTTGGTACTCCATCAAGAGAGCTTCAGCTTACATTATCGTCTTGTCTTCATATTCCGCATACGGTAATGGCAGACTACATATCAATTGGTCAACATATGAACTGATCTCTTACTGGTGATACAAGACGATGTTTTGTGTATGTTGCACTGATCTCGCTTTCTTGTGCAGGTAAATACACACCTCAGTATCAATGGCTGGAGGCTGAGCTGCCGAAGGTGAACAGAACCGAGACTCCGTGGTTGATAGTGATGGTGCATTCCCCATGGTACAACAGCTACAACTACCATTACATGGAAGGAGAGACCATGAGGGTCATGTACGAGTCGTGGCTCGTCGATGCCAAGGTCGACCTTGTCCTCTCCGGTCACGTTCATGCCTACGAACGATCAGTAAGTTCGCTATCACAACATACATTCATTGTTCCGAAACCAACACAATCCGATTCTGAAACAATGTGGGCTTGTTCTGCATTTTTGCTTGTTCGATCGACCAGGAACGTATCTCCAACGTAGCTTACAACATTGTGAACGGGAAATGTGGTCCGGTGAAGAATCAGGATGCTCCGGTTTATGTCACCATTGGAGATGGAGGCAACATTGAAGGCTTGGCTAACAAGTAATGGTCCTTTCTCTCTTAAATGCAGCAGATGAAACTTTGCTTACAGTTTTTCTTCTCCCCCCAGTGGTTGATGTGTTGTTTCTTGTTGTTGCAGCATGACTAATCCGCAGCCAGAGTACTCTGCATTCCGGGAGGCGAGCTTTGGACACGCCATTTTAGATATCAAGAACAGGACGCATGCTCACTATAGCTGGCACAGGAACCAGGATGGCTATGCGACGGAAGCTGATTCGATGTGGTTCTATAACAGAGTTTGGAACCCTGTTGATGATTCTACAAGCAGCCAGTCTTAGATTTGATTTTAGGCTGGATTTCCTTTATCAAATTTGTTTGGATTTTATCATCTTGTTTGAATAAGCATTTGTTCTTAGAGGGTGATCAATAATTTTTAGAGTTGCAGGCTTTTGTTTTTCTGATCTGTTACTTTGGTAGTTATTGTTGGGGGAAAGTGTATTACAGGGGAACTCTGTTCCTTAATGTCTTGCATGCCAAGTATGTGAGAATCCGTGGTGCGTTCTTCAGTTTATCTCTTTAACTATTCGGATTATTGTATATCTTATGACGAAGTTAAATAAGCTTTATAATAAATAAATAAATAAATAAAAGCTTTATAATCAAGAGGATTAAAATAGAAAAACGATATAGTAAGTGTACCTAGTTGGAAAAAAAAAACGACGTTGAAAATTACATATTTGCACGAGTTAGATCAATTTCGTACTAGCTGAAGTGTTTAAAGTATAATTTCGAAGCTTCAGGTATCATAATGGTGATTAGTAAATTAGATTATCGTGATTAATTAACGTAAGGCCAAACTCTTTTCTTCCAAGCGAGCAACGGCTCTCCTCTCCAGAGTCCAGTCAGCCCGACGGAAGAACTTTCGCATTCGTCTATTTTCCCCCCGCCTCCGCGCCGAACACGATCACGCCAGTCTACAGCCCTCCGGCGGACTCTAAAAAGTTTTCAAATCCTGCTCGGTGTAATCGGTTCACAAGTCGGCAATTGGCGTTCATCCCGAACCAGCGACCGACGTCTCTGATGAAGATTCCATCGGCGGGCGCTTCATAAGCACCATGGACGCGGAGGCGGAGTCGGCCGCCGCGAATCAAGAATGTAGCGGAAGCAGCGGAGGGGAAGGAGTTAAGAGTACCGAGAATGGCAACAAGGAGGAGCAGCGAGAGAAAGGGGAGACGACGACGAAAAAGGAGGATGTGGGAGGAAGAGTAGATCCGGAGTTCTTCTGCTGCTTGCTTCAGCCTGCCAATGCCGATTCGGATCCTTATTATGCCGGCATTCGGCGGCTCCTCCTCTATCGCAAAGCGGAGTCTGGTTGCGTCCGACGTCTGGTGAGTTGTTCTCCACCGTTTGCGCAGCTTTTGGTTGAAACCTGCAATGCTATTACCACTGGATCTAGGTTCGGGTTTAGACGTTCTGCATCGAGTATTAGTGGCTTGAATTGTTATTGCAGCTTCGGTGTTGATCATAAAAGCTCGGATGCACGTTGATTCGGCGTCATCTGTCCGGTATTGTGTTCGTAGTAGTCATTCATTTAAGGAGTTAAGCTGTTGAATGTGAATGATGAGAATTGGTCTATGGTATATGTAGATCTAAAGGAACTAATAGAACCTGAATCTGAAAGCTCGTTTTGTAGCTATGGCATGGCACTAGATATCCATGTCTAAGATGGATCAATCTAAAATCCAGCTCCAATTTGGATAGCATAAGTTATGTACCTGTAGCGAGAATGAAATTTCTGACTGTTTGTTCTCCGCAATGTATTGCATGTATTTCCTGAATGAGTTGTTTACCATACCAATGAAAGCAACAAGTTCAGTGCTGGATGAACTCAAGAGCATTCAAGTTATGACAGTTTTAGGCCTTGTCAAAACAAAAACATATGGAGTTTTCAGTTCTTTTGAGTTCATCGATCACGTATTGTTGATATTTATCCCATCTCCCTCTTTTTCAAGGAAGTAAAAGCATATTCATAGCATTTGGTTTGTTTTGAAGGATTGGAGATGCAACGGAAAAGGCTACATCCATTATCGTAATTACATCAGAAGGCCAAGAAACTGGGAGAAGTCGCAAGTTCCAAGCCTCCTAAGCACCCCAGGAAACAGGTTTCTAAGATGAACTCAATGCTTACTAGGTTTTCTGAGTCAGCTTTACTGTTTCTTGACCTATTAACATGTTAGATAAGTTATTGTGTATATATGTCAAATGCTTCTATAATATTCTTGCGCATGCAAATATGGGAGATTGGAAGTAATGCAATGTACTTGAACTTGTGACTCCTCCACTGCATTCCATGACTTGAGCATTCATGGTGGTGGGATGATTATGGCAATTGAGTCTCCAAGTTCATCCTCGTGTCACTTTATGATAACTGTGCTTACTGATGCATAAGTACTATGATTTAATTTTTACACGATTCCGACATTAGGTTATTTTACTGGTTGATGCAGCAGTGGTCGATGGTTTCGATCTTCAAGTTCACTCTCCCAATTATATGACATGGAAAGCATTTCTTCTAGCCGGGTAAGTGTAAAATGGCCGAGTCTTTCATGTTTTCTTTTTTATGTTTAGTATAGTTGAATCGGGTATGGTTCTGCCTCCAACTATTTGACTAGAGCCTTCTGTGGGATGTACTCTACATAGCTTGGCTGTGTACTATATTTGTAATTACATCTTAATTGCAACCTGAAACCCTGGAATAATGGTAATCTCAAAGGAAGGCATTTGAATGGATTTCCAGAAGAATGTCCGGCCGCCTGTTCTTAATGACTTAAAAAGTTTAATCCTTGCCTTAAGCGCATATTTCATCCTCTTGACCTCGTTTTTGAAGATTGATATCTTCAACAGATTAATTGAACCTTGACTCTTGATTTTATACAGGACGTGCCTAGTTTTAATCCATCTTCAGCTCGTAGGACCAGTGTCAGCTCAGGAGGAAGTGATATTAATCATCCACGTGAGAGACAGCCTGAACCTGGTTATTCTTTTGTGGGAATGCATTGCATCTTTGATCACAGCAAAGCTGCTGGTACTTTCATACTTTGCCTATTGTCTGTGCTATTCCTTCCTACTTAGAACAGCATGTAAAGTGATTTATTTCTTTATTAAAATGTGAAGTAACTTTCTCAGTCTTGCAGTGACAGTTTTGAAGTTCGGTAAGAGGAGTTCTGATCTACTGGCATATGGGGCATCTGATGGAACACTGACAGTTTGTACAGTCTCCCAGTCACCTTCTGTCCTCAAACAGCTGAATGGACATTCAAAAGATGTCACAGGTTTGATTACCTGGTATTGCTTCTGTGTTCTTTTTACCTAACCAATGGTTGTCTATTTTCAGTTCATGTAAGTGTTACACCATAACAAACCTGTGGGGAGGATACCCATGCAAACACCTGCTTTTCATTTCCCCTGGTTAGTTTAACGTTGAGTGCAATAGGCATAATATACCAGGAATATGTGGTGAAATTATAAGTTTTGAAATATGAGATAATTCAGCAGCGCACTTATGAGATATTCATAGAGTAATTGAGCTGAGATTATTAGTCACTGATTTTGTTTCTTCAGAGAACAAACTGGATCTTGTAGGTTATGTGGCAGTTTACTTGAATGAATTTGCAAGAGTATCCTTTGAGATTGAGTTGGAAAAAAACCGTGCCATCCTCCCTGCGAAGCACGCTCTTATAAAGCAACAATCTCTGTCAATACATCACTTCACAAAATGCTTGTTGTGCTTTGTGTATATGGAAGGATCCTCAGGGAATAGTCTGTTGACTGTACTCATGTCAAGAAAAAATATATCATATGTCTCAGTGTACTTTTGTGTTGTGAATTGAAGCATTAACTTCTTGGAGATGATTAAATCGAGGCACTATCTTTGTAACCATATTTTATATAATGTCACTGAAGACAAGAGATCTAGTGATGAGTGAATTTTGAAGCTGACATTTGAAAATTCTGGATCCTATTATGTCTTTTTCAGACTTTGACTTCTCCTCCAACAATCAGTATATTGCATCATCGTCAATGGATAAAACTGTGAGAGTGTGGGAGTTATCGAAAGGAACTTGCATTAGAGTTATCTATGGAGTTTCCCAACAACTATGTATTCGTTTTCACCCTGTAAGTACATATCACATTTGATGTCGTTTCTTCGGAATTGCAAAACCACTTGTCTACATTAGACTGCCTAGTCTGCTTCATCTATGTGACTTCAAAGAAACCCTCTACAAAAATATGTCTCATCTGATTCAAACAGGTTTTTATGGCCAGTGATGTAATTTCTTCCAGTCATGTCTCCTCTCTTTCAATTTATTATTCCTGAGGCTTTGCAACCTGAACTGTAGGGACTGATACTTTTCTGTTTCTGTTTACTCTGTACACTTTCAATCCTTTGCGTATTATCTTAACTGACAAGTTATAAATTATCTTTTGACACAGGTAAATAACAACTTCCTTTCAGTTGGCAACGTAAACAGAGAAATCACTGTAAGTACTGCTTGCTTACCTTTGCTGATGTGACTTGTTCCTTACACTTAATTCTTCCTTTTTTTCCTAATCAAGATGATCAAAGTAACATTCCTATGTCTCAGTTAATATGAACGCATAAACCCCTTATTCCTGGGTTTTCTCAGTTCGAACCAAAGATAACCCAGTTGCTTTTTTATGGTTCTTACTTGATCACTCAACAAAACATAAGATTTATCTGGTAGTATAAGGAAGCAAGTAGGTGATGCTATCGATGTAATTGTTTCTCTTCTAGGTATTCAATTTCAGCACAGGCAGGATTATTGCCAAAACAGTTCTAAAAAATGAGGTTACCTCAATGGACCACGATCATACCGGTCGGCTCATTTTCTGTGGAGATCAGCAGGTGCCAACCAATTCCCAACTCTCTAAGATAATATTTACTAATCCACATTCCTTTCTTAGGCATACCTTGTGGGGTAATAATAATAGATGCATTGCTATAGGGATGTATATATTCCATCGGCATGGACTCCCGTACTGGCGCCTTGTCCCGCTCTCATCGATATCGAAGTAGCAGCAAGAGCAAGTCCCCGGTGACGACTGTGCAGTACCGAAGTTTCTCTCTTCTTGCACGTGGGCCCGTGTTGCTAACGTGCACTCAAGATGGAAACTTGTCCTTCTTCAGGTTTTTGGTTATCCTATGAGAGACTGCCCTTCATTCTTTTCGTAGCTGAAGCACACACTAAAAGAGAAGAATCTCTCTTCTTTCGTACCCGTGTGCTTGCAGAGTGGCTTTGGAAAGGAAAGGTTACCTAACTCTTCACTGCTCGCTGAAATTAGCTCCACGAGTACACAGCATGAGGGCGTCATTCTGCCCTCTTCTCTCCCTTGAACAAGGAGAATATATAGGTTTGTGATTCACACCATAGTTCTTCGGGAAACAAATTTTCTAGCTTTCCATTTCTTTGACTGCTTAACTTCTCCCGGTTTGACGAATTTAGTTGCTGGAAGTGAGGATTCGAACGTCTATTTCTATGATCTGACGAAGCCAAACAATCCTTGTGTGAACAAACTACAGGTCTCTCCTCGTGTGCCTTCCAGTTTCTTTCTGCATTACTACATTGCCTCTTTGGCCTTTTTCTAACTCAACTCATCTCCACAAACAGGGCCATCAGTTTCCAGTTATTGGTGTCGCTTGGAACTATGGCGAAAACTTGCTGGCCTCGTCGGATCTTCACGGAGTTGTCATTGTGTGGAAAAGGGCAAAGACAGGATAGAGGTACACGAATAACGACAGAGATCGGTCTCATTTCAGTTTTCAGCGAAGTAGGAGAAACAGGAGCGACGAGCGTGGATCTGCTGGTAGGAAATTCTTTGGTTCATTGGTCGTTCGTGCTATATGGAAGTAAAACGATTCTCATTGTAAGTGTTCAATATCTAGTTAGGATCCACCTATTGGCTATTGTATATCAGAACAACATAGTAAGAGGTTGCACAGTAGGCTGGATTGGTTTGGTTGCGACTGGTTCTTGATATTCTTTCACGGATACCAAATCTGGTGGAATTATGTTAAAATGATGGCGATTGAATAATATTGTTTTACTTCAACAACGAGATCATATCAACAATGTTCAATACTTTATAGGCTAAGATATGGAGTGCAAACTAAAACATCATTTCACTAACTTATTCGACGCATCACCTTCGCAAACAATAGGTATTTGTTAATATCACAATTCACAATCAATGTTCAAGAAGACACTACCGCCCAGCGCCCAGGCCGATTAGTCGTTGCCTAAGCGAGATTAAACGTTGAAAAAAATATGGTAGATAATCCATATTCCACTAACACCCAAGTCGCCATATCATTATTCATCCATTCATATACACATACAACCCTTTTCCACAATTCCAAACATCCCAAGTAGCCAACCATGAGGAGGGATCTCACTGTTGGTCGATGAGGGGGAGCGGCTCATCAAATGGAAATGAGAAATAGAATAGGGTTTGTGATTTTCAAAAAAAAAAAAAAAACTACACTTTCCCGTTTTATTAGTTGTTCTGGGCGTCGCCCACCAGAGTGAAAACACGCCTCCGAGTGCCTAGGTGCCTAGATCAATCGCCCAGGACTAGACGGGGCGATTTCCTCCTGCCCAGCTATTAATCGTGCCTAGACGAGAGATTAATCGCGTCTTCTTGAACACCGATTACAATGTTTACTAAAACTAAGTGACCATGTTATTTGCCTAGACATCTCTCTCAACGCATTTACTCTACCAAATTGTGCACCTAGATTGTGTCAACTAGGAATTCGGGTCTTTAAAAAAAAACCTAGATTGTATATTAACATAAGAAGGTAGCAGTGATCAAACCCTATATATAAACATAAATACAACATAGCAAAGGGCGTCCTTAAAAAAGCAGTGCCATCCTCAGCCAGCTCATAGAGTACAAACTGCCACTCAGCCATCATCACCTAAACTCAGAAGATGAAGATGATCGCACAAGTTTAGTTTCTTATAGCGCGATTCTATGCACCTCTTGTTATCATCTTCGACGCCTCTTTGGTCCCGCCTGGGAGAAAACAACGCATTAAGGAAGTCAACAAAGTGACGGTGAGAGAATGGATGATGCAATTGAAAGGAGCATTCGGTGAACGGCTGGTATTACCTTCGTATCTGATTGTTTTGGTGAGGTAGTAGCAGCAGTAGTAGCATCAGTAGCATGGGAGTTCTGCAACTTCTTTTGGACTTGGGATGAGCAGGTCTCACAGTAGAAGTGGTCGAGCCTTTTAGCTTCCTCTGCCGTCATTTCTATACAAGCAGGATGAAACCTGAATCAAATAGTATGCAAAACAATGGCTTCTCATTACTATCATTCAGAACGAATGGCATCCAGGGGAAAACATCTCTAGTAATAATACTAAAGCTGGCAACTGCATTATGGCAGAGTTATGAATTGCAAAATGGAGATCATCATAATATGAATATAGAGAGCCCCAAACAAAAGGACCACTTTTCAACGCAGTGCAGGATGTATAAATATTCGCCTCTTAGCAAAATTAAAAACATTGCAGCTGATTTACTGATCTAGTTTTCAAATGCCGAACCCATTATCTTTGAGAACTTTCTTTTAGTGAATGCCACAAAAAAAACCAAATTGCAACCTAGACAACTATCAGGGTCCAAGATGTTTCGTGTTTTGGTACCTTATGTTCATAGGAACAAGACCTCCCTCATAAACCACGAAAAGCAAATCCTTATGAAGTGGCTTTCTTACCATACTACATAATATGTAATGTGACTCGAAGCATCAATACTATTCCTAGTACATACTCTGCCACCATGAATTGTTCTTCTATCAGTCCAAGTTGGGTTTGAGCTATAAAACCACCAATCCTAGTACTTAAAGCAAATACTTATACCTTTCTGATTATGGACTGTACACGATAACTCTATAGGAAACAACTAATTTACTAAGAGCCTCCTGCTGTGACTTCAAAAGAGTATCCAAAGCATCAAACTTTACACGATGCTGCAGAACCAATTCCTACAAGTGTCTCAACTATACCAATACGACAACAAAAAAACGGCAAGGTAGCAGAACTAATAACTAGAGTTGCCATTATACATATGATGCATCTGGAAGAATGTGCATTAAAGTAACAGCTCCCTTTAGAGTGTGAGATGAATTCAGGGCCTGGGTGAATCAAAGCAAAAAGCTATGAAATTAAATGGATACAAACCCGGGTAATAAGCAATGAATGAAAAGGTACTCAGCGAAAAATATGCAGCAAAGGCATTCACCATACCTGAGCTACAATATGTGAAAAGGATGCAACTTACCAGTCGCTGCAGCCTTCACACTGCACCATTAGGTCATCGGGGTTGTATGGCATCTCGCATTTACAATACCTGCCACAGTCAAACTCAAGTCAACATCCTGAAAGAGAGAACCATAACAGGACATGAAACAAATAAAATGCATCATAGATTCAACTAGCTTATATAACCATCACTAATCAACAACTTCTTGTCAGCCTCTACACCAAATACCCACCAATAACCACACAACACATTAAACCAAAACGTTATAGTAAAAAACCACCAACTTTTTTTGCAACCATCAAACGTAACTAATCAAATTTGCTACCAATTGAAACACCAACTCTGTCCCCTCACAGCAATCCATTTTAGCTTAGGTGAAGTGACAGACAACTTTACAAGATGGACGAGTAAATCCATGAGCATGGCACACACAGAAGAGTTGCATCAACTGAGCCAAAAATCATGTCAATAGAAAGAGAAAGATGAAAGCAACAAAAGACTGACCCATTTTTTTTTTTTTAATAAGCTAACGAAATAACAGCAGCAAACTGTCAAATTCAAGAGAGACAAAAACTCAAACGTACACGGCGACTCTATCGGGATTGAAGGCTCCGGTGATGGAATTATACTCGAACCGACAGAAGAAGTCCTCATCCCCAACAGACTCGAGCTTCCCGTAGCTCTTGAAGCTGTGGACCGTACACTTGCCTTCAATCGAATCCGCGCTCTGGATATCACGGTGATCGGAGAGAAACACTTCCTTGGAGCCATGGAACTGCCGGCGTCCACCAATTGACTCCTCCGGCCGGTAGTACCACCTCACATGCACCTTCACGTTGGCGCCTCGGCTATCGGACTCGATCCGCTCGATCTTCGCCACGTAGGACGACGTGGAGTTGTCCGCCGGGCGCATCATCACGCAGTCGCCGGCTGAAAACATAGAACGACAAAAAATTATTCTCACTCCCAATTGAGAGACGGGAAGGAAGAAGAAGAAGAAGAAAAAAAGGAAATTAGGGTTTTAGTCAGAACCGTACGCACGTTTAACGGTTTTGTTGATGTGCTTGACAGAGTAGGAGTCGAGACTCCGGCGCGGGGTTTTGGGCTTGCCCATGGAAGATGAAAATGATGACGTCGGCGATAGGGGAAGTGAAGCGGCGGTGGTTTATTGCTGCGGCGGCGGCGGCGGCGGAGTGGGTAGTGGTGGCGATGTGTGTGGTCGGGAAACTGAGGACATGCGCAGGAAAAACGGATTGAATTTTTTTTTTTTTAATTGAATTTTTGCTAAAGGAAATAAATCGCTTTTTCTTTATTTTTCTAAATTCTTGGGGAGAGATATTCCTTTCTTATTAGGTGGACCGCGCCGCGGGATCGTCGCCGCGACCTTTAACGCCGATTGAAATGGACGGCTGTGATAAGACAGCGGAGCTGTGGGCGAATTCGACAGAATAAATCCACACCGTCCAACTGTGTGATGATGTGGAATTACGATCGAAAGTTCGGGAGAAAGCTGGATGACAATTATAGGAATGGTCAGTAAAGTCTACTTTCACTACAAATCGGTCATTCTCTTTTGGTCATTGAACGAATTTGTCATAGAAGTTTGCAATAATATAACCATCGCTTTATCTATATATGTCCTTGCAAGGTCACTTGTGCATAATTTTCAGATCATCACACAAACTCGATTGAATTAAGGATGCGAGAAGAATAACTTAGATGAAATTTTTTTATAAAGGACGATGTTATGTTCGATTTATTATGAATTCATTGCTCCATTTAAATTCAATTCTCGTTGAGACTCGAGGCTTATCAGTATGGGGTCTCTTTGCCTCGATCTCGTCAACATGTTGGACCATAAACAGAGAAGAAGGAACCCTCCATTCCGTTTTTTTCCTAATCCTTGTTTTCAAATAGATCTAATTGTATTTCATGCTCGACGTTCTTACATTAATTGATTATCGTCCTAAAGAATGAGTTAATCATGCATGCACAAATCAACCACGATCAAGAAGGAGAAATAAAATTCCATGAAGCATTCAAGGAGTTGGTTCATAACCTTTAGCTAGTTTTACTAGGAAAAAAAAGGTTGTGATGACGACCAACTACATTTGTATAGCTCGATCTAGCGTGAAGTAGAATCTGCGTTCGACCAAATCCTTGATCAGGGTACAAGATGATTCTCGTTACATGTACCACCTTCCGTTGTCGTGATTAGATACGCTAGTATCAACGGTATAGACGAACAATATTATCCCAAATGAGTAAACTAATAAGGTATTTCCTTTTTTTATCAACTTGTTGTCATGAATCATGATAGCCTTTTGTATATGGTACACAGAATAAGTTTTAGGTCATGGTCAGTGCAGTAGCGGATCTCCAACAGGGAATTGACTCCTTGTGTCGAAGAAAAGCATATGACGTTGGGTTTCAAGTGGAGCTCTCCCGCTGCGCGGAATTGGATTACTGCTGGCCTATACCGCTGCAAAGTGCTTGGAGATACGAATCCATATGCAAGTATTTGCCTCGTAGAAGTACATCTTTGGTGCTCGCCCTGAGGACCTCCAATGTTGGTTCCATTCATAGGTCCAGAATTCAAGGTTGTGATTTGCGTCACCTTCGTCTAGCAGTTGTGGCCACGAGATGTGAAGGTTCTGAATCGTTGGCGCAGTCAACAACGACTATTGCTCCAAGCAAAAAACAAGGACATGTGAGAAAAATATTATGAATATACAAGAAGACTAAGAAGAAGAAATACGATCCAGCTGCTAGAAGTGTTACCTCAAGCTGACCAGACAAGAGTGTTGGGAGCGTTGATGGAATGGCAACCCCGCTGTAGCAGGACGATTGTGAATGGTGAAATGTGTTCGATAAGGGTAGTAGCATGGTGGCATCTTCATGCACAAGGTGGCAGGCCATTGGATAGCCAGCATATAATAGTCAAATGCAGCTAAATCGTAAAAATTTGACAACAGGACAACAATCAGGAGAATAACTAACTATATCGTCCTCATTTTGTTCTGCTTTTTTTTTTTTTTTTTTGAGTAAATGTTGATTATACTCTGTTGGTGATTGAATTTTTTATGTTGTTATTTATAGACGAGAAGGGTAAGTTGTTGGGATATTAGGTGATTCACACAAATTTAGCTCTGTTATATTAGGTGACACACAAAGGTAGCTATAGGATACTAGGTGACTCACACAGCAAGCATGTCACAAATGAGTAAAAATCAATAGCATCAACATGTTCGACCATAAACCGCGAGAAGTAGAGCCCCTTCATTTCATTTTTTTTCTAATCCATGTTTTCAAATTATATCTGATTGTTTATCATGCTCAATGATTTTACAGGAAAATTTTGTGTAGAGCTGCAAATAGAGGGGCAGCAAATTTCGGGTGCAAATGCAATTTCCAATACATTTGCACTCATTTGGATAGTTTGCAATAGCAGTGAGGGGGTTAATGAGGGGTAAATCTACTATTTTACTAAACCCCCAATTTGGGGTGCAAAATGAGAGAGAAAGTGAGGAAGGATGGATGAGAAATGGTTACGTAAAAAATTATGTTTTTTTATATTTTGTTATTGTGTATAATGATGATTTAATGAATAAAAATATAATAAGTAACAGGGTATGCCTACTATGACATGCATGTCACCGTGACATGGACTTTTCGGTCGACCTAATCCTGAAGGCGGTCGACCGAATTGACTAATTTGGGCAGCACGAGAAAGCATTGTGGTCGACCTCAAAGACCACCTGGTCGACCGTTCTTAGCTTAAGTTGTTATTTTTGGTTGACCAGAATAAACCTCGGTCGACCATTTTGTTGGCGTCAGAAACAACATGGTCGACCGTAAAGGTATATAGGCAGACCACTTGATGGCAGTCATTAACAACATGGTCGACCAGATAAAGAAAGAGGTCGACCAAATAGACGATAAGTGTTCTATCAATTTAGCCAATCATTTGACGTAAAATGAAGATCAAGTGTTGGTGTCGAGGTCGACCTAATCCGGTACGAGGTCGACCGAATACAAGAAAGTCAACCTATGCCCCATGTCTTTTTTGCTTATGTATGTCGATTTGTGTGGTTCTTTTGCTCGTATAAATTATGTTTTAAACCATCATAACTAGTCATAAATAATGATAACAAGGACTCATCAATTATGCTATGAATTGAGGTCGACCGCAATGCTTTCTCGTGCTGCCCAAATTAGTCAATTCGGTCGACCGCCTTTAGGATTAGGTCGACCGCAATGCTTTCTTGTGCTGCCCAAATTAGTCAATTCGATCGACCGCCTTTAGAATTAGGTCGACCGATAAATCCATGTCACGGTGACATGCATGTCACCGTAGCAAAATCCTAAGTAACATTTATGTTATATCATTGTGTTATTATTAATGTAGATGTTGTTCGATGTTCACGTTTGACTCCGGTGAGTAAGTTTGTCAAAGTTTGTGTAGTCAAATCAAGATCTCTTCGTTTACTTGAAATTGTGTTGAAATTAAAGAGAATAAGTGTTTAACTTGCATATTATAACGTGATTTGATATATCGATTCCACACCGGTTTAGTTAACTCGGTTTATATGATTAAATAGTTAAAACTTACATATTCGAATGTGTTTACGTAAGTTTGACCTGTTCAAATTTAAATTTAAAGTGAACACAAGAACCGTATAGGATGGCTAGTTGTGGTTAAATTAAGTACGAGAATCCTGTAGGATGACTAGTTACGAGTTGAATTTCGAGTTTCGAGGCCTCTCGACCAATGATTATTACATTTTTTATAATTAATTATTATTTAAGTATTATTATTTTATGATTATTTTTATTAAAATATATTTATTATTATGTAATAATTCCTATTTTATTGTTTTATACTAATGTTATAAATTTGATATATCTATTTTACAATAAAATAATTTACTTACTTTTCAGTTTATTTGCACCCCATACTTTTTCATCCAAACAACAATTTATCCCTCCGCTTACACCCCCAACCAATTTGCACCCTCCTGCAATTTACTCCTCAACTTGCATCCCTCTCGAATTTGCACCCCTACTTGCCAAAACACAACGAAATTGATTATCATCACACAAAAAAAAAAAAAAAAAAAGAGTCAATCATTCACAATTCAACTAGGATCGAGAAGGAAGAATCAAATTCCATGAATCATTGAGGGATTCATCATTTCAGAACCTCTAGCTAATTTTACTAAAAAGGAGAGGTTGTGATGATGACAACCTACTATATATGTACGACTCGATCCGCCATGAATTAGAACCTACATTCGATCAAATTCTTGTTCAGGGTACAAAATGATTCTCGTGATATGTACCGTCTTTGTTGTCGCGTGATCAGGCACACTGGTATATCAAGATTTTAGACGAAAGATATATCAAAGACGAGTAAACCAATCAGGTGAACCATTATGTTAATTATTCTAAATTGAGGCGCAGAGTTGCAATTTGCTCGCAAGATCAATGACGGATTGTGTAATTGACCCGACAACTAGGTTGGTACATGTGTGAAACGAGAGATGTCGGATGCTCCACGTCAGCTAATTTGGTGGAGGCTTCTTTTTTTAAGAAAATAAATCTATTATTAATTTAATTTACCTAGAAACTGGTGAGAATAGAAAATTCGAGAGTGCGTGCGGATCGCATTTGAGGAATTAGTAAAATGGGCTTCAATCGGGTGCAGCCGGAAGCAGCGTCAGGGAACGGAGGAACGGCCGACGTGCTTCCGACAACGCCACGTCGAAAAGGAAAACACGGTTGCTAGCTAGCTGCTCGCAACTCTCTCTTGTACTTTCCGCCACGTCAAAATTCACCGCCGGTCGCCGTCACGCTCCATGCCACGTCATCATTCCCACGCTTCAAAACCTATGACATACTCTCTTGTTTTCTTTGTTTTTCTCCTGGAGCTTTCACACTCTCCCCTCTGGCAGGCGAATGGTTAATCGGCAGCTTCATGGCTGCGGCCAAAATAACGGGACTCCACAATGAAGCCCTTACAGACTCGTTTGTAGAGTGATTCATGTCGTTGGATCAGGTCACATAGAATTGGTAAGTACGGCATGTATATGGAGATGTCCCAACCATTCGAGTTATTGAGATTAATTGGTAGTGACGGAGGCAGCTTACATCAAGGTGGGTCATTTGCACCACCTTTGCTATTGAAAGACACCTAAAACCTATATATATTAGTCTACCCATATGCGGAGCTAGTCCTATTGGGCATTGTCCCTGGACAGGGGTAAGTTTTGGGACGAAAAAAACCTCATATACAATTATGCTACAACTCATTATCTGTTTATAAATTGACATAAAACTAATTTATTATATTATAAACGAAATCTCGATTGGAATAAATACCTAATCGGATCTCTTTTTCTCTTATGCATATTCGACATTTTGCACATAAACCCTGAAGCAGTCCAGTCGTAGGGCAATTCACTAGTTTTGATTCTACCCGTTGCAACTGCAAGTGTATTTTCAACTTTGAACTATGTTCAGAACAAACTTCTAAGTCGAATCGGCATCCCATTTACTAATAGTTGTTGAGTATGATACAATGAAATCGACTTACTTGAGAATGTAGACAACGTATGTAATTTCCGTTTCTTTCGGAATATGAAAACCATGATTGTATTAGTTGTTTATTTTTTATTTTAATTATTTGAATATTATTAGTTTGATTATATTTATTAATTAAATATTTATATATTTATAGTATAAAAAGAGTACAGGATAATTTCAAATCCTGCCTCCGCCACTAAATCTACCCAAGAACCATAATAAAGCCTTAGACCTCCCTTTAACAAAACAACATTCCCATTTCCACCAACATACTTCAAGTATACCCTTAAGTTTAGTGGATTAATGCATTGGTGAGGGTTAACCCAAACGTTTTGGGTTGCATTGAAGGTTTAAAGCTTACGGTAATTCATTGATTAGTTGTGATTCTATCTTATATCATCATATCAAATTAATGATATCAATTAAAATCTAAAATAAATCTAAAATCAACATCTTAAGACTACTTTTAGAGTTCGGTACGCTGTGAATGCACCAAAGAAGTCACCTTAAATATATATAGTTCAGGCTAGCGTACGCCTCACATAGGATAATCTTATCATATGTCCATCGAGTTTTTCCATTTAGACTATGAATTAATTGAAGTTTGAGACGTGATATTATACCTTATATCTTATGGGTGAACCCTATTCTATAATTCTCTATCCCAAACCATATGATTATTGGTGGATCCTTCACAACCAACTCCTCCTAGGTTTATCTCTCGCCACGTATCCCATAAAACTCTCCTTATTCACTCCAGGGCATGGTTGTCAAACCGGTTTCATGTCGGCCGGTACAACCGGGTCCAACGGTCAGCAAACCGGCCGGAAAGGGGCCGATATTTAATTGTGGTCAAATCCGGTCAATGCCGGTCAGATCCGGTCAAATCCGGAAATTCCGGCCGGTTAGACCAGAAACCAAAATTTAATGTTACACACATTATATCCAAAAATAAACATCTTCCATAGGATTTGAACCAAGTACCTCATGTTCATTTTAGTTTAACTTACACACTCGTAGGCTACAAGCAATTTTGTTGTCTATATTAACCTTATATGTTATATATCTAATACTAAATTTTTTTTTTCGTTGAATATCTAATACTAAATTTTACACAAATCATTATAAATATTAATAAAATTCATTTAATAAAATTTTACTTTTAAGCATCTAATTTTTAGTATTAGTTACCAATTCTTAGCTATAAATTATTTCCTGTGAAATAATTCTTCTAATTGCTATTTCATGACTAATTTATTTGGAATTGAGGATTTCTATTTTCCTCATGTATTTTATTAAAACCGGCACAACCGGCATGAATACTGGTTGTACCACGGTCAGACCATTCCACTTACAAAACCGGCACACCGGCAAAAACCGGTTTGACAACCTTGCTCCATGGTAATAGGAATAACCTCCTCACATGGCCACGTAAAGATGATGTGCCAATTACCCACCAATCCATGTACACGAATCACTTTTACATTTACATGTGTAAGAACTATTCAGATTAATTAGTTGGAGTGGAGACCCTATTAGCTACATGTGGATCTGTGGAAGATTGAAGGTTAATTTTACCACCACTTCTCTTTGAGCCCAACCAAATAACACCTCCCCAAAATCACCCCAAGTTACTCCACGTGGCCAGGTGAGAAGTCTTCTCTTCATTGCTGTGAAGGGAGAGCAAAACAGGGTAAAAGGTTGTTCACCCGGTGTACTCCCTTTTCATTAGGATCAACCACGTGGATATTCTAAAGCTCCATTTTCTCTATATTTCTTCCACATGGCCACGCAGGGAAATGTGTCATATAAAGCCAACATCTCTCACCCAACAAACCCCATTACATAACCATGGAAATTGCAAAGATAGATACATGCATGAGATGGGTGAGTTATCAGGTGATGTCAAGCACCCCATCACCCTTTGTATACCATGTTAACATAGTCAAAAGTGGTATGGTAAAAGTTAATTTTATCCACCATTTAATTATAAGCCACCCTCTATCCAATAAGACAACATTCCTAATATTAAGCTAAGTGGAAGAGAAAGGGCAATGTGACAAGTTATCTCCCCCACTTCTCATTGCATGGTCTAAATAATGATCGCTTAGCTTCCCACCTCGTGCTACTCCTTGACAAGTAGAAAACCAAGTGTGTTTCTCACTTACTTAAGACTTAAGAAGTTGGAGAATTTACCCTAAAGCACACAATCAACATGCTTATTTTTCCTTGTTACACGTGTATGTGAACTAACTTAGTCATAAGCTTAGTCTCCCACTTACCCTAAACAAACCAATTACACGTGGAGCTAATGAGACTAAAGATGTCATTTTTACCACTAACCCTTTTAATAATTCATCCTATGCCCATCCCATATTCTTATACGTGGAAGCAAGTATGGTGAGCTTTGACATTTTATTTTGCTAGCCATATGCATTCACTTACACGTTCAAGGTAAGTAACCTTTAATTAAGTTGTTAACTTCATTTGTTGTTTTATATTTTAAATCACTATTGATAAAGGATACGCCACCCCTCCAAGAGCAAGACGCGCCTATAAATAGGTCGTTCATTTCTGTTTCCTCGACAATCCATCTCAATTCCAGGGAACTCATTTTCTCTGAACGAGATAGGAAAAGGGGAATTTCCGACAAACTTCTTCTCGGCGAATTGGCAACTTCCAACCCCATTTCTCTTCTTTCTCCCCTAGAGTCGGCTCTATACGCCGCTCCCAGTTATTTCTAAGTACTGACTTGAGCTTTGGAGAAGGTCCCAGCCGACCACAACCGGCGGGTCCTCTTTTGCAGGTATTCATCTCGAGAGCTGGAATCCAACGGCAAATCAAAAGGTCAACGCTCTTCAGACTCTACAACGTTCGAGGTCGGCTATTTTAGCTTGGCATCAACAATTATTTAATTATTTAATTTAAAAAATAATTATCAATGGTTTTGATTCGTCGAAATATATCAAAGACATTTAATAAGTGTGAATGCATACATCTATTAGACGCCACACATACACTACGCTTACCATCTATATATTGTTAAATTTTACGCACGACCCACCTTAGCTAAATTCCTGCCTTTGCCACTGCCAATTGGTTTATGACATTGTATCATATCCTTCTGTTATTGAAAGGCCTTTCGTTCGAATCGAATTTAGTCCATCTCATTTGTTATGGGCATATGGTATTCAAGCATATGCAAATTTCAAGCCAATTAGTTAGCTTTGGTTTGAGCAGACGTCGAAAAAAGTGATTAAGTATTATACATAAACTTCTCCTGACAACTTAAATTATGAGAACGAGCTTATTACATAATATCAAAACTTATTATTCTCCTTTTTAAGCTAGCAATAGCTTGGGCAGTGGCGGATCCAGGAATTCTACGTAGGGGTGTCCTCTATAAAAAAATTAAATTAAATATTAGAATTAAATTAAACAATTATTAAATTTGAAAATATCTAACTAATAGAAGTTATATTAAAAGTTCAGACGTGTTTCGTAAAATGGTAAAATGCATTCGGTGTTTTTTACTGCTACAACAAATATCTCTCGACATATCCTACTAGACAAGGGTATCCCGTAATTGAGTTTAATCGTTATTTTTTGAAAATAATTTGAGATAAGAATTATATTTGGATCTAAAACACAATAACAAATGAGTTGTAGCATAATTGAAACGTATATTAACTAATAGTGGCAGTGTCCCAAGTTGAAATCATATAAACTATTACTTAAATATTATTTGTACCAATACGCAAACTACTACGGAAGGTTGGATAATCATTTTCCAAAATTTTAAAGGTGTCCCATTACCACTTAAACATTTTTTTTTCTCATACGCAAACTACTATCATAGGTTGAATACAGTGGCGTAGCCAGCGTTCAAGTTTAGTGGGGTCCCATTTATGGAAAAAAAATTATAACATTGTATTCAATTATTAAGTAAATTTTCTTAAAAATATTCAGTCAAATAGTCATTCATCAAACCATTAGTTATAAGATTTGTAACTTACATTTTGTGTAACTCATAATTGAAAAGTGACATTTCAATAACTAGCTAAAATAAATAGTCACCAAGCAAAACCTAACACACACAAACGTTTTATAAACACATTTGATGACAAAGAAATTGTATATTAATAGAAAATTTTTGTTGAACTAAGAGCTTTTTAGATATAGCTGGAGGTTTTTGTACACTTATTTAGTACACTCCCTTCCACCTCCCTCCGCCACTGGTTGAATAATCGTGTTTCCAAATTTTAGGGGTGTGGCCGGACACTATGTATCAGCCACTGAGCTTGGGCCATCCATTTCCATTGTCCATTGAATTTGTTGCAGACAAAGATGCGGGCTACAAAGGGTTTGAGACAAAAAGTCTACGTGCGTTAACGGGGACCAATCTAATGTTCTGATATACCTAACCTAAGCTAGTTAGTTGTCACGGGTGCTCCCCATTTCCAGCCACACACATTCACATGTAGTCGTAGATTGATACCTTTCATTTCTTCAACAAATTAAAATAAAAAAGACGATTACAGTACCATATTGGTATTGCTAACTAATTAATTTCATGTACTTCAAGATTACACATACAATAATCAGCCGTATAATCAATCAACTCCCACATTTACACACGTTAGACTAAGCAAGACCCACGTCATGGGGCCATGCACACCCATAAACGTGTAAATGGACTGTCAAATCAGGCGTCCACAAATTTAAAGAAAGAGAGGTGGGCAGAGGGGTTTTGATTGGAGTAGGGCCCAATACTGTACTGGATTATAATTGCTGATTAAAATGGGGCCTAGTCCATGTTCTTGCGTAGATGAGATAATCATGCCAGCCCAAAGTGATGGGCCCCGACCTTGTTCCAGAGGTTCCTTTTCGAGTCCGTTTCTCTCTGACTCTCTTTTGTGTGGGTTTGGTTTTTTTTTTTATTTTTTTTTTATACTACAAATCTACATTTCTCCTATTAAAAACCAAATTCAGAAGTTGCTACCACTTATAATTTTCCATAAAATTTTCTACTAAAAAATCTATAAACAAATACAAGGTTCTAAATCATAAAAAAAAAGTTTTAGGAAAAATGCTTATGTCATTTGGAGTTTATAAAAAAATTCAATGTGCCGGCCAAGGCTTTGCCTTATGTGTCTGCTTATTTGTTTATTTAATTTAATTCTGCTATAATAATAATAATTATTATAATTATTATTTTTTTTTTGCATTGTGGAGTCTGGAGTGTGGAAGACTCAATCGATAATAGTTTATAAGTTACAACTTATAATATATATACTTACTTTTTTTCTTATCGGGAACGTATAAACTAGGTAATCTGAGACAAAATTTACCCCATAAATATGCTAGACACTCAAATAGGGATGGCAACAAAATCCGAACCCACGGGTATCCACCCGACCCAACCCAGTCAACGCGGGTAAAACCCGTGTTGACGGATTTTGGGCCGGGTTCGGGTTTAAATCCGCTACACTATTCATCAGGTTGGGTTTGGGTTTAGGTAAACCCGTCCCATGGGTACCCGCTTATACACATATAATTATTTTCACGGTATATTTAATATTCTAAATAATATATCTTCCTTAAACAACTAATATTCTTTATGTTTGTGAAGACATGCATAAATTGTTCTTTCTAATTGTTTAGACTTTAGAATGAAGTTGATATTATGAAGTGGAGAGTGAAGAAACTTAGTTGACGAGGAAGAAGTTTTCAATTAATCTTATTGTTTATAGATGTTTATCTTTAATTTTGAACAATTTGTATTGATCATTTGTGGTTTGCTTGTATACTCTAGATTGGTATTTTTTGTATGAGAAAATTGATGTTAAACTTTTATTTTGAAAGAAACTTGTTATTGTAAATTTTTTACCACAAAAACCCACGGGTACCCATGAACCCGCGGATACCCAGCGGGTTGGGTTGGGGGTTGGGTTTGAGTTTTTGAAATCCAGCGGGTTTTACCCCGAATTTTTTTGGCGGATAAACCTATGGATTTGGGTTTGAGTTTGACAAAACCCGCCCCAACCCGACCCATTGTTATCCCTACACTCAAATAACCAATTACAAAAAGGAAAAAAAAATCATACCTACGAGGAGAACATTTTTACAGGTCTGCGGATTTCTTGGACGCCACTTATTATTTGCTGTTGGGTTCAAGTTGTGGGTTAGATTTTTTTTTTTTTTTGACAAGGAAGTTGTGGGTTAGATTTCATGTTACACAAGAAGGACCCATTTCCTGCCTGTCTCTGTCTCTGTGTTCTCTGCAACTGCCTGCCAACGACGTATTCACTCATCATTATTACTTCTCACGTCAACCCATCAAAGAGAGATGAAATTGGACTATGCCTTCATCTTCCTCTTTTCTTGAAAGCTGCCTTTTCTGCCATGGTGATATTAGACCTCTGGACTCTGGTTGGGTACAGCAATTTGACCAACATGCCTACCAAGGTCGTTTTCTACCTTTCTTTAAAACAGACGTATCATGGACTAGCCATTAGGGGTGTCAGGTCGGTTTTGGTTTTTCGGGTTAACCCGAAACCGAACCGATAAATGCACTTTTGGGTTTCGGGTTCTCAGGTCCAACCCAATTATGTGAAGCAGCGGTTTCGGTTTCATGGAAACCCGAGAACCGAGCTTAACCCGAAAAACCGAATGGCTTTATTGGATTGCCTGCACAGCTCTGAAGAGATGGTGCCGTTTTGATTTCGTTCCAACACATGCCCAGTACCCTAGCTTTTCGACGTCGGAGCCTCCCTTCTCAACTCCCTCGCCATAGCAACCTTGTGGGGACCTCCGACCGCCATCAACCCTCTCGCCGTCATCGTCCTCGCCGCTATAATCATACTCATTGCCAGCGGCCTCATGAGAAACTCAGCTGCGGACGACCGAAACCCATCCACGGCGAAGTGGGTCGACTACTCCCGTATTATTTGATTCTCCGACCTCGACTATGGCAACCCAGTAAGGCCTTCTTCTTTCCCCTCCCTTTCCTGTTCTGTTTGTGTCCCCTGTTAATTGAAGCGGCTAATGGATTAAGGGGGAGAATATGAGTATTGTGGCATTTGGGTTCCTGGTTATGAGCCTGATGGATTCCTAGCGTTTGGGTCCTCTTTCAATCGAATTCCAACAGAGCAAGTGAGCAACAACAGGATAATTTGAGGAACAAAGAAAGGAATCGACGCTAAAGAAGATCAGCGGGATTAATCTATGGCGGTTTACTTGTAATTGGAATGAATCGAAGGTGGAGTCTGGGTCTGAAAGTGCTTCTGCTGAAGAAGAGGGATTGGAAGGAAAAGCAGAGGTTGATGGGTGCTCTGTTTTCTTTTCTTCAGGAAACGAGCTCTGTAGCTTTGGCACAGAGAAACTCGCTTCACTCAGTGGCTTCCTCTTTTTTGGTGGGTTGTGGGAGTGAGGCAGTGAGAGGCTGAATTGGATTAGCGTTTGATGAAAACAAGAATCTAGTGAATTTGCTTTGCCTTTTCCTTTTGGGGTTCTCTTCTCTGGCTATATATACTGCGAATTTCTTCCTCTTCCTCCTCCTGTTCAAGCTTTGATGCAGAGACAGAGGAGAGAGAGACACGCACAGAGTGAGAGAGAGAGAGAGAGAGTCTTTAAGCTTTCTTCCGCAGTTCATTAGCCGTGTGTCTTCGGGTTCAAGCTAACAACCGAAACCGCAAGTATTTTTTCCGGGTTCAGGTACCCGAAACCGGCAAGCTGCAATTTTGGGTTCGGTTTCGGGTTGTGTAGTAATGGGTTCGGGTTGTCGGGTTTTGCTGGGTTTCGGGTTCGGTTACCCGAACCGAACCGAATCGGCACCCCTACTAGCCATCAATGGAAGTAAATTTCGAGGTAAAGAGGTGAGCGCTTATTTTGGTTCACCGGAGCTAAAAAGTGGCCTTGTAGTTATTGGTTCTTAACTTTAAGAAATTAATTGCTATTCAAATGATTACGATCAAGCTTTGTATCTCACCGGGTGCCAGCCTGTGATTAGTGCGGGTATTAACTCTCGCCCTCCCTTTAATAATGGTGTCGATTTCCCTCTAATTCAATCGATAGTGTCACTGATCAACCCATTATTTTTTAGAATAATTAGCCCATCAATTATTGGGTTAGTGTAGTAAAACAAATCTAGTGTCTATTTTATCGCTGAGATTTGAAACATAGAGGAATTGGGTGATTAATTAAGGGATTTAGTTACATTTCCTTTTTTGTCCACTTTTCATATTAATTGGGACCAATGGATAATTATGAAATTAATTGGTACCATATTAATTGTGCTCAGATTCTTCATATGGCAATGCCTCAAAGTCATACTTCCCACAGTAGTGGCCCTTCAAACTCGTGGAGTAAACTGCCTTAACCGATGGCCTATCTGCTGGAGACATCGAGAAAGCATTGAACATTTATTATTCAGATTCCCCCTAGCCATCAGATTGGGGACTTTAGTGGGATTGAGCAACTTTATTGAGACCGCCCAGACTGTTAACTTTGGTCTATGGTGGCGACGTTGTCATGGTCTCTGAGACCTCCCCATTCCACATTCTCCGACACATTCTCCAATGCGTCTGTTACTTCGGAGAATCTGGAAGTCTAGAAATAAAGTGACCTTTGAATTTATCCTGTTACACCCCGACCTTTGGGTTCAGGTTCGACCATAATACGTGAACGATTGGATTAACGGTTACGTACTAAGGATTGCAACCGCGGATTAGGAATAATAATAATAATTATTATTATTATTATTTTAAAAAAAAGCTAGCCAAGAGGGCGCTCGGCCCTCATTGTTTTTCCCATCACCTTCCCCCCCCCCCCCCCCACCCACGCCAAGAACCCGTCCCCATTCACTAAATAAAGAACCCTAAAGGGAAAATCCGTTGCTAGTTTGATGTGAATGTACATGAGTTCTTATTTAAATTTAAGCTTTAAGTTTATAACTTATTGTTGAAGTTAAGAAACAAGTTTTTTAAGAAGTAACTCACCTTCAAGAAGGTGAAGTCGTTTTAAGTGTTTTTAGTCACTAGCGCCAGTCCGTTGCTAGTTGAGATTTTCAGTTAGAGCAGCAGTTATGCTCTTGAGATCTTTGAGACAGAGCAGCAGTTATGCTCTTGAGACTTTTAAGATGGGCAGCAGTTATGCCCTTGAAAATCGTGGTGAAGAGCCACCACGATAAGTTTAAGATGTTAGGGGGATGAATCGTTACGACTTCCCTAACTAAGTTTAAGTTTAAGGAAAGCCTGACGGGCTTCTCATACGTATGAGTTGGCAATCGGACTAGCTAGTGAGGGATCCCAGTGTCAGTCAAGTATTTAAGTCGAGTTTTGAGCTTTAAGAATGGAGAGTGACAGTAACTCCCATACAGTTTTAAGAATTAGGAGTTTTAAGAGTGGAAGTACAAACAACTCCCACTAGCTTAAGTTAAGTATCTAAAGTAAAATACTCAAGTACTAGATTTTAAAAGGTAAGGACGTAGACTGACCCCATCTCACTCACCAGTTTGAGGAGCTAGAGGAGCAGTTAGTGAGCAGCGATTTCGAGGGCAGCTAGCTAGAGGAGAGCAGTATAAGCGTCACGGAGGATACTTAGTCAAGGTTTTCAGTAGCAACAACTTAAGAGATTATTATTTATTTATATTTATGATTATGAGTATAGACTGGAGATTATTTTGAGATCAGATTGAGATTTTAAAGTTTGAGCTTAGTTTGCCCACTTGTTAGGGCTTTGCTTTGAACTGCAAATGTGTGTTTTCAGTATTTTATTTACGAAAATTTTCCCGCTGCAATTTAAGATTTGAGTATTTTATTTATCAAGGGCATTTTAGTAAAAGTAGTACCCGGCCGGGTTAGGGTGTTTCATATCCAACCTCATGTCCATACCCTAGCCAGACAGTTCTACAACCAGGTCCTCGAAATCTCCAGTCTTCTTCTCCCCCCTCATCCCCACAGCTCTCTATCCCCAAACCTTCCTGCCACCACTTGGGTCCCTCCACCAGAAGGCTTTTTGAAGATCAACGTCGACGCAACTTTTTGTGCCTCCGGGTGTTCGTCTGGGCTTGTTATCTGTGGGTCAGACGGGCATGTGATGTTGGCGTTCGGGTTGCAGCATCAAGGAATAGTCAACCCTTATCTGGAAGAGCTTCTGGCTTTCAGGGATGTTATGTCCTTTGTAGCCTCAAGATCCTTGACCCACGTGATAGTCGAAGGTGATTCCGAAGTGGTCGTCAACCAAGTCCGTCAAGGCGTCTTAGAAGACTCGATTGGTGGTCCGGTGTTACGAGAGTGTCTTCAGGCCCTTAGCTCTTTGTCTGTTTGTATAAAGTTTAGGGCGGTACCTAGATCCGCCAACAGTGTTGCCCATAGAGTGGCGCGTAAAACACTGCTTTTGTCTCGTGTAGAGCTAAAATCTTTTGATTTTTTTGGGTGGCTTCTTTATGGTCTTTTAGGGGTCCTGTGTAGAATTGTAAGCTTAACTATTATTTTCCATTGATATCACTCAGGAATAAAAAAGACGTATCATGGACTAGATCACGAAATCTTCGTTGATTCACAATCGTTGGATGTATGTGATTGTAGTTCTGTTAATTATATAATTACATGCATTAACGGTCATGGATCGCGTGATGTGCGATCTCATCGAGTAAGCACTTACAATAAAGAAAAAATTCGGCTTATCAACGATATTTTACAATCACAAGGATTTTCGGATTTCACTTTGTTTGACACCTGTTGTAATGGTCCTTTATTGTTCGTTTTGCTCAATCTTTTTGCTGGGTCTTGTGGCTTCTCCGTCGATTGGGATTGTTTTGCATCACAGTAAGTGTTCCATTATTGTTTGGTTCTAGCTTGCATGGTGTAATCCAAATCTTGTAATCGTGATTTTTCATGTAATGTAATATAAGAGGATTCGGCTTAATTGCAAGTTTGGTCACTGGAATTGCTTAAAAATTTCACATTTGCCACTAGAATTACTTTATTCCATCCGTAGTCACTTAAATTAGTTCATCAGTTCAAGTTTGGTCACTCTCCGTTAGTCTCCGTTAATTTTGACTGACGTGGCAGTCAACTCTGAGAGTTGACCGTTAAATAAGTGACGTGGCAATTAAAAAAATTAAAAAAAATTAAACATTCAATATTTTAAAAGTGCCATCTCATTATGACAATAAAAAAAAATACTATTATTGTTTATTTTCCAGCTAATTATTACAAATTAAAAAAAGAAAATCCTAATTCGATTTAGCAAAGACGAGTCCACCCTCCCGCTGACCGCCGTCGACAAACGTCGGAACGCAGTCATCGTCCCAGCCGATCCTGACCTAATCGACATCTTAGCGATGAACGGCGTAGATATTTCGGTCTCCGAGGGTGATTCCGGAAACGGGCAGTTCAGTTTCATCGGGAATCTCCTCTTCCCTTTCATCGCCTTCGCTGGATTGTTCATCCTCTTCCGCCGGTGGCAAGGCGGACCGGGGGGACCCGGAAGATTTGGCGGCCCGATGGACTTTGGGCGGTCGAAGTCCAAGTTCCAGGAAGTTCCCGAAACAGGAGTCACGTTCGTGACGAGGCCGGCGCCGATCAAGCCAAATTGGAGCTTCAAGAAGTCGTGGAAAGGCAGAGAGAGGAGTAGGATTTTCTTTAATCGTACTCCATTGCATTCCTCCCTCTCTGCAGAAGCTTCTCTCTCCCTCTCCCTTCTTCTTCTCCTTCTTCCTCACACTCACAACGTGAATTCCCATTCTCTTCTTCCCAATCCTCACTCTGAAAGCTCCCTCTCTCTCTTCCCCTCTTCATGTCTATGCCCTTGGAGCACGATTATATAGGCTTCTCGCCACCACCAGCAGAAGACTCTTCCGTGGAGAAAACAGGGGATGCTAAAATTAAATCCATCTCTGCTCTCATCATGAACATGAAAGCTACCGAGTTGAAGCTCGGGTTACCCGGCTCCGAGTCCCCCCGAGCGAGACAACACCGGCAGCAGCCCGGAGCTATGCATCAGCTTGCCCAGTAGCAAGTCCTCTGTTTCCAGGCCCAAGAGGGGCTTCACCGTCGCCATCCACGGCGGCTCCGTCAGCTGGGTTTTCTCCTCACCCGACACCAATTTCGCCTCTCCCAACAACAACCTCTCGGTCGTTACGAATTCCGCAATAAAGGTCCAATACCACGATGTGATAATTTCTTTTTTTGTGATAATTTTTTTTTCATTTTTTATAATTATAATTTTTTTATAATGATGTGTAATTTCAAAAAAATTAATTTTTATTTTTTAATTATTTTTTATTTGCCACGTCACACATTTAACGGTCAACTTTCAGAGTTGACCGCCACGTCAGTCAAAGTTAACGGAGGTTAACGGAGAGTGACCGAACTTGAACTGTTCAACTAATTCGAGTGACTATAAATGGAATAAATTAATTTGAGTGGCAAACGTGAAATTTTATAGCAATTCGAGTGACCAAACTTGCAATTAAGCCAAGAGGATTCACATAGTAAACAATCGCAATTAGGAGATCGTTCGTACATCACATGATTTTGGGGTCCATTGATTGAAGTGAGTTTATGATATGATACATAAGTGAGTTTGTTTTGATTTTTTCCATGTGGCTTCAAATAACATGTTGTACATTTTAGTAAGCCATCGAAGAGAAAATGACCTATGATTTTGTGACCTAAGAAGAAAGGTCAATCGGTTGATGAAAATGAAAAGAGAGTTATATATAATTTATTAATGTGGGGGAGATAAAATATGAAAAATTATTTTTGGATTATTGCCATGAAAGCCTAAGCATATGCACATTCTTCCTTTTCACTTGGTACCACATCAAAGATGAGTGGTGGAAGTGCTTTCTCAATTGGGGAAAAAAGTGACACTTCAGCTTTTGTTTTGGATGGCAACTTCTTGTAGTACACATATGCTTTTTGGCACTCTTTTCCTTTTGCCAATTTCCCCCTCTCCAATGGAACAATGGATTGGCATTTTTCTTTCAATAGGTGAAGCATATAATAGTTATAATTAGTTAATTATTGATTAGTTACAACTACTTGCAAGAGTATACATTTCTTATTGGTTTGTTGGGTATATACAAGGTTGAGATAGTTCGTAACGTATGGGTTGAGTTTTTGTTATTATAAATAAATATGACGTGTTTATTGTATCAATTAATTCCTAACTCACATTTATGATGTGAGTCTAACTAACATATCACGATGTATTATGGTTTTTGGTTGACACATGTTGCATGTATTAGTAGTTAGCACCAATACTATTTATCTAGTTTGAGTAAAGTGATCTAAAGTTTCATTTAAATTAGTTGCATCTTCGATCAACCTATGATTAGCAAATACTTACAAATGAAACTTCTACTACATGATCATTGGAAAAGTGTAGCCTTTTTCTATTTGAATTCGGCTCTTAAATATCATATCACATTTCAATGTATGAATGCGTCTTCCATTTGGGACAAAAAAAAACACTAGATTGAGTGAGAAAATATAAGCTTGCGTTTTTACCGTAAGACGCTAAACTCATCCTCACCAATACATACATGGATTTGTAACACAAGTAAAAGTCCAATCAGTGAACAATGTTGAAAAAAAATGTTTGTGTTTATTAGCTGTTGGGCTAAATTCTATTTTTAGGTCCTCTGAAACACAAATAAGTTCTATACTTCTATTTTTCTTCTTCCCATAAGGAGTCCTATTTATCATAAGCTCGAATAGCTCACTCCCTTTGACAAATATTAACCAAAGCTCACAATTAGTTTAGTTGGGAGTTCAGTTTGGACCTTTTGGCCTCTTGTTCTGGGCTACCTCTGTCTCTTTAGTTCGGAGTAATCCACTTCACTTCCTTATCCACCACCAATAATCTCGTTTATGAGATTCACTGTGATGGATGTCTTTGAGCGATTCCAAAAAGGACATATGGCGTTGTTGTGCCATGAATTTCGCTGTGATAGTACGAGTTGATATTGGTTTTGATGCTGCTCCATATGGTATGGAAGCAAGGAGGAATTTGGGTATATTGTGTTTGGATCAAGTGTCCAGACTCTTTAGGTGATTATTTTCACTCGTTGTTTTTGCTCTTCGTCGATATTTCTCTTTCACACGATTTGTTTTAACTAATTGCTTTGAAACCGATGAAATTCACTTTGTAATTTTTTTTACTATTTACCTTTTTATTAATAAAGAAGAAAGAAAAGGGAGGAAAGAAAAAGCACAAATCCCACTTCTGTCTGGAAAGTCTCAACTCTCTGAACACACAGGTATCCCATTGAAACACTCAATCGAAGAAAGACAGGAGAAACTAATTTATAAATGGAATCCCAAGTAAAAGTAAGAAATTAATTAATAATGAACTTGGTATAAATTTACTAATTTAGTACAAACAAAAGCAAGAAAGTAAACCCAGTAGTGAATCTCCAAAACAAACATTAGTTAGAACAAGAGGACAAAATACTGATATGGGTGCAGGCACCTAATCCTGCTATTGCTAATGGTGCTCTTCCTTCCCAGTTCCCACCTTTTAGAATTCAAAATATCTGTTTTTTATTTCCTACATTTTCTTTATTCAGAAAAGAAAGGGGATAGGAAGAATAATTTGCCAACCAAATAAAATAAAAAGGAAAGAATATGATTATTAAGTTATATGGTGGAGATTGCAGCAGAGGCAGAGGAGAGGTAAGGGAGGGGTTCCATTGCTGAAGAGGATATGAGAGGGACATCCAGCAATCAGCTTCCGCTGAGAGATATGCTGCTAGTCTAGAGAGAGAATCTAGATAGAGAAAGAAGCTAACCCAGATTGGGTGTTTGTGTGAAGAAGGAAGGAAGCAGAAGAAGAAGCAGGGAAGGAGAAGGGTTTAAGAGGAGGGGTTTAGGTCTACCAACTGGTAGTTAAGAGATTGAAACTCCTTAACCAAATCCCCATAAGAAAGAAACTAACAAGTTGTGAGCTTTACCAACAACAACAGCAGCAAGCAACATAAGGAGGAGATGGGAGAATAAGCTCTAGAAGGCTGCTGCTGAATCCACAAGAAGAAGGGGAAGTCAAGCTGATTACAGTCTCCACCAACCACCAAGATATAGCCTTTTCTTCTTACTCATCATCATAATTCTATCTTTCTCTCTCTCTCTCTCTCTGCTTTCACTCTCTAGCTGCTATTTTCCTTTCATTCTCAAACTCCGTTTCAACAAACTGTTGAATGGGGATTTGAGGCTTGAAGCAACAAAGCCCAACCAAAACTTAGAAAAGAAAGGGGATCCAGAGGGATAGAAGGAAGGAAAGAAAGAAAGCTTAGCCTAACCCTCCCACCACCACCACCACCACCACCACCACCACCACCACCACCATTTCAACAAAAAAGGGCCACACAGAGATTGCTACAAACAGAAAGCTATCATTTGGTATTCCCCTTTGAGAAAGAAAGGCAAAGAAAGAGAAGAGAGGGATGCTCACGTGGGGATTTTTCTATGGAATGATGGATGGAGAATATATGATGGGAGGAGATAAAAGATCAAAAGTGAGAGGAAGAGACTTATGATCCCTCCCCCACAACGAGCAGAAAAGAAGAAAGCGAGAGAATAGTTCATTGCCATCTCCTTTCAATTATCACTTCCTATCTTTTCAGAGGAAAAAGAAGACAAGGGTGGGGGGGAAAAGAAGCAATTTTTTTGCTTCTTCTAGCCTTTGTTTCTCCCTCTCCTAGAGTGTATATTCCTTGAGGAAGGACTTTGTATATTGTTATTTTTGTTGGGTTCTTCTTCTTCTTGTTCTAAGTCAGTGGTGGATCGATCGATGTGTTTGAGGTTTTCCTGTTCCCTGAGGCACCCACAAACCTGTTTACTGGTTTCCAGGTACAATTTTTTTATTCAGCCATTAAATTAAGCTTCCCTTTTGCTGCCAAAGTTTTCATCTTTTTGTTTTGCATTCTTCTTATCTCTTGGCTGTCTCTTTCTCTCCTCCATGTGCTTGATGGAAAGGAAGAGAAGAAGAGGAAGATGGGTTTTAAGTGGTGGTGACTGTGGTGATATCCCAATAGGGAAATTGTTAATTTATTGGCAACTTTGTGTGTGTTGGAATGAGCAAAAATTGAATATGCTATTGTGTTGGGATTTGCAGATTCTGGGTTTGTCTTGTTTGTGTTCTTTTGCAGGAGGGTGTTCCTTTTCCTCTTCTTCTTCTTCTTCTTCTTCTTCTTCTTTTTCTATCTTGGGGTTTGTTTGGGGTTGGTGGATGCTTCTGTTCTGAAAGTTTTGTTTCCTTGATATTCTTTTTTATTCTTGGGTGGTGTCTTAAGTTACTTAATGTTGTGTACTAGATTGGTCATTTTCCCCCCTCTTTTACCTTGCCTCTTGGGACAACTAGGAACCAGGAGATGATGAAGTTGTCAGAGAGACGAAGGTACTATGATGTTTGGTTGCTCTTGTGTAACGTCCTTGATTGGTCCTGTGAACTTAAGCCCTTACTCCACCTCTTGCCTCTTCTGGTTGGGTGAAAATTGCTGCTTTGGTTACTTCCTCTGCACTGCAAATGGAAGTTTAATGTACAGCTGATGTTCATTTCAGTTGAGAAGGGGGTGACTACGCGTGCAATCTGATTAGAAGATCTTAACATAAGAGGGAAAAGGAGAAGCTCATGATTTGAAATAAAAAAATGGCAACTTACTATCCCAGTTCCAGCAACGAGAGGGAGGCTGCTGCTACTCCAATGGTATATCTTCCTGGTGCATATTCCGAGACTCCAGTTCTTACCGGCAACATGATGATGTACATGAATCCCGGGTCATACTCAGATGCATTACCTAACAATGCTCAGCAGCAAAACAACTGCATTGAAATTCAGTCTGTAGAGGGATCAACATCAACCCAGCAGCAGCAGCAAGAGATACTGACGAATTTTGATGGATCACGAGTCGGTGAGCATGATTTCAATGCTTGGAGAGATGGCAGAAATGAGATGCTTGTTATGCACTCGATCGCTGGTACTTCTAGCAACATTCTTCACCAGAATTTGCAAGGACAAGGCTTGTCTTTGAGCTTGGGGACACAAATCCCATCTGGAATACAAATGCCTTACCGGAATGCTAACCCAGGATTTACATCATTCTTAAGTCCCAATCCATCAACTGTAGCTGAGAGCCCGACTGGTAGGAATGATCAACCAAGGAGTGCTGAGTTTTTGGGACATGGTGTCTACCTTGGTGGAGGAGTTCATCAGGATGCTGGCAATAAAGGGGAATATGCACAGTATGGAATGACGAGTATAGCAAGAACCATTCCTAATTCCAAGTATCTCAAGGCAGCACAACAACTGCTCGATGAAGTCGTTAATGTTCGGAAAGCTCTGAGGCACACTGATAAGGACAAGAGCCAGAAAACAAATGAGAATGATATGAACAACAGCTCCAAGGAAGGAGACAGTGGATCAAAGAATGATGAATCTCTGAACAATTCAGCCAACGAGCTTTCGCATTCTGAAAGACAGGAGCTGCAGAATAAGTTGACAAAGCTCTTGTCCATGCTGGATGAGGTAAAACCCAATTGTTTGATTTTGATTGTTTTCCTTTTCATCATGTCTTAATACATCATACATCTCTTAGCATCAACTGATTGAAGAACCAAATTCTGATGCAGGACTTTTTTCATTAGATTTGAACTTTTAAAAGTATTTTTTATTGTCTACTTAACAACATTTGGTCTTACATAATCTGAATTAATATAATGTTGTTACAGAGATGCTGTTTCTGGTAGGGTATTGTGATTCAGATAAGGTCTAAAATTTCCTCTCAATATTTTCCAGACAACGATGTTTGGTAGAGATACCAACTTTCTTTGATACAGCAAATCATACTCCCACCTAACTCTCACCTTCTACTTGACATATCATAACTGTTGCTTCTAGAATATTTTGTGAACCAAAAAATCTTCTACCTTATGGTTTTCCCGGTTTCTGTGTGTTCAAAGCTCGAAACTACCGTCATGATCTCATACTGTTGATGGAAGGTACAACAGTAACACTGGTTTCTTCGGATTTTCCAGGTTGACAGAAGGTACAAGCAGTACTATCACCAGATGCAGATTGTAGTGTCATCATTTGACGTCATAGCAGGCTGTGGGGCTGCCAAACCGTATACAGCTCTCGCCTTGCAGACCATATCTCGCCATTTCCGGTGCTTGAGGGACACCATTAACGGACAGATTAAGTCTGTCAGGAAAAGCTTAGGTGAGCAAGAGACATCAGAGAATAGCAAAGGTGTTGCAATAACACGGCTTCGGTATGTCGATCAGCAGCTGAGGCAGCAGAGGGCTCTTCAGCAGCTTGGCATGATGCAACAACACACTTGGAGGCCACAGAGGGGACTGCCAGAGAACTCTGTCTCAATTCTTCGTGCCTGGCTGTTCGAGCATTTCCTTCATCCGTAAATATTCGATCTCTCGATCCTTCAAATCCTATGTATTGTGAGTTTCACCATTTGATTATTTGGTCTCATAAATGATGTTTAATCTTCAGTTATCCGAAGGATTCAGACAAGATTATGCTGGCTAGGCAGACTGGATTAACTCGAGGCCAGGTACGAGGACAAATGACCTTACTTGACAGACAAGAAAAAATGCATTCTGTTTTGCACATCAAATGAGTTTCGTTTCCTTTATAAAAAATAAAGAAATAACAAGTTTCATTTTAACTTGGTTTCACTGTCTTTGTTCAGGTCTCAAATTGGTTCATCAATGCACGAGTACGTCTCTGGAAGCCGATGGTGGAAGAGATGTACAAAGAAGAACTCGGCGATGCAGAGATGGACTCCAACTCCTCCTCCGAGACGGCTGCTGCCAGAGCACTCTCAAGGGCTGACATGAGAAGCTCCGAGGACCAAGGTGAAGAAATGCAGCACCAACAACAAAGTGTGGCCTCATCTTCCGCGATAGAACAAGCTATGGAGAAAACGTCTGATGATCATCATCAACATCATCTTGTTCACGACATGGATATGGTTGGAGGCTCAACCGCGAGGCCCCAATTCCAATTCGGCACAACACATGGGAGGCTTGATGTCGACAATTGTGGCCTTTACAATGAGGCCATTGGTGGGGGAGGTGGTGATAGTAGATTCATGGCAGCAGCTGCTGCAGCGTACCAGATGCAGGAAATGGGGAGGTACGGTGGTGGGAGTGGGGGTGGTGTGTCGTTGACATTAGGGTTGCAGCATTGTGAAGGTGGTGGTGGTGGAGGATTACCAATATCCAGTGCAAGCCATCATCATCATCCTAACCACGGTTTTGTTTCCATGAGAGGTGATGATATCTATAGTGCAGCAGCAGCCGCAGCAGCAGCGTCGTCTGTAGGTGGAGAGACGAGCGAGTTTGAATGTGTAAACCCGGGGAGTAGGCAGCAACACAGGTTCAGTTCCTCACATTTGTTACATGATTTTGTAGCGTGAAAATGGTCGAATAATTGGCTTGTTGATGGTGAAGAAGGGAAAAGCTTGTGTATACAAACACTGTTGTAGCATATTCAGCAAAGAAGTGGGTGGGGGGGGGGGGGGGGGGGGGGGGGGGTAGAATATTTGTAAAGATACATAATTTTTTGGCTGTCTAAAGAATGTGGGAAGAGTTAAGTGTACAATTAAGTAGTGTCACAATTGGGGTTATTGGTTCCTATAAAAAAAAAACAATTGGGGTTATTGGTGAAAGGGGGAAAACAGAATACTTTCATGGTTTTGAAATAAAGATTGTTATGAATTGGTAAAAACCATTGGTCTTTTGATTGTAGTAACACCAGCTTGTTGAGTAGAGACTGGGGAGTTGCTAGCTAGGCAAGGTTGATTATTTTTGAAGAAATGCTGAGAAGGGTCTGTTTATGTCAATGAGTATACATGACCAACAGCAGCTGTGGTGGCAGAGGCGGCTGCCGCCGGTGAGCCACTGCCTCTGCGAGCCATAGCATTGTGTTGTGGAGGGAACGGTAAAGCTGGGAACTTGATGGGTGGTGGATTTTGAAACTATGAGAAGATTGATTGACGGGAGGTCTAATGTGGCTATTTATAATGCTCTCATCAATGGGTTTGTGAAATGTGGCCGGCATGATCAAGCTGTTGAGGTTCATGTCAAAATGTTGAAGGATAGAGTTGAACTGATGTGTTTACTTCTTGATTAGTAGTTGATTATTACACACTGATAATCACTCAGGGAATTCCTAGCTTTCCTAACTATAGAAGGATGCACGAAAGATGTGAACTTTCATGATGCAATCTGCAGGTTTGAGTAGCTCAAACAGACAAATGTCTTCTATCTCCAACTCCTTATCGTCAGTGAAAGCACCCCATCCTAGTCCCAGGTTCAAGCCGCCGCGCTCCCTCCAAGAGAATCGAATCACCCACTCTCTCCCTCTGCTGCTGCTGGAATCTCTGACTTTCATCTGACTGCAATTGGGGCTCAGATACTTGTTGGCAAACTCACCCGGCACATACTATCATACATCATCATCATCATCACAACAACAACAACAACAACAACAACAAAGAAAGAGCGTTAAAGCAACTTCCTTTTCATGGTTGGATACAACAAATCATAAAAGAAATGAAGAACTCAAATATCTCAAAGCCATAGGGTTTGACAGGTTGTAGTGCTGCACAATCAGCATGAATGAAGGATTCTGAAGCTTGACCTTCATTGCAGCTAAAATCGCCCTCTTCCCTGATGGTGTAGCCTTCTTGCATATATATTCAAAGCTCTTTCCCACTATGGTCCCAATTCTACCTCCTGATCTCCCCTCTTCATGCTCATCTTTCACACATTCACAATTTTTTACATTATATATTCTCATGCTTTACTGTCATTTCCAAGGGAGAAGCAAACTTGAAGGTGTAAAAAAAGATCTTACTTGGTCTGGAGCCATGATGATATCTTGGCCTCCTCGTAGGATCACCGGTTGGGTACTCGATTTCGCAGCTGGTTGGATCGTAGATTCGGACATGGAAGTTGGAGTTCCCTTTGTACTTGAACACCAGCAGATAGCCATGGCTGATTGAGTAGAAAGCTGTGAACTCAGACCAACCGCGGCATAACATCTTCATCCCATCCCTCCTTCTCTTTACAATTGCCATCTCCCACGTTCGCCCATCTGGAACAATGAAAGTTGCTAAACTTGCAAGCTCAACCCCATGTTGCATCACAAAGTTTGGTGGCAGAAGCTGCAATTAATTAAGTAATGATTCGAAACTGAGTTCATATAGACAGCAACCTGCAAATTTAAGAAAGATAACCAAACAGAAAAACCTCCAGGCAATGTAGATTAAAAAAGACAGTTTTTTGCTTACCAGCTTCTTATCAATAATTGCAGATGGAAGAATGATCTTGAAGAAAGATGGAGAATCCATTGTTGTTCTCTTGATTCTTTCACTTCTTGAGAGCAGTTTGCTTGGTTTTTCTCTTCTCGTTCTGCCAAGAAATGAATACCAGCACTTTGTTTAGAAATTGCTTTCTTATCATGTGCCTTATTTTCCGTGTTTGGTTAAAAGAGAGTCCCAGAGGGAATTGACGAAGCAATGGAAGTTAGTGCCAATTTCAGGAATGAAGATGGATTGCTTTATGGCTCTGTCAAAATGTACATCAAGATAGAAACTGTACAAACTGAGTGTGCAACCTCTAAATGTGGAATTTGGAATCTATTATAACTGAAATGATGTCCTAATATTCAGCCTACCTAATTGTTTTCATGATGCAACGAAATGATGAAAACCAGGCAAGAATGTGTGGTGGCTGATTCACTGTTAGCTTCTTCAAGTCTTGAAAAGCTTTGCATGTTCAAGTTCTCTATGACTGTGTTCTGTATCTGGTTGTTCTTCAACTCCCAACTTCAGCAGAGATCTGAAAAAGCAGTATTCTGTTGCACTAATTGGTTCAGTCTCTTTATTTAACTGAACTAAGAACACCATAACATCTCAAGAGATTCAACGGAAGAAGGGGGGGGGGGGGGGGGGGGGGGGGGGGGGGGGAACATCTCAAGAGGCTCCAAGCCCTGTAACTAACTACACAAATAAAAGTCTATCATACTTTATATTTCCATAATTTCAGTGAGCCCTTCTAGTGTGCTCTATAGCACCCATGGTATAAAAAAAAAAAGGTGACCCGTTGAGGAGGTAAACCCACTAAATGACTGGTCCCACGTCATTAATGGCAATCTTGTAAATAATGAATCAATGTATACAAGTGTAGGTACAAATTAGAGTTGTACCATATCGTATAGGTACAAGTTTCAGCTGTACCATTGAAGAATTTGTTTCACAAAGTGTAGGTACAACTTAAAGTTGTACCATTAGTATAGGTACAATTTTGAGTTGTACCATAAAGTGATTTGTTAGAAAGTGTAGGTACAACTTAAAGTTGTACCATGGTATAGGTACAAGTTTGGGTTGTACCATAAGAATTTTGAGAAAGTGTAGGTACAACTTAAGGTTGTACCATTAGTATAGGTACAATTTTGAGTTGTACCATAAAGGGATTTGTTAGAAAGTGTAGGTACAACTTAAAGTTGTACCATGGTATAGGTACAAGTTTGGGTTGTACCATAGAAGGATTTTTAGAAAGTGTAGGTACAACTTAAAGTTGTACCATGGTATAGGTACAAGTTTGGGTTGTGCCATAGAAGGATTTTGAGAAAGTGTAGGTACAACTTAAGGTTGTACCATTAGTATAGGTACAATTTTGAGTTGTACCATAAAGAGATTTATTAGAAAGTGTAGGTACAATTTAAAGTTGTACCATTAGTATAGGTACAATTTTGAGTTGTACCATAAAAGGATTTGTTAGAAAGTGTAGGTACAACTTAAAGTTGTACCATGGTATAGGTACAAGTTTGGGTTGTACCATAAAAGAATTTTGAGAAAGTGTAGGTACAACTTAAGGTTGTACCATTAGTATAGGTACAATCTTTAGCTGTACCATAAAGGGATTTGTTAGAAAGTGTAGGTACAACTTAAAGTTGTACCATGGTATAGGTACAAGTTTGGGTTGTACCATAGAAGGATTTGGAGAAAGTGTAGGTACAACTTTTAGTTGTACCATTAGTATAGGTACAATTTTGAGTTGTACCATAAAGGGATTTATTAGGGGTGACTATACGGTCCGGTCCGGTTAAATTGGCCCAAATTGATCCGGTCCAGTCCGGTCTTTTTGAAAATATAAGGACCGAAGATTGGATTGGATACAGTCCGGTCTTGATCCGGTCCGGTTTTGATCCGGTCCGGTCTCAATTCAGTCTTGATTTTACATTGAGATTGTGGGATTTGAGTGGCCTAAGGCCTTAAAGGGTGAGGAGTTGGTTAAGTTTTGTACTAAGTGCAAAGGTTTGTGACCGTTTATGCAAATTACCCTTAAGTTTTGGGTGTTGAGCTCTCTTATCCGGTCTTTATCCGGTTTTTTACCTCAAATCTAAGCCCAAAGATAGGATTGGATTGTTTACTATCCGGTCCCGGTCTGGTCTCGGTCCGGGTTATACGGTCCGGTTTCCGGTTTTTAATCCGGTCCCGGTCCAAATAGCCACCCCTAATACATATTAGACTTCCATTACTTCAATTCTTCAATCATTATTCTGTTGTATGTGTTATGTGTAGAGTAGATATATATATATATAGACCTTTATAAATTCATAAATTAGTGAAGTATATAATACAAGCATTGTCCCAATTAAATTATTAATACGTCTATCATCTCTATTTTGCCTTCTAGACACTCACCCTAATCACCATTTCAAGTATGCAGAATCTAAATGCTAAGATAAACAACTATAACAAGAGCTTCATTTCCTTTTAGACCCACAAAGGCAAGACATCGAATTAAAACGCGACTCATCTCAACTGGAGCTGCTGCATTTATCATCCATCATTAGCATCATCTAAATACATTAAAAACAAGTTTCTGTATCTCTCAAAAACGAAAAGACAAAAAAAAAAGTGTGTTCATCCAATCAGTCAATTCCAAAACTCCAATCCCAAATGCAGAAAAAGAGAACTACATAACAGAACCGCAAGGAATGACAGTTTCTCTACAGCGTGATGAGGCCATTAGATGGAGTTGATGACATGGTGGTAAGAACCGCTGTCACTGAAGCCATTACACTCAAAGCAGCCTTCAGAACTTCAGACGAACAACCTGGCTTCACTATGGTACGAACCTGTAAAATATAGATACCAATAGAAAAGATGTCAATTCTAAAACCTCTAAATACATAATGACCACAAGCCACTCCTACTCGATTAGCTAACCATCACTTGACTAATGGGCAAAGGTGTGATATATTATGACTCGGTAGCATTCATTACCAGATTTTGCAATGACCTGTTGATTATCGCTTCCACATGACTTTACACAAAGGAGCACTAGGAAACAAAATGACAGAACAGAAACTGGGAGACAAGGGTGATCTAAGCAACTCACCTTGTCCAAGTATTCCTGCAGTGCCTTGATTCTGCCCATGTAATCTTGGTCTTCAACGCACAGAGTCACAGCTTTGGCATCTGCCCCTCGACCGTCAAACTGTAGCGGTCCCGGGTTTCTGTACAAATCATCCAGCAAAAATCTCACTACATTTTGTCTCAACAACATGTAACCAACACGGATGTGGAAGCCAAGTTATAATCCTTATTTCCAGGTCTTCAGCTTAATACAGAAACAAGGGGGGTGAAGAGATTTAGTTGGAAACACTCACCCATATGCCTTGCCATTCAAGTCAACAGTAGCTGGATGAATAGCAGGTTTTCCAATTGAAGGTGCACCGGGACTTTGAGCCCATCGATTCACTGTCAACATTGCCTAAAATTTCACAGCTCGTGGAAGTTAGTATGATATACCACCACAAGCATAATAAATACAAGTCTTATGGTGTTGCCAGGTTCAAGCAAAAATCTGATAGCAAGTAAGAAGATGAAAGTAGAAATTTATACTGTGATTGGGGCAGCAGCACAACGCCATTTATTCACAGGGTTCTTAAGGTTAGTAACAGTTGCCATGTAACCATTTAGACCAGCAGCAAGAATATGGTAGCAGATATGGCCAAGAACCTGCAAAAAGACAGTTTTACATGAATAACTGAGTGAATTATTAACTGTACAAACTTAGGAACATGATCAACCCATTTGTCGTACATAGGCATAGTCACAGTCAAACTTCGATGGTAAAGATCCACGAGCCTGATAACCAAAAAAGTGGCAGATGGCATTGAATTTCTTCCCCTTGTATGTGCCTTCTTTCTGCAAAGGAAAGAAATGTCATAAAAAGTTAAAACGAATTGTTCAATAACTGCAAAGCACAATGAAAAAGAAGAGTCATGGCCTACATTCCCAATATCACTGGGATAAAATGGATAATGATACATCTGAGTTTCACTTCAGTAAGAGTATGAGTCATCATGCAACAATTAATTACTAATTAAACCGAGCCAACAGCATACCTGGCGCTTGTTCATTTCTACCTCCACAAGATGTGCCAAGAGTTTCTCTGTCTCAATCTGAGAAAAACACAATGTTTGAAAATTGAGAAATATATAATTTTGTAGTATACTATTAAGCGAAAACCTCAAACTTAGTACCTGGGACAGCTGAGCAGAGTCATCAAATTCAGGGTGAAGAAGCAGCTGCGCAGTTAAAATAAAGTTTTAGATTCATTTTCACACACATTGATTCAGTGAACCATGCCAAATCTTTCAGAGGGATCCACACCTGCTTCTAGATAAATATTGGCAAAAACTCAAACAGAGCAGATGCCCATGGTGAAAGTTGAGATGAAATTTTATCAGCAGTAATGCCCTGCCTGAGTAGACCATGTATTTCCTGCAAAAATTCCAGCAGGCACATCCCCCGAATTCCCATCACTCTCCTCCGTCGGAGACCCAGAAATTCCAGCAGGCACATCCCCCGAATTCCCATCATCTCTCACCTCCTCCTCCACAACTCCACCGTCCTCGCCGCCACCGTTGACGTCCTCAATGCTCAGATTAGCAAACGCCTTGGCCTCATCGGAATCACTCCCCTCAGAAAATTCGCTCACCTGGGCGGCATCGGAGCTGTTAGGCCCGAAATCATCGTCGACTAATTTGTCGAAGAAATCCTCGTCGGTTTGATCCTCCATCACTTGGAATGGAGGATTGGAAGCCATAAAAAAAAAATCAAGCCCCAAAAAAAAGATTCCTCCCGCCGCCATCGCTGCCAAATCCGTACTCGATCTCAATTAGGGATGGCAACCAAACCCGAACCCATGGGTACCCACCCGACCCAACCCGGTCAATGCGAGTAAAATCCGTGTTGACGGGTTTTGGGTCGGGTTTGGGTTTAAACCCGTTCACTATTCACCGGGTTGGGTTGGGTTTGGGTTTAGGTAAACCCGACCCGTGGGTACCCGCCCACACATATAATTAATTTTCTCGGTATATTTAATATTTTAAACAACTAATCTTATTTATGTTTGTGGAGACATGTCTAATTTTTTCTTTCTAATTGTGTAAAATGAAGTTTGTGTTATCGAGTGGAGAATGAAGAAACTTAATTGAAAGGAAGAAGCCTTCAATTAATATGTTATTTATGGATAATTTATGATTTACTTCAATTTTCTTGAGTTTTCTAGATTGGTGTTGAACAATTTGTATAGTTAATTTGTGATTTGTTTGAATTTTCTAGAATGGTGTTTTAAATATGGATAATTTGTATTGAGAGATTGATATTTGACTTTAATTTTGATAGGAACATGTTATTGTAAATTTTTTACGACAAAAACCCGTGGGTACCCATGAACCCGCGGATACCCAGCGGGTTGGGTTGGGTTTGAGTTTTTCAAACCCAGTGGGTTTTACCCCGGGTTTTTTTCACGGATAAACCCATGGGTTTGGGTTTGGGTTTGGCAAAACCCGACCCAACCCGACCCATTGCCATCCCTAATCTCAATCCTCCTGCCATATCCGCCTCCGCCACCGATCTTAGTCCTCCCACCATATCTGGATCCGTACTCAGAATCACCGGCAGGCATGCCCCCGCCGGCTTGAAATCCGTAAGCGGGACCAGATCGGGGCTAGGACGGGAGTAGCTGCTCGAGGTAAGAACCTCGTCGCTGTAGGCAGAGGGCTCCGATCATAATAAAAAAAACGCTCCGATTTTTTGTACGGGATGGTCAAAGAGTAGAGAGACGATGCGAGATCAAAGGAAGAGATTCGCTGCCTCTGGAGTTGGAGTCGGTAACTGCATTTCCGGTGACAGCAAGAATGGATGTCGGCGGTGAGAAGAGGGTCTCAGATCTGCTCGGAGAGGAGAAGGATAAGAGAATGGGTTTCGAACTTTTTTCCACGTACAACCGGTTGTACCGGTTGACCATAAACAAATAAAACAATATATTAATAATCTAAATAAGATCTAATGGCTGATATATTTTGAACATGATCTAATGGCTGTAAACGTTTTATAGCACCAATACTATAAAGCACACTAAAATGCCTCCATTTCAGTATGTAAAAAATAATGTTATAGTTTGAAAAAAAACCATCGCATACTGTCACGAGACTACCAGAAACGGATTCTGCAACATCAATCTACTATAAAAAATAATGTTATAGTTTGAAAAAAACCCATCGCATACTGTCACGAGACTACCAGAAACGGGTTCTGCAACATCAATCTACTAAAATAACAGCTAGGGATTTCAAATCCCCAATTCCTTTCAGCTCGACCGTTGGAGGAGAGCGTGACCAGAGGAAGAAGAAGCAATTTCAACTTGATCGATGCTCACCGTTTTGATCAAGCTCAAACCAAACACACCGTTTCATCACTTCTCTCCTCTATGCTATGTCGTTGTACGTTTTCTTTTCTGGCAAGCTTGCCATTGTTTCCTTTTCAAGCAAACAAACAATATGCAGCAGCTAGGTTGTCTTCTTCTGTAATGGCGCTTCTCTATAACAGCCAATTCTGATCAATGAGAAAGGCTTAAAGCCTTGGGGTTTCAATCTTTGTTATAAAACCAAGAAATCAATGGAATTTAACCATATAGTACACTCAATCAATCTTATTTCTCGATAAAAAATTGCGACACTTGAGTGATCCAACCGAGCTCAGCTAACGGCCTAGTAACGCAAGTGAAGAAAATGTCTGATGAAGGGACTACAAATGAATAGAAAACATAATATAGAGACTTATTTGTTAATAACCATAGCATTATACGGACTTATTTGTTAAAATGACATTCTGTAGTGACTGGAAAGTAACATTAGTTCTTACCCTTCAACCGTCCACTCCAGTTCACCGTTCGTGAAGGATTTAGGAGACCAGTTTGAATAGAGGCTTTGATAGGCTCCCATCTCCGCGGCGACTCACTCTGACGCTCATTACCATGGTGAATTTCCTCGGAGTCTACTTCACAATCCGATCAGTGAACCCACAAAACCTACTTCAATTCCTCAAATCCAAGCTCCACCACCACTCTAATTACCGCCATTATGATCTCCGCTCTTCGGTGGATTCTTTCTGACATGATCACACAGCTTTCGAGTGGATGGCCCGCAGTCTCGTCAACAGTACCAACAGGCTTTCCGACCTCACCCCATTCTGCATTTCATGGCTTCAAACCCTTGTCACTGCAGCGAAGGTATCTTCTCTTGTCCCAGAATTGAGCCAATTTTCCAGCTTTCCATCACCGCTTTACTGTAAAGCTGCGAACTTGAGTGATAGGTTAGTGGAATAGTGGCCTAATCTCGATGTTTTCAATGCTCTGATCAATGTGGCTGGCATGCTGATGCTGTAGAGGTTTATGGCAGAATGTTGAAGGATAGGGTTACACCTTGCTGTATTTACTTTTAACATCTTGATTATGAGTTATTGTAAGAACAGGAAGTTTGAGATGGTATTGGAATTGCTTAAGGAGATGAGAAGGGTTGTAGCCCCAATGTGGTTAGTTTCATTACTTTGATCTAGGGCTGGCCATACATTTTGGTGCTGACTGTTTCGAATTCAATGTATTATATGATCATTGTTCGTTATTTGATTCGATCGGACCTAATCTTATGAAGAAACCCGAAATCAGGCTTAACACCACATTAAATTTGTATCATAGGATCATCATCTTCATTCCATTCAAGCATTACAATAATAGACCTTTCTTGGAACATGATCTTGTACATTAGACGCTAGAAAATATCTTGCAACAGTTTCAACTTAAACACACATACCACAAGGCCAGTTTGATCATCCAAACAACAGCAATCCAAGTTTTTTTTAGCTTATTACACACCGTTAATCACTCAGACAATTCCTAGGTTTCCTAACCAAGGATGGACGCACGAAAGATGTGAGCTTTCATGACACAATCTGCAGGTTTGATCAGCTCAAACAGGCAAACGTCTTCTGTCTCCAACTCCTTGTCGTCTGTGAAAGCACCCCATCCTAGTCCCAGATTCAAGCCACCACGGTCCCTCCAAGAGAATCGAATCACCCACTCTCCTCCTCTGCTGCTGTTGGAATCTCTCACCTTCATCTGGCTGCAATTCGGGCTGAGATACTTGTTGGCAAACTCACCCGGTACGTACTAGCATGCATCATCATCATAACAACAACAACAACAAAGAGCATTAAAACAACTTCCTTTCCATTGTTGGCTACAAAATATCATTAAAAAATGAACAACTCAGAAATCTCACAGCCACAGGGTTTGATAGGTTGTAGTGCTGCACAATCAGCATGAATGAAGGATTCTTAAGCTTGAGGTTCATTGCAGCTAAGATCACCCTCTCCCCTGATGGAGTAGCCTTCTTGCATATCTTTTCAAAGCTCCTGCCCACTATGGGCTCAATTATACCTCCTGATCTCCCCTCTTCATGCTCATCTTTCACAAATTCACAAATTTGTACATTATAAAGTCTCATGCTTTGACTGTCATACCAAGAAAGAAGCAAACTTGAAGGTAGTGGGTAAAAGATCTTACTTGGTTTGGAGCCATGATGATTTCTTGGCCTCCTCACAGGATCACCAGTTGGGTACTCGATTTCACAGCTGCTTGGATCGTAGATCCGGACATGGAAGTTGGAGCTCCCTTTGTACTTGAACACCAACAAATAGGCATGGCTGATTGAGTAGTGAGCTGTGAACTCAGACCAACCACGGCCCAGCATCTTCATCCTATCGCTCTTTCTCTTTACAATCTCCATCTTCCAGGTTCGCCCATCTGGAAGGCTGAAAGTTGCAAACCTGTCAAGCTCACCTTCGTGTTGCCTTACAAACTTCATCGGCAGAAGCTGCCATTACGTAAGAAAAATAAGAAATGACTCAAAGTGAGTTCACAGACAGCAAACTGCAGATCTAAGAAAGATGAGCAAACAGAGAAGAAGGCAATGCAGAAGAAGAAAGCAAGTAGGTTGCTTGCTCACCAACTTCTTCTCATCAATGGCAGATTGAAGAACGATTTTGAAGAAAGATGGAGAACCCATTGTTGTTCTGCCCTACACTACTTGATTCTTTCCCTTCTCGATAGCACTTTTGCTTAGGTTTTCTCTGCTGGTTCTGTCAAGAATGGAGTACCAGCACTTCTGTTTTGAATGGTATTCTTATCATGTGCCTTACTTGCCATGTTTGGTTAAAGGAGAGTCACAGAGAGAATTGAAGATGCAATGGACGTTTATGACACTTTCAGGAATGAAGATGGGGACCTTAAGCTGTATTGCTTTATGACTTTGTCAAAATCAAAATGTACCTCGAAATAGAAACTGTACAAACAGAGTGTGCTACCACTTAATGTGGAATTTGGAATCTATTGCAACATATATGTCATATGATGTCATATTTTTCAGCTTACCTAATTGTAATCATGGTGCAAATGTGCAATGAAATTATAGAAACCAGGCAGAATGTGTGATGGCTGATTTACTGTCTGCTTCCTCAAGTCTTAGAAAAGCTTTGCATGTTCCATTTCTCTGTGTTCTGTTTCTGGTTCTTCGTTTAACTCCCAAATTCACCAGAGACCTGAAAAACCAGTATTCTACTGTTGAACTAAATAGCTCACTCCTTTTCCTGAACTAAAAACACATCTCAAGAGGCTCCAAGCCCTGTTACTTCCCGGAAACAGTTTCTCATACTGTAAATTACTATGATTGCAGTCGGTCAAAATGATTTTGGAGGTATCATACATCCATACTGTCATAAGACTGCCAAGAACAGGTTTTGTAACATCAATCTCCCTAATCCAAAAATAAGGAGTCAAGGGAATTTAACCATATAGCATAGGAAAACAATCTTATTTCTCTATATTAAATCTGGAAGCATGTAGCCTTCATACATCACGAACCCCACGATCCTTCGCTATTGAAGATCATTACATACAACATTTGACAAAACTCCAATAAACAACAGCGTTTCACAAACTCTTACCTGCAAATGTAAGAGCTCCTATATAATAGGTATACTACTGAATGGCTGGTTTAGAGCAAGCCTTTGCAAAACAAACTTGCTCTTTCTCGGAAGCCCATACAATATATATATCCGCTACTCATCAATGTCCTGAAGTCTGAGGTATACGGAAAGAGCCCCCCGAATAAAGCATCTGGTAAACAGGCCTTATTCTGATAGTCAAGATGATGCTCAAGAGAGTGCCAAATCCACAGATGGCAGCTAGAACCAGGAATGTCACCCTAAAGCATTCATGGCCCACACAGGTGGAGCTTCCTTGCTTAGAAGCTTCGACATCATACATAGTCCCAGCAAGTCCTCCTGAGAAGAGAAGAGCACCAACAGGATTTCCAAGTAGCACAAAGTTGTAAATGACGCCAAAATGTTTTAGGCCAAAGAGCTCAGAAACGATTGGAACCATAACAGAGTAGAGGATTCCGTAACAGACACCAATCAGAGCTGTTGCCACATACAGCATGCCATCAACACCGAGACCAAACAGAATAAAAACTATGACCATGATTGCTTCCGCTAATGTCATCCACACAGACCTCGGAGTCGTGCTTGACCTGCAATATCAGCATATGTTACATAATGGTATTGGTCAACTTGAGAAAGGATTATCCAGGACTCTTGATACATAAATGAACAAGTATAGAATGTTTCTAAGTTGAAGGAATGACCTGACAAAGTACTCGGAGACAACGCCAGATCCAAGGCGTCCACCAAAGTTACAGAAGCTGAAGATGGCAAGCAACATTGTTGTGTCATTAACTTCAAATGCGCTCCCGATCTGGGCCAAGTTATTCAGGACAGTAATTCCTGAACCAACTCCAAGAAAGTATACCATCCAAAGAAGCCAGAAATCAGCTTTTACTGCAGCCTCGCGGAATCTGAAGTCCTCACCCCTCTTAGGTCTCCTTTTCTTCTTCACAGCTCCCTCCCCAACAGCAAGAAGTGTTTCAACATCTGAAAAATCCTCATTCTCAAGGAAATTCCCTAGATAAGCTGCTGATTCTGATTGAACCAACAAAGGCTGCTCGGTTGGTGGGGTTGAGTCACCTTCTTCAGCAACAGGAGCAGCAGCAAGATTTGAGGCAGAAGTTGGTGGGCTCCGTTTCTTGGCAGGAAATAGAGTCATTTTGACAGGAATAGCCAGAGGAGAAGCCATAATAACCACCATGATTGCAACCAATGTATAGCAAGCAGCATTGCTTAGAGCAAATACATCAGTCACTATAGTGGTTGTCAGAAGGTAAATGGCAAGCAGAACGCTTGCAGCCTGAGTGAAAAGAAAATGGACATGCACTGAAGAGTCTTCTCCAGAAGCTGGAGTACACACCCGAATGAAATACATCATCAGTAAACATGTAACTGGGATGCCAAGGGTTAGGAACAATAGGAAGTTGGATGAAGAATCCTTGAGGACCATGTTGTATATCACTGTGTAAACTGCAGCAGACAGCCCAACATAGCCTTTAAGGATACCGGAGACAGTGCCCCTGCTGAGGGGGAAGTTTCTCATATTAGTTACAAGAACAGATGTGCCGAACCATGCATTGCTATTTGTTCCAATAACTAGTGCAATCCATAACTGCAATATCAGAGTGTGAAAAGGTCAGAAGGATGAGGAAATGAAGAACAAACACAAGCCAAAAGACGTTCAGCCAATAACGCACTTTTCGAGAGGAACAGAATCCAAACAGCAGATAGCAATGCCATGCAGCTAGCCACAGACGTAAAAGTAAGATTTGAGATTGTTCAGAAAGCAGTAATTTACGTATGTTACAAAAAAAAAATGTCACGGAAGATCAGCGAAATTGATAGCTCCAAGACCACTGAGTCGTTTGCTGAGGTTAGTTCCCATGCTAAACTCGAAACAATATCTGTCTAGGGATGTATAAAACTCATTCCCGGCCTTGAGGCCTGATATGAGAAACTTAAAGAAGCAAAATTGACTATGAATTAACTCTATAAACAGCAAAAACCCTGAAAATAACTCGAACTCTAGTGGGACGTGGGAGATCAAAATTGACTATTAAGTAAACTCTACAAACCCATTCCTTACATCCCTAAAACCCAATCAAGACCAAAGAACTAAAGAAGCAAGCAGACCAGCTACCGTCTATCCACAAATTCCGATCCAACCATACAAGTCCAGGAGATCAGCAGTTCCAGTGGTAGAAATTCGATCCAAAGAAAGGAAGTAACAATGACTAATACCAAGACAAGGAAGTTAAAGATGAGAAAACAACTCTGCATCACAATCGCAAACAATCAGATGCAAAATTCAACCAAGTAAAAAGAGTTTAAGGAAGATGACAGATTATAACTAACCAGCCAGTAAGGCAAGCCCACAACAGTCTGGCTGACAGTCAGCCAGAGAACGCCATATCCCAAGAAACACATAACGACGCCAACGGAGAGAACAGCCCATGGAGGGAACTTGTTGCAGGCGATGCCAGGGAGCAAACCCACACTCTCCCCAATATCATTAGCAACACCCAGTATCGTAATCTGCTGCTGGTTGAGACCCATCACGGCTTTGAGCGCAGGGGAGTAGAGAGGGAATGTGTAGCCATTCCCTGCAGCTACCTCGACCCACACAGCAGCAGCTAACCCTACCCATGGCGGCCGGCTCCCTCCTTTCACTATGATGTTTGGCATCTCTTCTGGGTTTTCACTTTTCAGCTTCACCTTTGCTGCCAGATCTTTTTTTGCTTGTGGCTAGCTAGCTATGTGTGCTGTGTGCACACTCTGCTGCTCACACATGTAGAAAGGCGAGAGCTTTGCCAACGAGGTGCAATAATAGACAGAGTTTATTGGACAGTTGGACCAATTTGAGAGTTTTCAAAAACGGGACTTTCTCACTTTGGCCTTTGCGTCATAGTAATTTCAGGTCCGTACACCTTTTGAACAGACAATGATAATATTTTATTGAGTTTTTGGGATCGCTGTCTGCTGCTCCAGACCAGATTCATTCCGCGGGGGAAATTATGGCGCAAAAAAAACAGAAGGGAGATGAACAAATGATGGTTAACTCTTTGTTGCAATCACGTGTAAGCATGCGATGAGACTCCTTTTGATTATTTAGAAAATGCAGGAATCAACCATTTGGCGAGGAGAAAAAAAGTACAGAGTTTAAATGACAGAATTTTGACATTTTGATTTGAAAATGCCTCTTCATTAAATTGTTTTAGACCAAAGGATCTTGATATAAAGTTGAGCATCATATTGTTAACCTATCTATTTTAAATGAAGGTCTCGGGATGATGGGTTTGATGGAACACAAGTCAAGTGCAGTTTGATATCTTTGGAATCAAAGTGCATTGACGTGTCAGCTAGATAGTTCTCTTGATTGAGGTTTAGAAAGAGTAGCAAATGGACATGTTTGAGCAACTACTTCAGAGAATCAAAATCTTGCGTCTTGATATCTAAAACTTCCACGATGGAAGTGGCGGAGGACCGTCAAATTGAATGATCAATTTTGGTCTCTAGGCCATTCTCACTCCAATAGTTTGATAGTGTAAGCTATATTCGTGAGCCTTGTAACCCTAATATACTAACATATTGATATTACATAGTAAACTAACATAGAAGAAATAATTTTTGTGAAAAAAAAGTTAATACCTTAGTTTGGCCCGAACTATAGACAAACTTTCTATTTTGGCCCGTGGTATCGGAAATTGCTATTCTGGCCTAAACTATGTAGCATACTTTCTTATTTGGCCTGGAGGCGGGTTTGACCGTCAAATTAGACGGTCAACCGAGTTGACCGTTAGTCAAGGTCCACCTCACTGCCACATCAGCTATTAGGGAAATAAAAAATTAATTTTGAATTTTGAATTTTTTTTACTTTCTAATAATAAAAATAATAAACGAAAAAAAATAATTAAAAATGCTCCCCAAATTATTTTTATTTAATTTAGAAAGTAAACAAAACTAAAAAATTCAAAAAATAATAAATTTTTTTCCTTGATAGCTGACGTGGCAAGTGAGGTGGACTTTGACTAACGGTCAACCGAGTTGACCGTCTAATTTGACGGTCAAACCCGTCTCCGGGCCAAATAAGAAAGTATGCTACATAGTTTAGGCCATAATAGCAATTTCTGATACCACGGGCCAAAGTAGAAAGTTTGTCTATAGTTCGGGCCAAACTAAGGTATTAACCAAAAAAAAATTACATATAAAGGTCTGATATTTTTCACCAAAACAAATAAAGCTTTAGTATAACTCAAAATAGTCTCTTTTTACACAAAATAATATTATATGCGGTTAATGTGAAAATTATTGAATCTATTTTGCATGAAGTTCATGGTACTCTTTACTCCTTGACATTCTCTAACTATCGGGGAACAAAAATTACAGAGCCATTAAAAGAGGACAAAAAATCATTAAATTGCAACTTGCAAGAGAGCTGTTTTCCATGTAGAGGGAATTGGTCCATACATATCACCATCCTCAAGGCCTCAGCAAGGCTAAGATAGGGGGAAAACCATTACAGCCCTAAAACTTTGGCTTCTTGGAAATCACAATCACCATTTACATTTTACAGAATTCATGTTGAATCTATGTACACAGCAGGGGAAAAATCAAGACAGTTGATACGTTGTCTGATTGATACCTAAGACGGTTAGGAACCGTTTTCTTTAGGGTTTCTATATTTATGGTTATAATTATTATTAGGATATTTCTTATTATAGTTAGTAGTCTTCTAGTAGAATTAGGCTTATTCTTAGGGTTTTCTAGTATTTTCCTATATATATGTACTTTGGGTCATTCGTCAGATTAAGCAGAAGTTAATAAAGAATTATCTCCCTAAATTCCTATCCCAATCCTCTCAATTCTTGACCTCAATCCCTCTAAAGGCTTAGGCCGATTCTCTTCTATTCTTCCCCAAATTCTCCTCAAATCCCTAAATCACCAATTCTATTCTATAAACCCTAAATTCCCAATCTCTAGATCTGATCTAGAAACCAGTTAGAAACTTTGTTTCTAACATTTGGTATCAGAGCCATGGTCGAAGATTTGAGTTCGTCACAACTCTCAACCAGGGATGAACTTGTGTATGAAGACTTCATGCCGTATGTCATGACGTTGGACCTGCGAGATCGCTTTATCGTGTTCTTCGAATTGTCGGGGTTCGAGAAGGAGCACATAGACGTGCAGGTGATTGGATTAGATGTGTACTAGCAATAATGGGGCAACGACCATTGGCTGATGGTCACAGATGGATCCGCTTCAAAAAGCAAATCAGATTCCAAGCAAACCGCGACATCAGACGATATCGCGCTGGTTTTTGGAAATCCGATTTCATCATCAGAATTCCCAAAATCTCCGCCGCTATGGACCACAACCATGATGAGGATGCCACAGTAGAGCAGCTACCGGTCGGGGATGCCGCCGCAACAGAAGAACAGCAGCCGGTGGTGCAGGTTGACTCGGACAACGACGGTAAGAGGCAAACAGATCAGCCGAGCGTGGAAGAGGTCTTGGCAACCGAGCCACCAGCCATGGAAGAAATTTCAAACGTCGCCAACGAACAACATCAGCTTCTGTCGAACACCGCCGCTGAAATTCTGAAAACTGCAATACACTCAGTCGGGACAAAAGAGTCGTGCACTAAGGAGGCTGAAGCAAATTGGAAGGAGAAGAAAAATACGCTGGTCACCATATAGAAGAAATTGAGGGCGGACCCTGCGACTCTGTTTGTAGCGACATCGAACGGAAATTCGTTCATGACGAAGACGGATTCGGAGATGGTGGAAGATCCGCCGCCGGAGTTGGGATCAATTGGCAAGAGGATGAAGATCGGGGTTCCAGTCAACCTCCAAAGCGTAGTGCAGGCAGAGGGGCAGATTGCCAGGAGCCTCGACATAATGCGGGGTGATCTCTACAATGACAATGGCAAGGATATGAAGACAATGGAAACGTCGGGTGGGCCTCTGGATCGTCAGACAGGCGGTATCCCGCCACGCAAGGATGATTCCGAAGAGGATACGAAGAAGCCCTCGGCCGGGAAGGTGGAATCGTGCGCTGAGGAGAGACAACCAAATCTGGACTTGGGGGAGGCATTTCAGGTAAATCCCAGCACAACCTCAATCCTACTGAAAACTCCAATCAATGGCAAGATCAATTGGAAATCCAGGAAAAGGAAGTTGCGGCTCGACGAAGCAGAGCCGGCGACCGATGAGGGTGCGAGGCCAGAGGCGGGGTACTATAGATCTAGCTTGGATTCCAGCCACCAAAAGATCTCAACGCCAAGGAGGGAGCCGCCGGAACTCGAGATGAAAAGGGAACGACGGCGCGGATGACCAAAACCAATCGACGATGCGGAACTGGTTCGACGATGGAACAATCGGAGGTGTCTTGCTTCCTGTCGTCGATCGATTGGGAGAAAGAATCGAGGACCAGCAGCGCGAAGCCAGGATCTCTTCGAAGCCGTCGCGTGAACTACATGCCGACGGGAAGCCAGACAAAGAAGTCAATCGACGACGAGTTGAAGACGAAGCTGAGGGTTCGCCGGTGGCCGGCGAAAGAAAGGAGGACGTAGAGCAGCGGCGGGAAGCTTCTTCGCTCGTCATCAGAGATGGTGAAGAAGATAGGCGGCGGCGTTGATTTCCTCCGGGAGCCTCTGTGTCTTCTTCCCTCCTTCGAAGCTGAGCAGAGAAGCTACAAAGGGCTGGGTCAGCTGGGCCGAGGAGCGTGGGCCGAATGGTCAGATGACCTAATGCAAGTGGGCCGAGTTTCATGGGCCGTTAGATCTGACAAGGGGAAAGGAATTATGGGGCTGGAGATAAGCTATGGGCCGAAAAATAAGAGGAAGTGGGCTGAGGATGAGATTGCTTGTGGGTGTAGTTTGCAGGAGAGGGTTAAGTCCAACGTGGGCTGGGTTATGAAGGCAATGGGCTCAATGGTTTGGAAGGACCATTTATTAGGCTTGGAAGATGGGTTTTCGAGAGAGCATGATCCAATTGGGTTTGGAGAACCATTAGAGCAAATTTACGGGCTAGCTCCAAGAAAGATGTTCACAGGCCTTGATAAATTAGTACTTAAGGATGTGTTCTTGAGCCAGAGCGAGTCGTTGGATTCATGGAGTTGCTGGAGGGCGATGACCGCGAAAGAAGAATTATTGAAGTTTGAATACTTTGAGAATGAGAGAATGATGCCACCGGAAATGCAAATCACGATCGTGGATCATGCAAATCAGGAGGATGAAGAAAGAATGCCTAGTCAGGGTGTGGAGCGCGATTGGAAGAAACGGAAGCGCAAGAACTGGATTAGTCAGCTTGCGGATTGCTCGGGAAGGAAGAAAAAGAGGGTCAAAACGATTAACCTTGAGGACAAGATTGGTTTGAAGGGGGAGGAGATGTTAGAAACAGATTTTTTTAGGGTTTCTATATTTATGGTTATGATTGTTATTAGGATATTTCTTATTATGGTTAGTAGTCTTCTAGTAGAATTAGATTTATTCTTAGGGTTTTCTAGTATTTCCCTATATATATGTACTTTGGGTCATTCATCAGATTAAGCAGAAATTAATAAAGAATTATCTCCCTAAATTCCTATCCCAACCCTCTCAATTCTCGACCTCCATCCCTCTAAAAGTTTAGGCCAATTCTCTTCTATTCATCCCCAAATTCTCCTCAAATCCCTAAATCACCAATTCTATTCTATAAACCCTAAATTCCCAATCTCTAGATCTGATCTAGAAACCCGTTAGAAACTTTGTTTCTAACAAAGACCGATCCGGCACTACAAGAACTCAGGAGGAAAGTCGCAAGAAGACTTAAGAGGATAGACAATTTCCGACTTCACTTAAGGTTGAGCAGAAAGATGCAAGGGAAGTTAGAGCACAACCCATCAGGATAATAGCAGGCTGGAAAACTGGAAACCCAGCTGGCCTTCTCCACAACTTAGGGGCCATTTTCTTGATCACGATCACCTGAAATGTGCAGAAAGGGGACTAAATTAGTAAAGACTTTGGACCGGGTACGATGTCAGAATTAAGCACTAGACTGATTGACATGCTAACCTTCTGTACAGAACCCTAATATCTTCCCTCACTAGAGGACTATCCAAGAAGGGATCACCGTACTCTTCCAAATCGATTTCCTCCACTTCAAAATTCTGGTAACCACAATACTCGTTCCATTCAAACCACATTTTGGCAATCGCCTCCTTCCTGAAGCAAGCACTATGATCTTCCTCCTCGGGCGAATCAGCAGCAACCAACCGGTATGCATATACACTTTCTTGGTCTGACCTGGTCGGAACGCCCGCCCTATAGCCTGGCGGGTCACGGATGGATTCAGATGAACATCCCAGATCAGAATCCGCGATGCCCCTACCAGTGATATCCCCTCTCCACAAGCCTTAATCGATCCGAAGAAGACTTTAGCATCTGGTGACTTGTTGAACTGGTTCATGGACCACTCTCTCTGTTCAGAACTCGATTCACCCGAGATCACAAATATCTCCTTCCCCATCATCCACCCTTTCATATTCGCCACTAACCTCTCCAGAAACTTCAATGGAGTGAGGTACTGACTGAAAACCAATAGCTTCTCCCCTGTTGACTCGCATAGCCCCAGCATGTTGAAAAAGAACTTCGCTTTCGCCCCATCCCTTAGGTTCAGAGTTTCCAAAAGCTCGTCCATCTTCCCATCTGTCACTCCGACACTCTCAGAGACAGTAATCAGTTTCGGGTGCAGATAAACAGCACTACCAACAGAACTTCTCTTGAACTTCCTTGCAAGCTTCTTCAGCTCCTTGACCTCGTGTTTTTGTCTGTTGCTGAGGTTAAGCACCATTGTGAAATCCACCAGTCCAGGAAGTTCATCCAAGAAATCGCCTTTGTAATAATGAAGGACCTTGCTGGTCATCTCACGAAGATCTCGGATGATCAACACTTTTCTGTTGAAATCGGGATCCTTTTGAATTGTGTGCTCAACAAGTTAAAAAAAAGTTGCGTCGGCACCTACTTTAATTTGTTTCCTCAGCCCCGAGATGTTTCCTTTACTCAAGATCCGCTTCACAATGCCCTTTGAACTGTCCAGTCTCAGGAACTTGGGACGTGCAAGGTTCAATATATTAAACACCTCCTTCACATGATTCTAGTACAGGGTTCCCGAAAGCACAACTTTTCGAGGAGTCTTGATTTTTGGGAGAGATTGCAATACATCGGTGTTTTCATTCCTGGGAGTGTGCCCCTCGTCAAGAATCAGGATCGAAGGTCTTTTAAGAAGTATCTCTTGACAGCTGGTTGCAACCGAGCTCCCACTGTCGCAAATGATTGAGGAGAACTGCTTGTAACCCAAGAAAAGAATGCTCTTTTCCTCCAGCCACTGCTTTAAAATGTCCAACTGCTGATGCCTACTATCAGCTTTCGTGGTGTAGAAGTCGAGCAATGGAATATTCTCAACTTCCCATCTTTTAAACTCTGTCTTCCATGTAGATAATATTCCTTTTGGGAGCAACACCAAGGGTCTAGCGTGAGGATATTTAGCTAGAAAGCTTTGCATAAAACTGATTATCATGAATGTCTTCCCGGACCCAGGAGCATGAGCTAATATGCAGCCTCCGGGGTTATCCGATACCAGATTACTGCAAAGAAAATTGATAATCGAAACAGAAACATATAATCGAAACGGATACGATCGAAACAAAGAGACAAGGATTTACGTGGTATCCTCGACGTATGATTGTCGAGACTAGTCCACGGCACAAACGGCAGTTCGTAGTTTCTTATTATCACCAAATAGGTACAAGTTACGTATATATATAATCATCACACCCTAGGCCGATCTCCTTCTTCCTAACTCGGCTAGGGTTTGTGGATGATCATTATATATGTAACTTGTACCTATTTGGTGATAATAAGAAACTACGAACTGCCGTTTGTGCCGTGGACTAGTCTCGGCAATCATACGTCGAGGATACCACGTAAATCCTTGTCTCTCTGTTTCGATCGTATCCGTTTCGATTATATCTTTCTGTTTCGATTATCATGGTATCAGAGCCTTCTGTGACCGTGAGGTCTTCTGTTCGATTCCCGGTGACCCCATCTATTTCTGTTAAGCACACGGTGTCCGGACCTGTGCCTGTCCAAACTCCAAGCCTATCTGAATGGCTTGAGTTTGAAGGGGGGTGTTAGTAAACGGTATATGATCCACGATTGAACCTCTCTCAACAACTCGAGTTATTGGGATCAACTGGTTCTTGACAGAGGTTTCATAACTTTCAAGTGCCTTGGGTGGGCAGCGATTTCCTTCACCATCATGTTTTCTTCTGATAGTTGAATTCCAATTGCCTCTTTTGGATCTCGGTCCTTCTCTGTCCGTGTACTCACAGATGTTCTTGTGTTGCCTGCATTGATAAAGAGTTAAAATACATATTGGACGCCAGGTTTAAAGTAAAGACTATCAGGCCTGTAGCTTGCCAGTGGAAGACTAAGATTGCAGTGTCTTTTTCAAAAATAAAGAGTATCAACAAGTCCACTCTGAGAAAATGGAAGATGAGAATGCTAAAAGTGACGTCAAGATAAGATAAGAAAACGGTTTAATACCATGCATTGGAAATATTGTTAGCGACCATGGGATCTAGAGCATTAATAAAGAATTGTGTATGCGGAATTGACAAACACACGAGAAAACGATTTACGTGGTATCCTCGTTCAATGTGAACGAGACTAATCCACGGAGAGCTCGAAAGAGCTCTCGACTTGACTTTTATTTTTATGACTGCGACAAGACTTGTTGGCTCCACAACTCGGTAGCTCAACTACTTATATAAGCTAGCTAGGGTTCCCTCGTACAGCCGACTAGGACAAGGCTTGACAAACAAGGAAATAAAACCCAACTAGGACAAGGAAACCAACGTGGAACTCAAATGAAAACTCTCCACGTTGGGACACATGACACGTAATACTCCCCCTCAAGCTAAGGCGTGAATATCGGGCATGCCTAGCTTGGAAAGAAGGTGCTGAAACTGGGCAATGCTGAGACCTTTGGTGAAGAGATCAGCTGGTTGATCGGCAGTGGCTATCTTGCGAGGGGCGATATGTTGTGCAAGAACACGTTCACGAACAAAGTAACAATCCATCTCGACATGTTTGGTTCGCTCATGAAAAAATGGATTAGCCGAAATGTGCAAGGCTGCTTGACTGTCACAACAGAGAGGTGTTGCAGAAGAAATCGGAAACCCAAGCTCCAACAGTAGCCAACGAAGCCATATCAACTCACTTACGGTGGTGGCCATAGCTCGATACTCTGCCTCGGCAGAAGAACGAGCAACAACGGACTGTTTCTTGGTACGCCAAGAAATGGGGGCACCACCCAGATGAATAAAATAACATGTCGTGGACCGGCGAGTGAGAGGGCATCCTGCCCAATCAACATCGCAAAAGGCCGTGAGGGTCAAGCTCGAATACGATGGGAAGAAAAGTCCACGTCCAGGGGATTGCTTCAAATATCTCAATACGCGTACAACAACGTCGACATGCGCCTGGGTGGGAGCATGTACAGCTTGACTTAAGATATTTACTGCATACTGAATGTCCGGACGCGTGACAGTGAGATAGAGCAACCTCCCTACCAGACGACGATAGCTGGAGTGATTAGCGGCAGGAGTGGAAGGTAGACGGCTTAGCTGATGATTTACCTCAATAGGAGTGGAACACGGTCGAGTAGCCTCGAGACCACAATCAGCAAGAATGTCCAGCACATACTTGCGTTGGTTGAGAACGACGCCCTTTCGAGAACGAGCCACTTCAATACCGAGAAAATACTTCAATGACCCCAAATCCTTGATAGTGAATTCAGCATGAAGAAAATCCTTGACCTGTTGAATGAAAGTAGCATCGTTGCCGGTGAGGATGACATCGTCGACATAGATTAATGCAGCCACGAAACTAGAACCAGAACCATGAATAAATAATGAGTGATCTGCCCGACTTTGCACGAACTGAAATCGAAGCAAAGCCTGTGAAAATTTCTGATACCAGTTCCTGGAGGCTTGTTTGAGGCAATAAATTGATTTATGCAATCGACAGACACGAGAATCACCAGGAGTAGAAAAACCTTGCGGGACCTTCATGTAGACCTCTTCTGTGAGATCACCATGCAAAAACGCATCATTGACGTCCAACTGGTGAATGAATCATCCCTGATTGACTGCAACTGCGAGAAGACATCGGACTATGACCAGCTTTGCTACCGGAGCATAAGTGTCATGATAATCAACTCCTTCAATCTGGGTAAAACCCTTGGCTACGAGACGTGCCTTGAAACGTTCCACGGATCCATCGGGTAGATACTTGACCTTGTAGACCCATTTCGAGTCTATAGCATGCTTGCCTGGTGGTAGTAGAACAAGTGACCATGTGCCATTTTCTACAAGTGCGTTGAACTCCTTATGCATGGCCTCCCGCCAATGTTGGTACTTCACGGCTTGCCAATAATAAGTGGGTTCAAATACTGTAGAAACATTACTCAAGTAGGCCCGATGCTCGGGTGACAATTTTTCGTAGCTCACGTAGTTGCACATAGGATAGAGAACTTGTTGTGCAGTGGCGGAGTGACCTGGTAATTCAACGTCATAGTCTCGCACGGACCGATGGTTTTGGAACACGAGTGCTCTTCCGGACTGGATGAGTAGTGGCCGACAGTTCCTCGCTTGAAGATGGGTCCGAAGTGGGGTGGACACCCTGTTGACCTTCGCGTTGACTTGTGATGACATCAGGCGCCGAAGTGGGGTGGACACCCTGTTGACCTTTGATGGGTTGACTTGTGATGGCATCAGTAGCAGAAGGGACTTCTCCCCTTTGCGAGCAGACTACTCCCCCTTGCTTGGATGTGGGTGGTCATTCTCCCCCTGTTGACAAAGGTGAAGAGGAAGGCTGATCTACTTTGGGCGAGGCAGACGCGGAGTGAAGGAATGAGATGCCATTCCCATCATTGGAGTCAACGTCTACTTCATCAAGAGAGTCGGCCACCTCTTGTACCATTTGGAGAAGATCCCAATCACCATTATCATCAAAACAAGGACGCAAAGGATCAGACGAATCCAACGCTAGTTGTTGTGCTGGAGCTACTTCGGCAGGATGAAACTTATGAAACGGACAGATATGTTCCAAGAAGAAGACATCCCGGGAAGTGTAAATGACATGACGATCAATATCAAAAATATGATACCCACGCTGAGAGGCGGGATACCCAACAAAGATTCTTGGCTTGCGTCGGGCCGCAAACTTCGATAGACCAGAGGGTGTGTCCTTTGCATAGACAAGGCACCCGAATTTTCGGAGATGATCATATTTGGGGATGGCGCCTAACAAAACTTCATACGACGTCTTGTTCTGGATGGCCGTGAGAGGCATCCGATTAATCAAATACGCTGTCGTACCCCCCAAAAATGAATAGATAACCCGGAATGAAAACGAAGCACCCGAGCTGTGTCCAATAAATGACGATGTTTGCGTTCCACCACTCCGTTCTGCTGGGGAGTGTCAGTGCATGACGTTTGATGAATTAGTCCTCCCTGTTCATAATAGTCGCGCAGCTCAGGAACAGAAAATTCACGACCATTTTCACTCTGGATCCGCTTGACTTGACTATTGTATTGGACACGAACCTGATTACAGAAAAGCAACAGATATCGAGCAACTTCGGACTTGGTTTTCAACAAATAAACCCAAACACATCTGCTGAAATCATCCACAATGGTAAGAAAATAATGTGCTCCTGAAAATGAAGCCTGATTGTATCCTCCCCAGATATCAATGTGAATAAGTTCAAAACATGACTTGGTTTTGATGCTGCTAAGAACAAAAGGAAGCCGAGTTTGTTTAGCACGAAGACATGATTGACAAGGTTCTTTACTGACTACTATAGGACTAGGAAGATAATCTTTTAAAAATGTGAGCTTGGCTGCTGACGGATGACCAAGACGAGCATGCCAGAGCTCTGAATCCCGGACTGCTTGCTGAACTGCAAACGCCACTGGATGACTACGATCGAAGACTC